CACCATTGAGCTTGTCAATAGGCCAAATGAAGAATTCCATAGGAGAGACTACTAGAGCAAAACCAAATGGCAGCTTACACAGGTTTGAAGCCAATAGAAGGGGCTTGATGTCACGGTGCAGGATGCCGTGATCATGAAGAAGCGCTAGCCGATCAATCTATGATGTATGTGATCTGAACGATGATCAAGGAGAAGTAATGCTGAGACTCACCAGTTGCATCCCAAGGCAGCAGACACTATGAAGGTTGGGGAGACAGGCTCATACCCCTTTCCAACAATGAGCTCCTGGACTCAGTGTCACCACCACTGGAAGGATCTTGAATAGTACTACTTTGGTGGCATGTCCTCCAAGAACCTTAGTAGGCATCACCACCACCAGGAGCATCTTGAGTAAGGCTCCTTTGGTGGCATGCCCTCCAAGAACCAGAGCATCTTGAGTAAGGCTGCTTTGGTGGCATGTCCTCCAAGAACCGGAGCATATTAAATAGGGTTGCTTTGGTGGCATGCCCTCCAAGAACCTTAGTTGATGTCACTGATGGGCTGGTTATGGACCACAGACTACACTCTTATATTGCTTGTTTGGGTTAACATGTGATTCAGTGTGATTCAGGCCCAAATTGTCCCTGAATCTTGTCCTGAATTGAGCTTAAATCATCAACTCTCACTGTCACTAATGCCTACAGTGGGGGTGGGGCATTATGAGATAGGGTACATTGTAGTGGCTTGTTAGATTTGAACAATCTAGGCGGTACAGGGGGGTTAAGGGGGTACGTGACTATGTAGATAGTTTCTGCCATGCCATGTATCATTTTCCTTATGTGTTTGCTGAAGTCCCAGTAAAACGCAATGCATGTACTGTAGGTGCAAAGGGGAATTCGCAGCATGTGTGAGTGAGGACAGGGAATGGTGTGTTCCCACCAAAAGCGAAGTAGGAATGAACGCAATCCAAATGCCACGTGACAAATGGAACGGAGGACGAGAATGCAGGAGGTGCCACGTGCGCACTGCTGGACTCTTCACAATGTGACTGAGGGGAAGGGGAAACTATACTTCTTCTTGTTCTGTAGGTAGATATGTAGCACTATATATACTTGTAGTATATGTGAATAACCATGCAATATGTGCATGTGTGATCAAGTAATATAGTACCTATCAAATGATGTGGCCGAAGCTGATACAGACCAAAACAAGAAGTAAACGAAATGCTGATATATGTACGATTAGGGCTGCCAGCTGTGACCGTAGATACGGTTTATATGTAGCCGTCTTACGGACTCCGTACTGTACCGTTGAGGTTGAATGTACTGTTTGCTATGGATGTAATGCGTGAGGAATCTTTGCCGTATATGGGTTAGGGACTTATGCTGTATACAGCGAGCACGGGTCAAGGCGTGTGAAAGTAAATGATGGATGCATGACAGAGCTGCGCGGGCTTGAACTCAATGTCGTCGGTACCCTGAATAGCATTGAACTCAAAAACTCCGCGACGCGACCTCGACATGCTCCTAGGGCATCATACCCATGCAGCCCCTGTTGTTCAGGCTCCATGAAGTGTTATTGTTGTGTGAGCACGCAGTGATTGCCCGGGAACTCATGGATAGACGAGACATGTGTTGTGGAACTGTTTGAAAGCTGGTGGACCAGAGAACACGGTACGCTAGCTCGAGGCTTACTTTAACCGACACTACAAGAAGACCATTTTGATCCCCTTGTCAGCAGCAAACTCTGCTCAGTCGGTCACCTCCGAGGGTTCCGAATCATCTGAAGTTCGAGTTGACTTCATGGCATGCTATCAACGCAAGGAACGTACATCCATAAATGAATTGGCCGAGTACTGGAAACTCCCACAAGAAGATCCATATCTCTTCGGCATGCGAGTCTCAAACCTCAAACCATTGAGACACTGATGTTACTCAAGCAGCACCTTTGTCTTGCTCGCCGCAAGGTTTCCAATTAAGTAGATATGTACAGTACGTACAGTGCTACATGATGCGAGAGAAATAGAAATGTTTTTTACCGTAATTACAGTCGTATCACCGTACAATGTCTGTACCGTACCGTCTTGGTAATCTGCGTCGAGCATATACGGACGGCTGAATCCTATAAGTGCCCGTACTTAGGGCGTAATCATACGGCCATGACCGTATATGGTACGGGTAACAGCCCTATCAGTACGATAATTCATGTATCTGAATCCGAACACGGTGCAATACCTACACTACTTGATTACTCTGCTATCGTGTGATCACTACTAGCTTATTTTAACATGGCTCTGCTGATATTGTAATGTGGACTGGGGGGTTAACAAGCAGACCCCATTATAAGGCGATTTTCCAACACTGGTGTATTTGTATTTATTTGTGAAAACCCATGATCGATATACAACTAGGGGAGCTCAAAGTTGGCACATAAGAATCCGCGTACGCATATGCGCGCATACGGCCGAGGTGCCGTCGATTATGTAATGGTATTTGAGTGTCACATATCCGAGTAGCGCCCACGTAGCGCTGAACGCAGCATATCACTGTTGAAATAAGCCGGTGAGGTCGCGCGAGTTCCGAGTGACTAAGTAGATATATTGTGTTTGGCTGGGACTCCAGCAAACACATAAAGAAAATAATACATGCGCGTGACACGATATTACAGTAGTCACGTGCATCCCCTATACTCCTGTACCGCCAAGATTGCTGAAATCCAACAATCACTTCCATTGATCTACACTGATCTACTGCAATCATGCCCCACGCAAGGATCCACGACAAACTCAGGCATGCATATCTCACTCATATGAAGAGACGCGACGGGAAAAGAAGAGATGCGACAACGCGTTTACGATGTGACGAAAGTGTGACATTTGATTACATAATTGACGGCACCTCGGCCGTATGCGCACATATGCGTACGCGGATTCTTATGCGCCAACTTTGAGCTCCCCTACTCCTTCTCCACCATGGCCAATCTGTCACGGTTTCGCATGTTTCAACGCGCGACACTGGCTAATCTAGATATGTCAACGTACGCCTTGTGTACGCCGGCCCTCGGTGTAGCTCTAACATAGTTCCGTGAGCGGTTTCCGTTGCTTACTGTCACTAACAGTCACCAATGGTTGCTTCCTACTTCACACTCAAGACGAACCCAGAGCTCTTTCACTTATTACATAGATTGCTTGCCTTCAAGTTGCTGGCGCTTTGGACATACACTGATTCTATACAATTACCATTAACTTGAATACAGGCTATATCAATGTATGTCATCATCTATGCATCCGGCTGAGGCTGTCCGCGTCGCCCCCCATTTCGTCGTGCCAGCTAGACGAACCTAGGCACATGTCTTATGCTAAGCGAGCTACTCCAGCCAGCTACACTCACCTAGCCCAAGCTTAAGGTACGCGGATGCTCACGACCATTGTGCAGCTTGACAATCCTAAGGTTCATCTACAGACCTAGAATCACCTCCGGCCTTGTACGCCCACCTAAGCTCGCTTAGGGTACGCAACCGCGGAACACAGTGAGTGGTATCGTCGGCAAATACATGTCGCTCTATGTATCAAGAGCCAGGTTAACGTTGTTGCAAGCTAGTACTATGTCTCCCATGCACGATACCTCGCGATCGAGGCAGACGCCGCCGCCACAATATATATATAATTGCATCGATGCGTGTTTGCGGCCTGGAGACAGCTGCAGACGGACGTTTCACGCGTATACGGCCGCTTGAATACTAGTACTAGTACTAGTACTTGCATGTCTTTGCAAGGCGCATCGATAGATCATGTACAGAGCTAGCTATAGGGATCGTCTAGCGGCGCTGCAAAATTCCTTGCTTGTATTTGGTCTGGTGATTACATTTTCAGTAAGAGCACCTCGTCGCTCGACCGCAGATCAGCGTGTATATATGTTTCACTACCCGTTGAAGTCACGCCCTTAAGCTCATTGCAAACTCATGCTCTTAGGATTGATGCTTACTCGGGGAATATACTGCCGTGGCCGGATAATGTACGTATGAGACCTTGCGCCCGCAATATATATGAACTGGGCACCGTCGATCGCGAACGAATTCTCATGCCAGACTCTACATGAGTCTGACTCAGGGAATGGTCCAACCAATCATGCACCACATATGACCGTCTTGATGGTTAGGTGCAATATTAATGTCTAGATTTATTAATACGCATGAGCTCCTGAGATGTCCACCCAAAACACCTCAATTTCGGTCATATTCAAGTAGAGATCGTCAGATGATTGACGTACTAATATGCAGCCATCCATGGCCGTGTACCCGTGCTTAGCTGCAAGATTAATGTCTATTGAGACGCATGAGCTCCTGAGATGTCCACCCAAAACACTTTTCGGCTGTATTCACATACATAGAGATTGTACATTATTGTCGCATTGCAGTCAACAGTACTGCATATGCATATGTGACCATATATGCATGTACCCGGAATATCGAACAAAGGGCGTGAACGTGGCACGCGCTGAGGTTACGTACCCGAAATATCGAACAAAGGGCACAAACGTGGCACGCACCGAGGTTACCCCGAGAAATTGAGGTTACGCAGATTGTCTCGTATCTCATCACGTAGGAATTATGATATGGGTCGCTACACAGTATATGCGCATATATATATGATGAGGGTTCGAGGAAGTAAGCTAAAAGCCATCTTGTGAGAGCAATCTAGTGTGGGTCCAAAACATGGCGACATGGCCAATGATGTATTGTGGGTCCAGGGAACATGAACTGACCGTAGCTGACGTCAATCACAACGTCAATCACAACTTATACGGACATCGAAAATATATAGATAAATAGGTATATTTTTTGAAGTTTATGATTTACGCCAGTTCGAACTGAGAATACTGATATGAGACTATGATCAAGAAAATCGATGGACAAAAAACCCTATCATATTAATCGACAGGACACTAGAACTGAGTTTCAGCGAGCCAACCTATGTATGCATTCTTGTTGGTTACCAATGACTAGATGAGAATCGCAGCAACTCACCTGAACAGCCTATTGTCGTGCTGAAATTCGTAACGTTGATTAGTGGTGTGAACGGTGAAATCGGCCTGGGTTTGTTGCTCAAGCCACGCTGGATCGTAGGCATTGACGGGGAGGTCTTTGACGGCCCTCGCGGTACGATCGACAGTACGCGTACGTGAGGTGCGTAACCGAAGTTGAGGATACTGGCCGCGGAGATCGTCGCTGTTACGGCGGGAAAACAAGTGGATTGAGTCGAAGGGTTCCAGCCATTCACCCACTTCGTGCGCTCTCCAGCCAGGGGCAACCACCCGAAATATTGGGCGCGTCGGGTTAGCTGGGTCTTCTCCTCCACGGCCATCCTCCACATCGGATTCGTCGCTAGACATGCCATCGGGTCCCAAACGCTGCATGATGTCTACATGACGCTGTAGGAGGGGGTGTTGTTGGGCTGCTTCCAGCCGTAAATGAAACAACTGAACTCATATAGTAATTACTCAGGGGGTAGTCTGCAAGGCTAAACTGACATACCGCTCTCTTGCGAGTTTTTCGTCGTGCCAAGGACTGAGCGCGACCTTGCTCGGCGGCGTTCAATTGTGATTTCTTGTAATTTTGCTTCAAGGACTTGATCCAAGTGAAAAATGTGTCCGTAGTCGCGGTGTGGTCTAGGTCCACCTGGGCCCAGCGACGGAATGCTACTGCAAATACTCGCGCTGCAGATTGATTCCATGGGCTTCTTGGCGTCCCAAGGAGATCATATCAGAAATTGTCTTCGTCGCAACAAGGAGGGACATTGATACCCTTACGGGCGTTCCACATATTGGCATAGTTTTGGGCTTCTTCTGCGCCCACTGATGGTTGTAGCAAGTTAACCTCCCCGACAAGCAGGGTGAAGAACTTTCTAACTTGAGACTACAAATATAGGCTGTTGTCAAAACGAAAGAAAATGGGTGGGGCATTTAACGCACTGCAAGAAGGGTTACGTCTGGACTCCTTCGCTTCGCGTTGCCTGTAATCTTTGGTTGGCTGCGCTTGCTTCGACCAGCCGCGGGGGGTGTTGGTGTCTCTTCTGCAACACGACGTCCTAGAACCTGTTGGATGAGGTCTGTCGTTCTTTCAAACCCGATACCAATTTGTTGCACAAGAATTTGACAATCTGCCCGCATCTCGTCGACCAACCCTTGGATGAGACCATATAACTCGGCATGAGGACCCGCCCCCTGGTCCTGCTGAGGGGGACCACCCCGTGGGCGATCGCGATCTTCTTCATCCCTCCATCGATCTTGCGGAAGTTCTTCTCCATCCATCTGTCCGCCCTGCGCTCGTCCTTCGCCACCCCTCTGTCCATCCTGTCCTTCATCACCCCTCTGGTCATCATGTGCTCCTCTTTCGTTGTCCCTGTGTCCGTCCTGCGCTCGTTCTTCGCCAACCCTCTGTTCATTCTGTGCTCGCCCTTCACCATGTCCCCTCTGGCCATCCGCTGCTCTTTCATCGTCCCTCTGTCCGCCTTGCGTTTCACCACCCCTCTGGCCGTCCTGTACTTGTCCTTCTTCGCCCATCTGGACATCCTGTGCTCGCCCTTCTTCATCCCTCTGCAAATTCCCTTCAGGTCCAGGATATCCATCATCTTGAGAGCTGATTTCGATATCTTGATCACGCAGTGATTCCACCACCATAGCGTCGCGATTTGATTCCATGTTCATCTGGAATGAGCTATACCATTCATTCGCGGCACCCGGTACCGAGTGATCATTCGCCTGTAACCCTGGGAGTGGTATGTCTATCTCGTCCAGCAAGTCGTCGAGGGCCCCGGGCGTCATTTCAGCGACTCGCGCTTGGTGCTTGGGACTCATTGCGTATGTTGTTAAAGAGTGAGCCGCAGTGAACGAAGTGGTCAGAATTCGGTTAATGAGTCTAAGGGTATTCGAGGCGGCGCCAGCTAGGCATACTTCAATCAATATGAATTATACTCATCATTGAACCACATCCACTTACAACCTCTGTTGCGGTCACTAGCAACGCCTAAAGAACCCGCAACCTCTGAAAGAAAGAGTTAACCAGGGAGGGCGAATAAATAGAGGATATGTACCTGGACTGATTATCGAGTCGTAGGCATCAGCAGCAGGCGAATGGCTGTTAGAGGCGGCTTGGGTCTGGCCGGCGAGACTTCTTTGAGAATTCCTCCACATGTCAGAATTGCCAGAAGTGGATGGTGATCGTGAATTGGGACTGAGGAAGACAGGGTCCGTCTCATGTGATGTGGTCGGCGAATGGATTCTTTGTTGATTGGCGTCGTCTGTCTGTGGAGGAGGCTCCCTGCCGGTTGGGTGGCTCACCAGACTTCCTTGGGAAGCCATGATAAGAGGGGCCTCTGAACGGCCGCCAGAAGAAGTGCCGGCTGCTTGTTTACTGAGAAAGATAGCAGGACTCGGATCACCGCGTGTCCTCAAGAAAGTTCTTCTTTGTCGATTTGCAAGGGCTAAAAGACCGGGGTCTGGTTTGGGAGTCAATTGCAACGAACGCTGGCGCTGGCGTGTCGCAATTGCCTGCAGTCGCGTGGGAGGAGACGATTCGAATTCAGCGTGCCTGCTGTAAGTTTCTGAAAGGCAAGCCCTTTGATAGTAAGAATCGGCTGCCACTGAGTGAGGCCGCTGCGGGTAGCTACAGACTGGGAATTCTAGATTTTAGGGACAGCGAAAGTCATCTAGTGCATCCGACGTGACTGACCTGGTTTGCCACGCGGTCTGCGAACCGGACCCGCGCCCGAAATGTGCGCGGGACCGGCAGGAGCCACAGCTGCTATATGCATATGTATTTTCAAAGCTTTTTGAATAAAGAAGGAAAGCGTACATTGTTGGCGCCAGTGGAAACAAGAGATACGGGCCGCGAATTCGGAGTAGCTCTGTCTGGGCTCTAGAGGATATTCGTCAGTACTATTTGTGAGTAGTGAGCGCGAATTTATGAACATGTACACGTACGGCTAGGGCTATAATAGCTAGTTAGAGCATGGCCGTGGCCATGGTGTGATGTCGATTCATCACTTTCGTGGGTTGGCGGTGCCGGGCTGCCGCAACCGGAGGGTGCAGTTGCGAAGCTTGCTGCATAGCTATAGCTAGCATAGCTAGTAGCTTTGAATTCGTTGTCCGTTTCTCGCATTCGATATTGGTGCGCATTCTTTATTGGATAGTGCGTATTCTTTACTGGCCATGAATAGGGTACCATGGCCATCATCTTGAAGAGAGTGCTATGATGTGCATGTTCACCGGTACGTACGTATACATATATACATGTAGCGTTATACAAATATCTAGATTGGCTTCCATTGCAGTCTTGATCATCAGCGAGTTGAACTCGTTGATGATCTGATCGAGACACGTCGACGGGAGCGTTATAGCACTGGCAGCTGACGCGCCCTATAGCTAGTACAGTTCGTGAAGACTAGTACTCCTTATAAGGAATGTCTACGCACGCCTCAAAGGCAAGCCAATTTCAAAGTCCGCCGATCGGCGCCACGCATGGCGACATGTTGCGCTGCTAATTGGGGCCGTCGGGCCATGCCCATGCCCATCATGTATGCACGCATCATCAACGAGTTCAACTCATTGATGAGGCTACAACGTGAAGCAACGCACGGGCTCGAGCTCGCGATCAATTATGGCCTCATGAATGCAAGTACTTACGTTTGAATCCATTTCCATTATACTATAAATGTATTTCCTTTTCTCGTGGAAATAGCATACTATAGCCACTTCGAACGCGCCCCGAATTCGACATATATGCCTTCGTCTTTCCTTGGATCGGTTGCTTTACAGAAAGCGAAAGTTCGACTTGGGTCGCCGCACATTTGCGTTACAAGGATCAAGTACTCATCTCCCGCCCACGGATTGATTGCAGTGGCAGATTTAGACGGCACTCTGACCGTACGTGACTACGGAGATGAGAAATTGGATTACTGGACCTTATCTATCTTATTTATTAGGTTCATGATGCCCAAGACCTCACAATTATTCGTCGCAAAACTGTGTCCCAGTCGGGAAGTAGTCCAAACGCTATTCGAGCTTTGGAATGGCATCCCAAGGAATCAGAAGTTTACGTCGGATTTTCCAACGGCAACGTCATTGGATATGACATTGACAAAGATATGAGATCACACACGAAGGTATGTCTTCATTCGCGAGTTCAACTCGCGAACGGAGTCCAACTTGTGCGCGCATATACATTGGTCTGACACCCCAGTTAGGATCCCTACCATAGACTCTCTTTCGATGGCCCAATATACGACATTGCATTTTCTCCGTCAGGGTCTCAGTTTGCCGTTGCATACGGGGAGCAAGTTAAGATCATCAAACGACGGTCATTCGGTAAGTCAAGCCCTTCATTCAGCAGGAGAAGCCTCATATATATATATATATATATCAGGCAAATATCATGAACACGATCTAGGTATACGGCCTCGAACCAAGCCACAGAAGCTTTTTTACTACGAGACCAACTCGCTGGTTGTCATTTCTCTGCTCAACCTACCTAACAACATTCCAGCGGCAGTGTATGTGTCTTTAGAGACTTATTTCTTTGCTTTGGCATTTGACATTTTACTCGCAGTGCCTACTCCACCGATGATTCGCGTCCTGGGACTCTATGGACCGTCTTTACCACAGCCTCGGACACCATGTAAGCTTCGAATATGAACCTTCGCTTTAGGTACTGACTGATGAAGCAAACCACCGTAGCCTCACAGCGGCAATGTCTCCAACACAGGATCTTATCACTATTGTGCATGTGCATTCTGGAGCGGAGTCGTACTCAGTTCCCGGCCGCAATCTTCTCCTCAAACAAGAGATATACGAACACGGGGTTATCCGGAAGGATCATATATACGGAGTCGACATGGTCTTCGTCGATTCAGACACCGTTGCCATAGGGGGGGCCGAGTCGATCCTTACGTTCTCAAACGTTAGGACAGGAAACAAGCATGACTCAATATCTGCACCTGTTCTTAGAGATGCCTCATCATGTAGTCTACGGAGATTGGTAAGAACTACCGAGATGGTATCCTCAAGGTTCACTCTAGGCTGACCTCTTATTCTATAGGACGTCACTCGCCGACCCAGCGACCAGACTTTCCGGCTCATAACCGCAGATAGTAACGCTAGGAATATCTACTGTCACATCCTCCAATTCTTAGAGTCTTCTCCTTCGGCTCGAGATACACAAAAGGGAAGAATTTTTGGGCTGGGTTGCGGCAAGATTTGGGTTGCGATCTTCGTGGTAATGCTTGGGGTTGCGCTGCGGAAGTCCGCCATCCTTACAGCTGCTGTACGCTTTTGGCCAGACAACATCACTTTCGACCTTCCCTTCAGCCTTCCCCTCAAATTGCAAGCCGTGTCTGTTCCAGTGATCGCGTCAGAACCTGTAGCTGCGTCAGGTCCAGTGGCTGCGTCAGAGCCCGTGGTCGCATCAGAGCCTGTGCCCGTGGTCGCATCAAAGCCCAGAGCTGCATCTGACTCAGTGGTTGCGTCAGAGTCGGTGGTTGCGTCAGAGTCGGCAGTTGCGTCAGAGTCGGTGGTTGCGTCAGAGTCGGCGGTTGCGTCAGAGTCGGTGATCGCATCAGAGCCTGCCGCACCGGCGAGCCGCCTTCGTGTAGACGCCACCGAGGACATCTCTCCCCACCAATCGGCTTCGCAGTCCCATGTTCTATCAACCCCAACGACCAACTTGGCGCCTCTTTCATCCCCCTCTTTACACCTCTCAGAATCTAGGGTCATCTCGCCTGAGTCGACTCGCGCAGACCTCGAATCTTCTGCAAGTATCGAGTCCAACCACGACGACTCTCCACCGGCCAGCGACCCTATTGGCGAGGGCACTCCTACCTTCGTTGTTACAACGACGCTACTTGAAGCCACACCGCCATCCACTGTCACCGTTATTCAGATGACGGAGCGGATCATCACTATACGAGAGCCAGGCATATCCATCGTTGCGCACTACTTGATTGCCTTTTCGGTGATTTCTCTCGCCTTCACCGCCTTTTACAGGCCAGAAATTAGAGCATGGGTCACTCACCTGAAGTCCAAGGGACCTAAGGAAGCACTGGTTACGGTGGACTGCAAGCAAGAACAATTGGAAGGAAAGGAATATTTGGGGAGTATTCCCGCTGTGCAGCTGAGTCCTAGGGGAGCCAAGGGAGAACTGGGAAACGTGCCCACGACTAAGCCAGTCAAGACGGACGACCAGGAATAATTGGGGAGTCGATTTGTATTCTTGTTGGCTCAATTCTTCCGCGTCTCAATGTCTATATATATGAGATCCTGTACTAGTGTAAGGTCTATATATTATTGCTTGCAAGGTCAACGGTAACGCTCAGCATGTGATACATTCCCCTTTCTCAGCCCCCTGCCCCTGACTGAGCAGACAACTCACTGCGCTGATCAGCGCAGTGAGTTGTCTATCTTAAGTTGTTGTGCAAATGTCTGTACTTAGGTTATGCGAACATCAACACGAACTTTACGAGCTCGAGTGCAATCCAGACCAGCGAGAAATTTACGGTTTAGTTTCTTATCCAACAATGGGCAGCACTTCGTACGAGCATGCAGATCTGGCAGTTGGCTGTTCTTCTGATAATTAAAATACACTCCGTCGGCTAACGACGTTGACGGGTGTCACAACTACAATGGCGTTGTCGGAGAGCGAGGTGAGATTCAGACAGCTTGGGTATGGGCTTCTCTGTGGCCGATGCATCCCCGCCTTGCAAGTGATTTCTTGTATACAACACAAATGTGCGAGCGAGGGGAGGCCGGGAGAATAGGCTCAACATAGTCCACGCTTTGACTTCTGTGACATAGAGCCTGCATCAAGCAAGGTATGTAGATGTACTTAAGTGCTGCAAGCGCCACCTGGTATTAGGTATAATCAGTAACCCATATAAGGAAACTAATTAGGCTGAGTTACAATATTTTTACTTGGTTCTGGGAGGTTCTGGACTTCTGATTTTGACTGTCAGGTGACTGTGTTCTCACCAAAGTTAACGGCGCTCAGCTGTGAACGTTCACCTTCGTATCCGTATGCTCTGCTCTCGAGAAGTACAGTGTTCAACGCTATACTGCCTTGGGTGATCATTGGGAGTCAAGACGCATGCACCTAATAATCGAGGATCAACCCCAGCCGCACCATGATCATCGATATATACTGCAGCTTCGTGATTTGGTGCTGCCGTTGCGATTGCGTTGCCTTAAGTGGAGCCACTGGTGATTAGTTCACTCGTCCTCTCACCCCTGGCCATCTAACACTCACGCTGCAGGCTTGTCAGCTGTCTCGAATCTCTTCGAGCTTTGTGGGCCTCTAATTATTTGTGAGTATTCCTTTCATCGTGTGCTCATTCGTCACATATATACTCACTGACATCTATTGTGTGCCCTATCGTGACCCCAATTTACTCTTCCAACACAAGGTCTGTCTTTCACGCAGCTATCGTAATCTCCAACCCGCCTACAAAATTTTGTAGGCGGGTTGGAGATTACAGATGCCGAGTTCGGGAGTGGCTGGTTCTCTAAAGTCTTGCCAAAGATGGCAAGTCAAGTAGCTATAGAAATTGCACAACTATGTTCAGCTTCCACGGATGGGATCATCGATCGTGCTCCAGTCGATAAGGTACAGCTTCATTCGCATTGCCTTCTGCGACGGGGGTAAGAGCGGCCGCAGCAGGTCTCAACAACCCTTTCGTCAGCCACTCACCATACCGTTGCTCAGCGGTAGCTAGCTAGGACATCGCACATATATAATTATACGGGGGGTAGCTTCAACCCGACGATGTCTCAATATCTCAGGCGGCGTTTCTAAGGGGACGACGAAGCTATGATAAGTATAATGAAGAGGAAAATGGCAAATAGCGCTGATGCGCATCATGCCACGGGCGTCGGACAGGGATTAAATGGGAGAGGCGCGCGAGCGTCGGGATTTGTCATTGGACACCAACTCACTACCAAAATGGGCGAGCCGCGTAAGGAATCCATCCGGCCGGGCGTCGGCATTCGTCCAAAAGGGGCACCTACATCCACAATTAAGCCGGCTGACGTCCCTTTCATAACTCCCCAGCTACCTGTCCATGTCGCCCAGCGTCACTCCTCACTTTGCTTTTTCTCTCTATCTCATCAAGTCAGCTGCTTGGCCTTTCTCGATCACCCCCAAGCCCGCCTCCCGCCATCCACCTTCGACTCCCAACTCTAATGCTCCCAACTTTCTCGGTCCCCCCAACGCCATCTAACACGACGCCCGTGTCTCACAACCAGGCCCGGCCTTTACCCAACCCAACCCCTGCCGTCGTCTATTACATCCCTGGCAACTACGCGGCGCGAACCTTCGGGCGCCCCATAAAATCTCCGTATCCCCTGCAGCATTGAACCAAAATGGAGTCTGCACGCCGGAGCTCCCACCAATGAATGAAAAATCAACAAAAGCCAGGCCTATAAACTCTGGGAAACCTCTGGAACACCGCAAGCGCAGAAGAACCTCGAACAAGAGAACCAAAAGACAGCCGGCGGGGAAACGACCAGAAAACAGCGCAGACGAGCACACGTGCGCCGTGCTGGCAGCTGTGGAATGGGGTGGGCTAGCGCTGGTCGGGATTACGAGACGAAGCGTCAAAATGGGCGTACTCAATGGGACGAAAAGGATCAAACGGTCGAAATGCACGGTATTTTCGTAGGCGTCGTCATCCTTGTCCGCGATTGCGATCGCGGAGTGCGAGGAGGAAGGGGAAAACTTCCTACAGCGCAGGAATGGGCGTACGCAGTCCAGCACTCCATAAATCCTACATCCCACGACACCAGACGCCGGTGCGCGTATGTTAGAACTCGAACAAGGAGGCTGGGAGGTTAGAGGGGGATGGGCATGAGCTTGGACGGGCGGGTGCGTAGATGAAGGGAGAACATTACCACCGGGGCAGGGGGAGACGCAAATACGGACGCTGATGGATGAAAAGGGTATGGAATGCGAACGAGGAAGGGGACAATGGAAACCACGAATGCCGAAGAACATGAACGCCCATGAGGAGAGGGGAAACGCATGAAGAAGACCATATTGCACCGAGGACTTGAGGACACGAAAGCAGCCGTCATCATCTACGATTCACGAGGGGAAGTCAGTACGCATACGAAGAGGGAGGGAGTGAGACGGAAGGAACGTTTGAGGTCAAACGGGTCGAAAACGAGCAACACAGGGAGAGCTGGGGCGGTGGCCAATCTTGCTCGACGAAGGCGAACGAGGCTGGACTTCAACGTCGCGATACGAACAGAAAATCACGTTTATTGAACTTGTGACGACGCTCAGCAGATCCATAGGCTTAAGTGTACACTACATTAAGTATATATTGTCCTGACCACTGGATTCAATATTGTTCTGTGGATCATTTGTATTTGCGATGGCTAGTATGTACGACAAACAATGAGAAGGTACAAATAATTGCTTTCAGCCATCAAACCTCCCTCCTTCTCACCGTCACCAACAACGCTCAAAGGTATGCCCTGCCTTTCATACGGCTTTTCTCTTCTGACTCTCGCTTGCTCACAGAATCATGTCGATTAACCAAACATACTATACCCCCGACGTTACTCACAAACTCGCGATGGACGTCTACAACACCGCGATTCTGCCCTTTGGCGATTGCATCAAGAATGGAGACGCGCTCTGTATCACGTAAGATCGCTGTTATCCTAACGTTTCAGCAACTGAGGACTGTGAGTACAGAGGCGCGTCGAAATCTCCTGGACTCGAACTATCGGCGACCGTATACGTATATCGCAATGGATTATTGCGAGCTACAATAACCGTCGACGGTAACGACCCCGAATTCGCATCATACGACGGCACACGCGGTCCCGTAGAGCTGCGCAGACACTACTTCCCCCTCAGATTCGGTCACTAAATCCTCGTATTCCATACATATATTGAATCCCTTCTTGCGCGTGTATCACTTACAACTTGGAATGAATACATACCGATCGATCGATCGAAAACGGCCGGTGATATTTTGAATATACATTGATTGATACTCAGAGTATGAGCTCATTAATAGGTGTGATTAAATGGAAGAGATACCTGGGAGGATATGCTGAATATCACCAACATATCCTCCCAGACAAAAGCTTGGGGATATTTTGATTTTAATCACTCAAGGTAGGTCTGATTTTCATCTAAGATAATTCCAGGGTATCCTCTCAGAGGAATTTTTTATTGTCAGCTTCATTTAATCACTATATCTCCCTTGAATGATATGATGATGATATTTACAATTTCAGTGCATGGGATATGATGATTTTATTTTGGTTGAAATTCAGAATTTACTATTAAATATTGCTGTCAGAAGTACAGTGTTTAAAACTTGAATAATATCCGCGTGTCATCACAGTATCACCGTCAATGTTTTCGGGCAATGCCCGCAGTGACTCAACACTTGGGCCACATGTATTTGGTTCATGTTCAGAATTCCCAATTGCAACTATCTGAACTTTGGTGCTTGTTTTTGTGGCATCTTGCACTGCATAAGGGATGTTGGCAACTATTGTAGGCCATCCCCACACTGATTACTCTCACTGAAGCTGTTCTAAGTGCTGCATTGCAAATTGGGCCTCATCGCCCAACCTACGGTTGGCCTCATTCGGCCCCTGGTTAGTTTTGGGTGCCCTCTTCATGCCCTTTGCTATCAGGGGCTATCAAGGTGTTGAAATAAGCTGGTGAGGTCGCGCGAATTCCGAGTGAGCAAGTAGATATATTGTGTTTGGCTGGGACTCCAGCAAACGCATAAAGAAAATGATACATGCACGCGACACGATATTACGGTAGTCACGTGCATCTCCTATACCCCTGTACCGCCAAGATTGCTGAAATCCAACACAAGGGGGCTCACATGACCACTTACTTGTAGCGCCCTAATGTCGTCTGGCGATATTAGGCGCTCACTCCAGCCAATCAGAAGAGAAAGAGCTTTTTTTCGAGCAAATAAAGACAAACATCCAGACAGCCAATAGCGGGCTGAGAAATCCCGGCCGAACCAATGAGATCGCTGTTCCTAGCTCCTCGCTGGACCCTGTCCCAAAGTTTCAGAGCACTTCATACTAACGAGCCTCCATTCCATTCCGGTCTCGTAACGTTCAAGTTCGCGCTGTCCTCTATCATGGTCACTGTATTCATCCCCAGTCTTTCTGACCACCCAATGGCTCGTCTAGACCTTAAGGGACCTTTGCAGAAGACTCTGTCCTTTTGGGTCTCACCACACAATCGGCTATGCTACGTCGGCCGCGCTAGTCCAAGACGACCTTTCCAAAGATCCTCAAGACACCAACCATCTCGTCAATGGAGTCGTGATCAAACACAAATACATTCTATGCTCACGCACCCGGTAGATTCTACACCACTTCGATAAGAAATCGTCTGACACTGGGATGTACGCTTTGTGCATGCAAGTGTCGTGTAGATTGCCCTTGTCAAGCGCCGTATAGCTTCTCAGACGACTCCCAACGATACGAGAGGGGCAGAGTATAGGGAGAATATCCTAAAGCGTGATGTAGGTTTCAAAGGGCAGGCATGTCATATCATCCTCCTCGCACGCGGAACTGAGGTGAGCTGCTTCGTATCTTGTTCCATAGAAAACATGCCAATCCCACGAATAAGGACATCCACAAGACTCCTGTTGCACCCTTCAGCACATCAATACCACTAATCCAGAAGACGCCTTCACAATGGAGCGGCCACCACCGCGGACGGCCGAAGCTCGTCGCGCAGACTGAGAGAATCGCCGGAAAACCCCAATGTGTACTACGGATTCGAAGCACGGTCGGCTGACGGAGGACGAGGTAGGGACTCTATGTCTGAGACTGTGCGTAGGACGGTAAACTCGAGATTGGGGATTGTGCTGAGAATTGCGCCTCAGAGGGACACCGCCAAAATGAACTTGACGATGAGGGTTAGTGCTTTCTGGGCTTCTGGTATGCCGCGCACGTGACGAGAATCATACACGACGGAATATCTGTTTACCTCCCAGTTCTCTCACAGTGCGTGCACTTCTCCACGATATCTCAGCCAAGGTGCTGGCGTTTCGTCGGCGCGCTCGTCCAGATTTACCAGTGTGTTGTCCCGGTCGGCCCGTCCGTCTTGCCGATGAGAAAGCGGCATTGAGAGCGATAGCGAAAATAGCGGATGTCTTACAGTACGAAGGTAACTAGCTCGAGGTTGTGTGTCGGCGACCATGAACTTGAACAGCATGATGCGACATCTCGTTTGGCCTGTCGTGTTTGCCTTGGTCGCTGGTTCTACCTGTGCAGCAGCCCCAGATTCTGTACAGATATTTGCCGCAGGAGCCACCCCTACCACCCTCCCTTGCACCTTTTCATTCGCGAATAACAAACTACGGTACAATCTATGTCCTTTACTGCACAGACACAAAGGAATTACCGGCGAGAAGACAATAGAAGTCGATCCCCGACCAATCAAAATCCGCATTGTCGAAGAAACTCCTCCCACGAGGACGACCAGTGTTTATTCCATCGGACTGCGGAGTGCTTTGGACTGGAATGGGACGCTTCCAGCGGAACTGCAGGTGTGCGAGGTCGTCTCTTGCTTAAATGGCTTCTTTACCTAGGAGTATCAGTGTCCGAAGGGCACCTGGATTTGTCTGATAGGTAAGGGTACCATCCACACTTCCTACGGTGAGCTTACTCGCTTGAATAGTGGAGAACACCCGCCCATCCCATCCCTCGGAGCCGAAGCGTCGTTTACAAGTAATCCCAGTCGCTGGCGCACCCAAACTCGCGCCGCGTGCGCAACTCGGTAAACGAAGGATCCCCGAGACAAACGACACGGAAAGTAAGCCCAGGTTATTTGCGCGTGTTCTGCTGTTCATATGCGCACGGACTCAGCCATAGTGCAATACCTCATCCATGGGGGATCTTACACGGATAGACCGCAGATGGCGTACTTTCAATTCATCTGCGATGCAAGTTCGAAAGAGGTTCGTCTGGGCGACGGGTCTACATGCAAAAAAACTAATATTTACTCAGCCGAGTGAGCCTACATACCTGTGGCGATGGAACGGTACACATACATTTGAGTGGAAGTCCCGACATGCGTGTCGGGAGGCATCGCACGTTACAACTACAGCTCCGGGAGCTACGGAAGCGCCATCGCCTGGAGGCAGCGACGACGCGGAAGACCCAATCGCTGAACCACCGCAAGTCCCAGACGAGGTGGTTGAGCACATACGACCAAACCCCGTCTTGGTCCTGGCGACTGTCGTCGGGACAATCTTGTATGTGTTGACGCCATTCAATTTACGTGTCCCTCGTTAACCACATGAACTGGTAGGCTTGTCCTTCGCTATGGAACCAAACGCTCAGTTTTCAGGTAAGTGGCTTGTGTCACTTCCAACGTGAATTCCATGTACTTGCCCTGACGATTGCACGAAGCTCTCTGTTTAAATCGCATCATAAAAGTTCGCGTCGTGAAATACACCACGTGGAAATGGAACCGTTATCACCTAGTCAATCCTATTCCATGGGTCAGCCGCCGAAAGAGAGTTACGGTAGTTTTACTTAGTGGTGAATACAAAATAGACATCGTTGTAGGAAGCTCGAAAGACATCTTCGTTCCCTCGTTGTGCAAAGGATTTGCGAGGAGCCCCTATTGACGTGATTCAGGGACGCGGTATGTGAACGCGCGAGCGGACCGCCGGACACCGTTTCGCTACTTTCGCGAGCCGGAACGCAAAATGCCGAATTCACCTCCTCGCGAACCTTTCTCTAGTCCGACATACTGCATCGCGTACGTAGCCGTGCAAAAGGACTGAGCGCAGAGCAATCTGTGGACCTCAAATGGTTAGAGGGCAAGGCTCCAGCAGCTTTACCAACCGGGACGTCGTTTGGCATACCATGGGCGCAAGGGGACATTGATACTACACCGATTTCTATCGCTTCAAGTGATGGTCAGAAAGCGCTGCTGCAGAGTTGGCCTTTGCCCTAGTAAGTGGACAGGACATGCATTGTCCGCCGCCACCGCTCCTGCGGATAGTTTTTCTATTTCCCAAGGGACTTCGGCGGAGCCAACGTCCCTTGTTTCGGTCTTGCAGAACAACAGCTCCATCACGGGTACCACTGGCGTGTCATCCTAGTATCTTACATCCATGCAGGACGACGCGCAGCGCACGCGGTATAAGTAAGTATATGTATTGTTGCATTCGTATGGGACCTGACTCAATCCAATATCAAATATCAAAGCCATTAGTTTGACAGAAATTGTCGCCGAATATATGTCAACGGATTCAGAGATCTATCTAGCTTCAACAATCATATTTGTTGTCCATCGCCGTCTTTGATTGGTCGCCAAGCATAGCGGGGACAATGAGATTGATCTACAACCTCTGCGGCACAATGCTCGACACTATGTAATATGACAGTCCGACGCCTCCATATACAAGTCGTCTTTCACCGTCGCTGTAATACGTTGTTCCAAGTACAGTGATTTCATCTTGAACTCGTACAGGTTTTTACCATTCTCCTTGGCTTCCCTGGTCTGGTTGGCCTCGTATCTTCCTCGTCGGTGGTCTCAGAAAAGTCCGGCAATGCACCCCAAACCCTCCTGCTCTGGCCGTGGCGAGATTGACCCCTGCTGGCATCGTCTCGCCCCTCGAAACGTTTATATCGCTTGTTTCGATTGTTCCTCAATGCGAATCTATCGGTGAACTCATCTCTACCTCCGAGTTGCTGTGGTGGCTCCAAAAATGGTGCTCCAACCCAAGACCGGCTCTCGCTGTGCTCCCGTCTTTTGCAGGACTCCAATCTGCGACCAATTGAAGAGCCTCTACCCAAACTAGGTTCTTGGGCAACTGGGGCGTTGCACCGCCGTCGAGCTTTGGATTTCTTCTGCTTTTCTACCATCTCAGTCGCCATGTTCTGCGATAGTGTCTCCATGCGCTTATCGTGCTCTCGAAGCATGCCCGCACGCTCCTCCTGGTCAACACTGCTGCCGAGGTTCAAAATGAGGTGCATTTCGGCACGGTACGCTGCACGGTGGAAATCCTTGTATCTGCTTGCGCACGGCGAAATCGACCAAGAAGAAATCGTCTTCGAAGTTCGAAGGCGAAAGAGCTTTGAGTGTCATTCCCATCGGGCTACAATATGGCACTCTCAACGTCTGCCCAGTTCCGGCATTCGATGTCGATGATTCGCCGGAAGCAAAAGTAGGTTTCCCGCTGGTATGCTTGCGACTCCCGGTCAGCGGATATAATTGCAAAGCAAATTAACTCCTTACTCGTGGCCTATCATCCCTGTTCGTTGTGACTGAAACTCGGAGCCCTGATATCGCCTTTGGAACGAGAAACGATGCCCTCGGTGTATTTTGCTGCGATGCAGTCTGGCATCTACTGAAGCTTGGAACGAAGTCGGGTGGGCGGGGTGTAGCTTCTTCCTCCCATTCAGAACAAGACGAGCCATCGTCCGATGTAGCTGAGTCCTCACGGGAGCCACGAGAATCTGCTAGTCCAACTCCAACGACCCCTTCTCGACTTCTCCCCCACATCCCCGCATCACAGCCCAAGACATCGGTCATGGCCCTTATCTCCCTCGTTGGCGGCTTCCTCGAAATCCCAGCTGGCTCGAATACATCCGCTGCGGTACTCTGCCTTCTCCCTATCGTGGCCTCGCGGAGCATTATCTTGTGCTGGCCCGCTTTACGCCGCGTGTGCCAGTAATCGAATGCGTCTAGCGGTTCTGAGGCGTCGAGATGAAGACGTCTATGGCTGGATAGGACTGCTGCGGTCATTTTACCGACGCTCTTGGATCGTTCGACGACCATCGCTCAGCTATGTCTCCCTTGTATATAGACAGTGACCCTGCCGACTTCTGGTGGGCTTACAACGGAGACAGCGCAAACCTCATCAAAACGTTCCAGATGCTGCGGAATCTCTCTAGGTTCATCAAAGAATGCTGAAGCATCTTATTTGCAACGGTTTCAGGCCGCGGATTGTAGTGGTGGGGGGCACAGAGTTATGCCAGCAAGGCCCGTCTTTCGTGCGTGGATCGCATCACCTATTGCGACAGCGCCCTCAAAGTGAAGCGTCTAATCATAGCTTTGACTGATTGGAAATTCTTTACGGTGTCTGATCCGACCTTCACATGTAGTGCTTACCTGGTGTAACTGGTTCTTGGGATCCTTCTTGATGATCTATCCCACGTCTGCTCTTAATATCGTACCATCATGCATCATGTTGAGCTTAGGTCCGCATCAGCCTGAGTCTGTTTCTCTCGGAAGAGATTCACCGGTCAACTAGACCCTCGTCTTGCCATTGCCCGGACAGATGCACTCAGTTGGTGCTTTCGCTGTATGCCACAAATGTGTATTGCTACTTCCGACCCTGCCCCTCGAGTATCGGGTCGCACGCCAAATTCTGAGAGCTTAAGTGGCTTGGTCGAGGCAACGATTCCTATATGAAACTCTCATACTAGAAGGCAGAATGGAAAACATTGCCAATCCTAGTAAGTACTATCGAGGATGCTCAGGACCTCTACACGTGCATACTACGTGCTGGCCAGCGCGTGTTCGCAATTTCCCCTGGCTATGCCTTAAAGACTAAAGTAAGGGATTTTGTGAAGATAACAAGTCCATTGGTGACCCCCAGCATTCATCTCGCATTCCTCACAACGTACGAGCTCGTTCGTATTTGACCCCAAGCAAATACGGATTTTGCACACTACTTTGGAGGAAATGTCCCCGGTTGTCGTCGAGCCGAACCTGATAAGGCACCTCCGCTCGCTCGCCCTAAGGGGCGAGAAAGCCTCAGCGTAAAAAGCATGGGGCAGTTCAAAGTGCGTCGATGAGCCCATTGGGTTACTAGGATCTCGTTCTCGTTCTCTGCCCTCGCTTTCCCTTAGAGTCCGCTCACCCCTAACGTTCTTGACAGGGGGTATCGACAACTCAACCCACCCACAACAACGCATCAACGCAAACAGTATTGGGTTTGGGTTCCAGCCGCGAAATGGTTCCACTAATTTACCGAGTAGCTATTAGCTCCATGCTACACCTTGAAGAACTCACTTGATCCGCTGATTTCACTCCGGAACCGTGGTATGACAGTGAAACTTGGTGGAACTGTATGAAATACATAATTTCTAGTGGTCGAGTTACCTCCCGGATCGTAACTAATGACTCCAAACCCTATGTCCACAGTCAATAACGACGTATGCGTAGTCGCCTCGCCAGGCCCACGTTCAAGCAGTCCTTGTTCGGAGCTTGCACCTACATAACCGCTAAACGCACTTCAGGCTTGCTCCAAGCTCCTCCAGGCCTCAAATACGTTCACAAACCCTTCTTCTCAACTCCCGAGTGTTGTTCATGCCCAAGTTTCATGCTTTCCGCACATCCCACAAATTTCGTCGTGATGCTAACAGGTATATTCCAGGTCATGGTCCAGGTATACATCATGGGTCGTGCAGTCGTGGTCGTGCAACAAATAGAGGCAGGCTACAAAATACGAAAACCAGTTCGTTCATTACTACTCGTAAATAGGCTGGGGGTGCTAATTATCCCGAGCCGGATGCAAGGTACTACTCTATGGATGCTGGGACGAGAAACGGGCGATTGCTAAATAAACAAACAGAAAACACGTTGAAAACGGGGAACGCTAAACGAGGACGAGGCAGGATGAGAAGGAAGAAAATGCAAGGGAGAGGAAGAATAAGAAGATATAATAGCGACACAATGCACTTGCGGAACGATGAGCTCGGGACGTGGATAGCGATGCGATGCAGAGAAGGAAGAAACCCATCAAAAGAAAAGAAGAGAAAAAGGAAAATAGAAAAATAGCAATACATCTTCAGCAACTGCGACACGACAGCTTCTTCGACAGCAGTTCAAACGGCAGACGCGGGCTTGCTCCTCATTTGCTTCATGGCCTCCATCGCGTACCAGCCCAACTCGTCGCTGTTGTCTTGTTTTGGTGCGCCGGGGGTCCTCCCCTCCACATCCCCGGCCCTATTGTTGGCTTGCCCCCACTTGAACCCCCCACCCTGCGACATGCTCCCGGTACGCCCGCGCCCGCCCGTCGGAGGAACGCCCGCCTTCCCCTGATGCAATGCCGACGCTGCATCCTGCAAGAACGCTTCGATATTCATCCCCGGCCCTTCCTCATCCCCTCTGAACGATATTGGACTCGCATTTCCCAGCGCACTCGGCGTCCACCGCACATGTTTCGCCTTCGTCGACTTACTCTCCGCCATTCCGCCCACCAGCGAGTCCCAGCCCCCAACCGTCGACGGCCCCGAGATCGTCGACCCCGAGTCGTAGTCCTCCTCGTCATACGCGATGATGTTGTCGAACATCTTGCTTGGGACGCTCGGCTTGGGTTTAACGATGTTCGGGTTTTCTTCCATGATGTGCCGTGAGTCGGTGGGGAGCGCCTCACTCATACCTTCCGTTTCCTCATCGTCCGAGACCTCCTCGACCATTACACCCGACTTCTTCGACGCCTTGGTACCCTTCTTCAAGATGGTCCTGCCCTGCGCATCGGCGGCACGCCTCGTGCCATTAGCCACAGACGGCTCGGCGAAGAAAGCGGGGTCGACAGGGCTTGGGGGAGCGGGCTCAGACATCCTACGAGCCCTCGCTGCGGCGCTCATCGGCTTCCTATCCCAAGGTTGTTGTGATTGCTGCTGCTGTGGTTGCGCGATGTTCCCCGTAGTCTGCTTCGCCTTGGGTGGAAGCCATATCTCTGGACGGGACGCCATGTGGGCTTGTGCTTGTGCCGACGCTGACGACGGCTTCGCAGACGACTGATCGGACACCGTCCTCAACACCCCAGCGACATCCGGGGCTTTCAGTCCCCCTGTGGGCTGATCGGAGCTCGCCCTAGCCACGCCCGCGTTCCCTCCCGGCATCCAAATCCCCTGCGTCGGGGGCTGCAACAAAGTGCTCTTCAGCCCACTCAAAGCCGCCGAGGCCGCCTGATCCAACGTCGTCCTGGAGGATGTCGCACCCGCCGTCGCGGTCATAGGCTCGTCGTCGTCGAACAGCGAGAACTTCCAGCGCGCCGCTGCCGGCTCCTTCTGCGCCGGAACCTTCGACTGCTGCTGCGACCCACTGCCAGCCGGGACGCCAGCGTCACTCTTCGACTTAGCAACCGCCGGCTCCTCTTTCTTCGCCCATGGGGACTTGACTGACGGCTGTGGGACGGGTGCCTGCTGCAGCGCCTCCTTCGAAACAGTCACCTTCCCCCCAAAACCTCCTATACTCCCCGCATCCTTCGCAGGCTCCACGACCTTCGCCGCGACCACAGACTCCTTCCCTTTCGCCTTCGCATCGACCTTCTCGTTCGACTTTGCCGCAACGGGAGCAGGCGCAGGTGGTTCGGGGGCTGATGCGCCCTTCTTCCCCTTCTTCTTCGCCGCCTTCGAGAGCTTCGAGTTGTTGACAACAGGCTTCGGCTCTGGTTCCGCTACTACGGCTGGCGCGGGGGCTGCTGGTGCTGGTGCACGTGCACTAGCAGCCTTGGTAGTTCCCTCCTTCTCCTTCCCATTGCCCGACCTCTTCTCATCTCCCAAAGAGGACGACGCTGTCGATGCTGCTGACGCGTTCTTGCCTGAGAGAACCCCTGTCGCCGATGACGCAGGTGCTGAGGCAGCCGTAGATGGTAGCGTCTCCTCTGGCCCTCTGGGACTCCCATTCTGGCTGGATCCAGCCCCGGCAGTGGGCGCCCACGAGTCGAACTTCTGCGCCATCTGCGCCTGCGCGGCGAGGATGCTCGCAATCTTCGCCTCATCAAATGCGAACTCATCAACAGCACTGTCCTCCATTGAGGAAGAGGACGATGCCAAAGGCACGGACGAGATCGACGGTGTGAACGACGATGGTGTGAAGAACGCTGACGCAGCGTACGAGGCGTTCGACGATGTAGAGGAGGTGGATAAGGCGGAGTCGAGCTGTGGGGGGAAGAGCATAGACGCTGAGATCGGCGCGGATGATTGGGGTTTTGCTCTTATCGTCCCCGAACCGAATCCCATCCCCATCCCCATCCCCATCGACGATGACGAAGACGAAGCACCCTTGCTCGTGGCCGCCGCAGAAGAGGAGGAAGACGACGAAGGGGCCGAAGCAGCCTTGATGTGGCCACTGACGCTGCTCGCACTGGCAATCTCCTGCTGATGTTGCTGTTGAGGATGCGACGGGCCAACGACCGATCGCCTCTTAATCGCATTCCGCCTCTTCCTCCTCTCATCATCCACAATCTCCTTCCGCTCGTCCTCCTTCAGCTTCCTCAAATGAACCATCGTCTTCTCATGCTCCACAATCTTCTTGTTCTCCTCCTCGTAGCACCTCCTCTCCCGCTCCCGCCTCAGCAGCGCCGTCTCGTCCTCCGATCCCTTCCCCTCACCCCCCGCACCATTGCCACTCCCACCTCCACCATTACCACCTACGCCACTACCACTACCCCCGGCGCCCGGGATCTCAATCTGATCATCATACAGCCCCAGCTTATGCAGCTTCCGCGACCTGAAGATATCCCGTATCAGCGCCTCGTCCGCCGCCGCCGCCTCCTGGTGGAACTCATGTATCTTCCGTATCCTCACATCCATCTTGAAATTCTCAAAGTCCGCCTCCTCGGAGGTCAGCTCGACGTGTACGGGCCCGCCGCTATGCGCATTATTTCCATTATGATTGCCGTGATTATGGTGATTATTGGAGGAGGTATTATGGGTGTTGGTATAAGTGATGTAGTCTTCCTGGGTGTTGAGGACGGGCCCGATGTAGGGTGGGCCGGCGACGCGGGACCGCGACGTGGTCGTGGTCGTGTTATGATTAGTGGACGCAGGCGCATTTCCCAGGCCCGAGCCCGAGCCTGATGCAGAAGACAACGACGAGGTCGACGCCGACGAATCGACCGACCGCTGCGGCTGCTTGCCAGCTTGCTTCGCACTACCCGCCTGCGCCGTCTGCGTCTGCGAGCTGAGCCACCCGCTCTTCTTCCCCGACGCCGTCGCCTGTGTCGGCGTGGCATCCAGCTTCCCGCCTGCAAAGTTCCACCCCCCAGGCATGGGGTCCGCCGCGATGGTCTTCGGCGCCGGCTGCTCGGGCGAGCCCGTGTGCGATGTCTGAGTGGATGTGGCGGTCGAGGAGAGCGAGAATTCCGTGGACCAGCCGCTGAGGGAGGAGGATTCGGAGTGGAAAGAGGAGGCGGGGTGCGAGGGGAAGGGGTTAGAGGACGCGGGCTGTTTGAGCTGTGTGTATGCGTTGCGGGGGTCGAGGTGAGATTGAAGAGCAGATAGACAGGGAAAGAAAGAGACATAGAAGGGAAGAAGGTGCGTGCTCATTGAATAAACGAGAAATGAGGGAGAGGTAAATGCTACTCACCACCTCGCTGAAGAATGTTAGATCCTCGAATGGGGACGAGCCTCCGTCGTCGTCATCATCATCCTCGTATACGCGTGGATGGCCGAATGATGAGGGGTTGACGAATGCGTAAGAGCCGCCGACGTTGTTTGGTTGATTGGTCGAAGCGGTTGGCGTGGATTGTGAAGTGGCCAGTGATGTGGGATTGGTGGATCGGGATGCACTGGGCAGCGAAGATGCCGCCGGTACGGAAGTCTGCAATGCGGCTAGTGACGCCTGGAGTGATTGGGGGGAAGGCTGGGGGTGTTGCGGCGTGGGGAGTTTGGAAGACCCGGCTACAGGCTGCTGGCCAGACGTTGACGGCAGCGGCGCTTGTCTGAGCAGGGACTGGATCTGCGTTTGCGTCATGGCGTGAAGCAGCGACGAGTCTTCCTCATCGTCCTCGTCGTCGCCCTCCTCTTCCTCCTCGTCAAAGTCGCCGCCGAGAAGGCGCTGAACAGCCATTTGCTCACCCTCGGTCATGTCTACCCAGTCCTCGTCCTGCAGCCCCTTCTCTCCGAGACGCTTCTGCCACTCCTCCCTGCCGCTCAGTACGAGACTCTTCCTCAGCGATAGACGCACGGCATTCTTCGACTCATCGTGCCCCTTCTGCTCTTCCTTTTGTTTCTGAAGCTGCGCCTTCTTCTGCGCTTCCTGTTCTTTTTGTTGTTGCTGCTTTTGGGCAGCTGTCAGGCGTTTCTTGGACGCCGGTGCGGGTGTGGGTGCGGAGGATGAGGATGACTTGGCATGGAAATCTTTATCCATCTCCTTGAATTTCTCTGCGCATTTTTTCTCCATCGTGCTCTGCTGCGCCTTGAACCATGTCTCGAAGTCGCGCCATTCCTGGCGGACCTGATCTGAGAGGGCCCTGCGGGTGTGTGGCTGGGCGCGGAAGGGGTTGGGGAACATTGTGTGGATGCGAAGTTTGAATGTGTGACGTGTGGGGTGGCGGCGGTGGGTTGTTTGAAATTAGAATACTCTGTCGGTGGCGCAAGTGAGTTCGCTGGCAACGACAGTGGGCACGATGCCTCGCACGACGGCGAAGACGGTGATGATGGTGGTGAGAGGGAGAGGGAGGGAGGAGGGGGAGGGAACAGTGGGCGGGTGGATGGGCAGAGGGGTAATATAAAAACGACGGTCTTACAATAAAAATTTGGCAGGTATGACTCGTTCTTCAATTCAAGCCACCGAATAATCCGATTTGGCTGTTTTTCCGGGCACGCCGTGGTGCTGCGAGGCGAGGCGTGCTGGGATCTGGCCGTGCAATGCGGCGAGGCGAATATGCAGGAAATAGGAAATGGGAAATAGAACGGGGTGGGATGCCTGCACTCGAGGTGACACGCCTCGTGTTTTGAATGATACAAAAATATAATATAATATAATATATCTATCCGGGTCTTCTCCGCGATGAATCCGCACCATTTCTACATATGGACGGTTTCGGCGCAACAAGGGCAGAGGGTTCGCCATCCTCGACTATATGCGCATTGCGAATGTATGCGGCATCTGCATCTGCATAGACCATGTCCACTAGTGACCATGCTACTAGTCAGATAGGCCCATTCCCTCGACAGCCTATCGCGCTTGGCCCAGCTGCTGTGGCACCTCGCTCGCATGCACCACCCTCGCCGAAACGTGCTTTGGGCAATGGGCTTTTTGATTCCGCGGTAACGGTAAGCACTCCCGGCCGAAAAACGTGCTTTCTACTCCAATCCCAGCCCAGCTCATCCCCATCCGCTCCTCCCCATGTCCACCACAATTCGCCTTTTATGGTAAAAATTGAGGTCGCGCTTGGCACTCCATACTCTGCCCTCGCGGCTCGCGTGGCCTGCCGCCTTAGCTTTAGCTCGGACAATATACAGCGAAGGAATATATAGGGAAGTAGGGACGATCAATTCCGCACACACTCCATGTCGTCGACTGTCCTCCAGCCTCCCAGACTAATAAATTCTTTCAGTCGACGCGGCTTGCGTGATTAATTAAGCGAATGAGATAGCTATCTAGCTATCGCCTTTAGCGTAGTATGTTGGACGTCAGACGGCAATAAAGGGGGTGCCATCATGCTAGGTGGTCTTCCATGCACGGATATTTGGGTGCTAAGATGCCGTAGGGAAGCGGAGGCATTGGACTCCTTCGAAGATATGTCGGAGTAATCTTAATGTACTCATGATCATCGTACATCGTATGTCGGGACGGGCGGGACCGTACCGTGCGGCAACTGCGGTTTCCCGTACGTACCATACCGTACATATCGTTACTACATACATTCAACCGTACCGAATCTCGACCGCAACTAGTGCCGGTAGTTGGTGATTGGAAATCCTTTGCTTCCATATTCATATCACCAATACCCATATCCATATCACCAGCATCCAGAACTAGAAGTAGACCAGCGAATATTAGCGTGAGGAATATGTCAGGAATCTTGCGAGACATTTTGGGCGTTTTGGGACCCGGCCGACGCGCATGATACACATACGCATATGATACACATCCTTATGATACTCGACTTAAGCTTTATGATAGATAAAACATATATAGAACCAACACATACCGATATGAAGACGGATGCGAATACAGGTACCAGATGCGAATACGACTACACTCTAGCCCGACTGGACGATTAAACAGCATGACACCAACAGCCTGACTGGATCCCGCAGCCAATGGCATGAACGTTCGAGCGTCCAGCTGACCGAGCGCCGGCGCTGGAACCTTTGGAAGGCGCGAAGACAGAGCTTATTCTCTTCCACCACTCTCACATCCCCCTCGTATCTAATACTCGGTATTTCTGAGTGGACGCGACATAAAAATATACGAGATACGCAGCTATCACGCGCCTGCGCTGGGAACCGCTGGGAAGTCGGGAAGGCAGGGGAAGGCACCGAGTCTGAGCCTCTGAGCGTAAGTCTGTATCCGTATAAGCTCGAGTGTGGATAATAATAAACGAGTGTATAAGCTTACGGGTGTATTGGGCCTATTGGTGTATGATAAGAAGGGAGCGTAGGTTATGTATTATAACCGACTCCCGAAGTTGTCTAGATGGAAGGAAGGAGCGTAAGCTACGGCGTAAGCTACGGAACTGGAAGTACCACCGTAGCAACACTGGCACAAACAGAAATAGAATGATGGGAAGAAGGAAGGACTGAGAAAATGGGGGAGGAGAAGGGGAAGGAGAAGGAGAAGCACCCGAGAAATGAAGTGTCGCGTGAACGTTCGAACAGGTTGAACGTTGACGAGCACCTGCTGACCCCCCTCCCGAGATGTCGTACGCATCATGCTGTTATCGTGACAGCGCACAGCTCATGGGCGTCCGGGCGTCCAAAGCTTCAAATTTCCAAGCATCCTTTTGTTTGCTGTCAAAGAAGCTAATCCCCGCTAGACACCGCTGGACGTAGAAGTCGGCGGAAGAGAAGTATTGCCATACTACGATAGGGGCGCTCAGGGGCATGGACTTGGAGGCCGATTCGGTGGGAGGGAGGTGAGAGGAGAGGTGTGAAGGCACACGACATATGCAGTAACGGCCACAATCACCAAATACTCCACTTCTCCTTCTCCGCCCGTTCTCGTACGTTCTCTCATGTACTCACACATACTCACATCATATCTGCACCACATGATATGCAGCATAGTTATCGGCAGGCCGCTCACACGGAATATAGACTCAGACTGCAGACTCGGAGGCTAGAGTGGATTACGAGGCCATCGAAAGACATGGAATCACTAGGGAAGGACGGAAACAAATATGGAGACATGGGCTGAACATGGAAACGGTTCCGCCGCCGCTAACACCACCACGCCACCACCACCACCGACCCGGGACCCCGTTAATATTATAGCCATAGAAACATATGGATATAGTCGCCGGTGAGAGTTAAATAGTAGTACTCGTGGGCTGTGTGGGGATGACGATCACCGGGCGGCCGGTATTCATTCGCTTGTAGCCGCTTATTCTCTCTTTTTCTAATTTCTCTCTTATTCCCAACTTCGCAGGCAACCCTCGCGGTGAATGTCTTGCCCGAATGATGATGATGATGGTGGTGGTGGGGATCATCATCTTGTAGGTACCTTCGTACCCATCGGAACGACCTAATCCTAATCATGAAAGGCACTGCGCTCAGTTGTTCCGCTCGTAACTGAATAACGGTGCAACGGTGCATCACATCAAAGGTCAAAGGACCAAACACGGTCCAGACTCACATATGTGCAAAACTAGGGATGCTGTGGTGCAGGGGTGCGGCATCACGAACGCGCGGGATGATTCTGATCCACTGATTCGCTGATCCACGCCTCGCTGATCTGTTGGCGCCTCACCACCCAAACACCAGGACACCAGGACACCAGGGCACCAGGACGAACTGATACTCGACGTACACCAAAGCCCCACGAAAGAGCGAGACGGCGAGACGGCGAAACAGAGCTGGATTGGGAACTCGTTGTCATATTGCAGATTAATGATTAACAGGCTGTACTTGACATCTAACCTGTTAGCACACCAATCTGAGCCAAATATAACAGCAATCCAGTCGAAGGAACACGCCCCAATCGTTCATAGTATAGTACGTGACCATCGTGTCCATTCGAAGCATTCAACTACAGGGGTTTGGGTGTATTGTTAGCTAGGCACTATCTCTATAGCATTGCTGTATACCATCAACTGCGCATTACACACCAATAAACTAGAGAGTGTATATCCTCTATTCCCAAGTTCAAGTTGGCGAGACACGAGTCGACAAAACATGTTTGATTTAAGCTCACACGTACCGCCATGCCGGGTGAGACCCGACTCTTGAACCGATTCTAGAGGTAATGTAAGGGGGCCATGCGGCTTTTGCTCGTTTACCTCCCAGTTTGCACATTATGAAACCCAACCGGTCACCCAAACCCAACTCAACCAGCACCTAGCAATGTAACACGGAAACGAGGCTGTTGCCCAATCCCAGTCCTTCGGCGACGCTGGACATTGTTGGGGGACCTCGTGTACATCCTCCATGGTGCGTTTCATCCATGATTAATTGAGATTGATTCGGCATAGACCCATTCATTACCCATCTACACACAAATTAGAGTTGGTTTTGGCCATATCCGAGGTTGCAATGAGTTTACAACTCAAAGCCTCGAGGCATCCGGCTCAATTAACGATTAATTGATTTGATTGAGCAATTATAGATGATAGATGGTAGATAATGAGGCTGGAGATTCCGGGCCTGTCTGGCTTCGATAGACAATGCAACGTGAGGGTGCGTGCCGGACAAGGCGTGTTGAATTCAATGCGTTGAAGTCTGGTGCCAGTTCGAAAGGGGCTAGGGGCCTGGGAAAGTCCATGACCAGGGGGGTCGGCCGATGCGGCGTCAGACGGTGATCCAAACCCAAACAGTAACCCAACGCCCAACAAATTATTGGCGGTGGCGTAGCGCAGGAATCAGGATATACATCTGCCTGCATCTTTGATTCTTTGGGGCTTTGGGGACGCGTTTTGATTATTCCGTTTGATACTCGAACCTCTGATTTGTTTCTCGACCTTCCTTGACCCGTTGTTACAGCAGCTGCGATCCTTCGTCGACCCTGGTCCCTAAAAACGCGCAAACCATGTGTACGAAAATTAAAATACGGACTAGGCTGGGAAGGGAATATGATGCAATAGAAATAAAATATATACCAGAGGAACCTGAGGTACACGGAAATTGCAAAGAAAAGGTAGACAAAGGAAGAGTGACAAAGATACATCGAGTACGAAGATGAAACATTTACTTACCACACCGCGTCAATGCTACTACGCACCGGTTGCAGCTTTCCAGTACGCTCTGGTCGAATCCCTGATCGTGCATCGTGCATCATGGTCAAGCGAGAGAGATAATGCAAGAACATACAATCACAGAACAGACCAACCCTCTCGCTACTTCCCGCCGATCCGAAGTCTTGAAATCAGAGAAGACAGGACAAGCCAGGATGATACACCAGGGAAAGCAGCAACCCGACGTTTTCATTTCGGGTACAGTAGTAATAGAGTGTGTGCTATTGGCGCTACGTATGTCTGAGTATGATTTGAGTATTAAGTATGATATCAGGAATAGAATATAGGATATAGGATACCTCCGCTATATTCACATTGCACAAGGTGATCGACGGTGTATTTAGGGTTGAAGGGACCGGGAGCGAGGTGTAGATAGAGAGTAAAAGATAAACCGGGAAATGAGAAAGAGAAAGGAAAATATTCACCGGGTTGATAATAACATAAAGAAAGGCTTGGTGTTTACCGTAACGCCGACAAAGACGACGAACAAAGCCGAGATCTTCATTAAGAGCGCTGCCATATGCCGTGTGTAGGGCGAGGGGTATCGATTTTGAACGTGCTGACTTCAGCGTCGAACTTCTTTGGAAGGTCGAATGTGTCGAACCGCGGAGGGGTCGAAGAATTTCATCTCGGCTAGAGTTCCTGTGGACGGACGTATGATGTACTGATGCATATGGCGCAGAAAAAGAGGGTACTGCGTCATGGTCGGCAAAGAGTGCTGATTGAGAACCAAAAGGGGTACGCGAAGAGAGGTTAGACTGATCAGTGTCACAAACCGTAGGAGACGAGTTGACTTGCTAGTACCCGAGCGTCTTAGCGAGGCATGGCATCAAAAATTGGTGCGCGGTGAGAGGGGCTGCAGCTTACGATCACCTAGCCTCGAGGGGGTGCATAGTGGATGAACCTGCCTGTGGGCACTATAGCAGTACACGCTTGCACTTGGGATGATGGCGAGATTTCCCGGTGGTAGGGGAAACCCCCTTGAAGAAGGGGCGCACCGACTTCCTCGCACCTTCAGACCGAGATGAATTCATTTCCTCTTATCTTGCGCGCTTGAGCATGAAGTAATAGGTCTGTTAGGAGTAATCATGGCATCGGCGTGGTGATACTAGGCAATCCGTTGCAAAAACTTACGATTTGAATATACCTCGAACCATGACGCGACGTATTGCGATTGATATCACGAAACTCCGTGGTCAAGAGTCAAGACAATGCACTTTGGCTCAAAATGAACTTCGGCAACTTCATGAAGGAAGAAGTATCATGACAACATACCTTACTATTAGTTCGTAATCTTCGTTAGCAAACGACTCTGATCTCCTCTACCCTTTCGTCCTTTCTTCGTTGCTGTCGCCGTTATTCGGTGCCTTCTGGTTGTAGCCCACATCAAGTGTGCTGCGGCGGTTGGCGTTGAACGAGGGCAGCTTGTCACTGTACCGCAGAATAGAAGGGCCGAAAGTCAACCCGAGCCATCTGTCGATTGGTTTATACACGTCGTGGGCTCACCATCGTTATCTCGTCTCTGTAAACGCCTCCCTCAGTGGTTCTCATTTCATTGTCGCCCGTCGTTCACTTCCAGGCCTTCACCCTCCAACCCTTGCTTACATCCTCTTTTTCTTCTGTAAATTGGCATGCCCTGCTCTGAACATCACCGTCAACCTGAACTCACCCCCGTCTGGAACCAGCATACTTCGCGCTCACTGTGATTGATCATGGTTAGGTACAATACGTAGACCATGGACGTTGCATAGTGGATGATGGAGGGGAACCAGCCGGGGAATGGTGCGGAATACTCAATGGGACGTCGAGCGTTTCAACCTCTAGAAAGAAATCAAGTGAGTAACTCACCCACTCGTTGCACCTCTTCGAGTATACAAACAGCCTGCAGTGTACATGTCTTCCTCGATTAAACTGTCGACAGAGCGAGGGGATCCCCGTCTTTCCCCTTCTTTGATTCCTTTTAACCTTTTCTGTTCATCTCGTCCCAGGACTCGCTTGCCCATCCAAGCCTCTTCCGTCGTGTTCCTTCGTATGTGCTCATCCCCGTCCCCACACTCGCCATTGCTCTCGCTTCCTAAGTTGTCCGATTTCGTGCCTCTCAAGTTTGAGATGCTTTGATTGGAAAAGAAGGGTTAGGATTGCGCGGGCGCCTAAGAATACTTCCCTAGGGTCTCAGGGACCTTGTTATTTACACACAACAAGGCCACTCACGGCACTGGAGTAACCGTATCAGAGAATGGTCGAAGGCAGAGATAGAATGAATGGATGCGGCGTGGCGGCTGGCTTCGAGGATTGATCATCATATTCTCCAAGAGAGGTGGCATGGTAGGTATCATCACGAAAGTACTCAAGGTCTAACCAGCATTGAAGTAACGCCATTCGTTATTCATGTCTCATATATACATGAACCTTGGGGTACGCAAAATCATACGTAGACTTCGTTACAATTACAGGACCTATGAATTATTGTGAAGCCGCAATGTGCTCGTGTGTAACTTCGTCTTGGTTGACCGATGCTCTCACCCTCTCCATCGCATCTCGCATGGTCGCGCCTCGCTCTACAGTAATGAGCGTGCCATGCTTCTTGACAGTGCCATCCTCTGCCAAGTGGAATGGGCCATTCTTCCCAGTCGGATACAGCCAAAACGCAAACCCAGCGGTTATTTGCCCGGCTTCATTCACTCGGCCGTGCGATGCCATATAAGTCTCCACCGCTGAGAAATTATCGGCGTCAGATATCTCGTCGAAGGCATCGGAGGCGAGGAGGGCAGAGAGCAAGGCAGGGTGGTCCGCTGCTGTCGACCGCGCTGTTTGGAAAGGATATTGTGTTCTGTTGACGGTGACGGTGTCTGATTCAGACATATCTGCTTTTGCCTAGTATCAGTCTGTTGAATGACAGGTTTTCTTAGCAGTCTCACCTAGCTGTGGTAGATTGCTGTGGAGAAGTGATACGCATCATGACAGGAGATTCGTCCTTTTATATCCGAAAGGTTGGTATCGAATACGGACGTACACGAATATGCTCCTGTTTGGATAACCCAATAAGAGGATGGCGGCGAGCAAGTGATGGAGGCACAGAATGTTCAAAAGAATCATGGAATGCTTCACACATCCCAACCGGACGCTAGAAGACGTACTCTGCAATGGACGTAGAAGCTAAAGTTCGGGTACAACCAAAGAGGGAGGTTACATTTCTATGTTCGCAAAATTCAAGGTATACATGCTGCTATCCTTCAAGGAGAACGGAAAAGTCGCTGGCAAAGCGAAAGACAGTAGTGTAGGTGTAATAATAGGTCCACACCATACTACAATAACAGTAAGCCATAGGACTATAAAACCGGTAACTGTTGTCGACTCTACCTCACCCTCAAACGACTCATCAATGCAATACCAAACCGCTATCCTAGTTGCCTTGACTTTCATTCTCCCAGCCCTTGCATCCTCGCCTGGAGGTGTCGGTGGGCGTCGCCTACCGAATCTCGCGGATAGGGACACCGAAAATGTATCCGAGTCGGACTCGCACAGTTTATTCTCGGTAGGATTTCTCTGATCTTACTTCGTGTGATACGCAATCTGAAGGTATACCATCCAGGTACGAGCCGCCCAAGTCAGCTGCGGCAGCATTCAAGTCCATGATAAAACTGAAACTGAACAAGCTGAGCTAGCAGCTAAAGGGTAAGCTGGCGGTCTATTTCCCCTGAAACTCACGCACATTTCCTCTGAACAGGTGTATTGCCGCCGACTCGAAGGGATTGAAATCAAGCCATAATTGCTTCAACAAGGGGGGGAATGCCTACTTTTGTAACCCAAGCTGTTTCTCCAAGTCTCAGATGAAGAAGTTGGGTGCGGAGAATGGTGAATGCTTCGTCTGAAGGGTGGGGGCAGGGGCCATGTAATAATAGACGATATATCATGGCCAACCAGACGAGTTGGAATCACATCGCAGGAATGAGGCTATGATCGCACTGACAATCATAGTTATTTACGGACTGAGAATGGTCGAGATTGTACCCACTATGCAGAGTCTGATATGAAGGGTACTGAGCTAGTTGGGTGGGACCAGTGCCGGACGTAGGTTCACGGCTATGATGTGCCTTCGTATCTTTTGGGACCGCGGTGCTGCGTGACTCTCTGAGCTGATATCGTAAAGAAAGCCCCTGCTTCAACGCCGACAAACGCGAAGTACAAAGCCGAAATCTTCATTGAGGTGCACCACCAGATGCCGTATAGAGTACGAGGGTACCAAGTTTGAACGCACCAACTTCAACGCTAGACTTCGAAGCAGCTCGAATGTGTCGACGCGCGCAGGGATCCATCTCGCTTGCGACGAGTGGACCTGTACCCGAGCGTCTTAGCGAGGCATGGCATTGAGAGAAGCTGCAGCTCACGATCACCTAGCCTTGAGGGGGTGCAAAGCAAATGAACGTGCCTGTGGGTATCTTTGGGATGCCCCTTAGAGAAGGGGCGCACCGACTTCTTCGCACTTTCAGACCGATATGAAATTCATTTCCTCTTATATTGCGCCTCTTGAGCGGAAAGCAATGGCTCTGTTAGGAGCAATTATGGCATCGGCGTGGTGATACAAGGCGATTCATCAAAAAAAACTTACGACTGGAATATGCTCGACTGGTTACGAGACATGACGCTGCTGCGGTTGACATCACCAAATGCCGTGAGCGTGTCAAGACAAGGCGCTTTGGCTCAAAATTAACTTCGACAAATTCATGAAGCAAGAAATTAGCATGGCAACCCACCTTACTAGGTGCTCGTTGACTTCGATAGTAAACGCCACCAGCATTGTAGTTGCTGCGTTCTTGAACGAATCATCGCCGCATATGAAAAGGACGTCCTACACGAATCGATACGAGAAAGTCAGCATGTATTACTCTTCGTATCTTCGTCTTCCCGAAGACCGCGACGCGTTTCTATCTCTGGAAGGGTGTGTACGTCAGGGAACCGTTTCAGATGCCGCTAGGTAGTCTTCAAATGCAACATACCTTGCATATTCAATTTCCGGGAGGCCGGCCGGCGTTCGGTCTGGTGATATACTTGTGATATGAACGTAGCTTGAAGCTTGAGAATGGGGATTCACTTCAATCGCTCCGCGGGACCTGTGTATCACCACGACGGCCGAAGAACGCTTTGATCACCTTCACAATCCTCCGATATTAAACACCCAAGCAACATGCCGCAACAATGATCTCCAACACGCCGGACGAACGATGACTTCGGCCGAAAAGGCAGGGCACTTTGAAGACACTAGTGGGGGTAGGAGGGCTCGCAAATGCACGGAGTTGTAGGTGGGTGGATGCTCTGGGAAACCAAGCAAGGGATACGCGAGATTCCGAGAAACTGTTATTTGCGAGTAAATGTCTTGATCTTGAGAGCTGTGAGCTGTGAAAGTTAGTATCTAGATTTCAAACGTTCACATTTAGGCATTCCATGTCATCAACCGACACCGAAACTACTCACGAGAAAGTAAGGTGACGGTGCTGCCCCTCGAACAACTCTAGAAGGCATAAAATATGAAGCTAAGTGAAGACGACACACGGGAGTATACGTTATGCACGGAGGAGGTTGAGCAACCAATGGAAGCATACCTTTGACTTGGGGCGAGTAAAGGCTGTATGGCTAGACTCTTCCCTTGCCTCTTCCCCGTGGTAGCGGCGTCATTAAACAGACGAGTCCGCTGATGGAGATGTGGAGGCAATGGGAGCCCGGGCTGCGCAGCAACGAGTGCTAGACCCCAAGAATATTCTAGTGTATACTTGACGAAGACTGTCCACACCCCAAAGCAATAGCTCGCGCGCGATCCCTTGCGGCCCGGTCTGAACCCGATAGGTAGGTAGATAGCTTCACCAGCAGAAGAAGATCATGCCGGGCTGAAGAACGAGCCAAGGAGATATCGCATGACATAGTATGTTGCAACGTGCCCCGAAGATCGAACACGATCGGATGCACGGCACCCTGCATGACCACTGTTGCCACCTCTGCGGGGCCAGGTACATACGGATTCCCAGGTCGTATTTCCCGAGTGGTGGGTTGGGCCAAGTTAATTAAGCTCGAGGACTGTTTAGTGCTGATATCCGGATGATCGATGACAAGCACTTCCCCGGTAAGAACGTATGTGGCAGTAAAGAATGGAAGCACGGAAGAAGGCGAGTGTTTCTCAAGGTAATATCGGTGAAATGGCGTTGAGGTGCATCCGGGTACATGGATGTTCGCCAGTACCGAGTCATGGGCGATCAGGAGGTGAGCGGGAGTCCGACGAAGTGGCGATTGAGAAAGGTGAGGCGTTCCGCTGATGAGGAAGAGTGGCTGATCGGTATGTGTAGTTGGGGTCAAGGGTGCCGTGAGCAATGCCAGGAACTGGCCAAGTACTTGAAGAGAGAGATCATGAGAGTCTGAAAGCAAGCAAAGATATATTGCAATCCGCTCCTATGTCGGATGTACAGTAGCTGCAAGAGCATGTGCACGTATCACTCTAGGTCTGGTCGCCACCTACTGCAGACTCTCAGCGTTTCAGCCTTGTATCTCGGCGTCCGTTTGGGCATCTTGGAACGAATAAGATGTCGGTATTCGGAGATCATTGCGACAATATTGATCGACATGCAGATAGCTGAGAAGCCAGAACTAAGCCTAACATTGGACGTTGATCCCCGTGAGCTTCTAAAGGTTGTCGCTATCGCTGAGGCACATTTTGCCATGGTTGACGGTGGCAGTCGCGGGCCGCAATTCTTGCTTCGTTAGGGTTAGGGAGAGTTTCGGAAATAGCAAGAGGGAGTATGGGACCAGTACTGATTCCGTGATTCGCGTGCGGTCTGGAGTTAATACGTTTGGATATGAGGATTCGGTAACGTCTCTCTGAAGAAAACAATTTGTTCGGAAGGAGGAAACTCAGGTATGGAAGCAGGCGCGTTTCGTGAAAGAGTTATCTTGGAAATTAAGGTTCTGGCGGGGCAAGCCCAGGACTAGAGGCCCACCAAAGTTACCACCAAAGGATTTGATCCAAAACTTGGGGTATTGTAGAGGAGAGAGCTCTGGTAGAGGCAAAGCAAAGTTAGTAATATATGGTAGTTAAGTGACGAGCAGCTTCAAACTATCGATCTTTACTGACTGTGGGATACATCTTTCTCACGGTTAACAAGCATGATGTCATTTCTGCGCTACTGCGCACAATTGCCCTCAAATCCAAACCACCACCAATCGAACGACTTTTACGAGATAATCATGTCGAACCCGACGTCTTCAAACTGGGATGTGCTTTTGTACTTTGTTGCCATGTACGTCGATGACAAGTCTCTCCATGTCTGCAGCGAACTTACCTCCCGAATCACAGATTCTTGCCCCCTGTGGCTGTCTTTTTCAGTGTGTCTCCATGAGTTCTTCACAGCGAAGTAGAGGCATTTTAAACCGATTGCATATAACCTCTTTAGAACGCGGAATCCTTGCAGGTACGTTGCATTGCGTGGTGCGGATTGCGAAGCTTATCTCGGTGTCGGTAGATTTTTGGATCAACCTCCTTCTCTGCCTCCTTGGTTGGATTCCCGGTGTTATACATGCATGGTACGTTTGTACAAGGTTCTTCCCTTCTGACTCGCCCCGCCCACATTGCCTGTAGGTACATCATCTCGAAATACGAAAGGCCTGCAGTAGCCTTGTAGGTGATCACACCAGGACTCGCCCAAGCCTCGAATATTACTCCAGGGCGAATTCTCCGGTTATGAACTATGTGTAACAATATTGAAACCATCGTCTGTTCTGTGACAATTGATATGACATACCGTCATACACATGCAGTCAGTGGCTCTCGGATTCGGCTTTGCATTTAGCGCCCAACCGGCATTAAATCAGCCCATCCGCAATTGGTAATTCACCGGGATTGTCATTTTGTCGATCACTCACTGCCTTTCAAGTCTTTCATCCTCTTCCCAGATGCTCCGTTCTACCTAAACCACCGCAGACAAAGCAAGCAGCCTCACGGTCGCTCTCTTACTAGCTGGTGAGTATCAAATAAGGTTTACGCGGTCATTAATCCTATTTGTCTGAGTCTTGGCCACCGTCACGTTCCGGACAATGAGAGGTCAAAGCCCAAAGCCACGATGTCCGAGGGGAAACCCAGTGATGTCGCTTTCATGTATAAAGAACATATAATACCATCCATTTCCCCACGCCCCCTCTTTCTACCCACCACGATTGACCATCTCAAAGACCCTCCAAGACGCGACGCCCCGCACGCAAACGCGACCCAAACCCCCAAAGTCCTTGTTAAAATGGTCATTCAAACACGGAGCGCCGCACGAAGAGCACAAGACATCGGGTCTGCTATACCTCAAAGAGAAGGCACTTTGGTGACGATTGAACCGTCGGCCACCGGGCTCGGTGTGCACAAACGATGGCATTACCCTGACGCCGCCGCACCACGGATACGCGACGAATCGTTCTCGTCGTCTTCATCCTCGTCGCTTTCGAGCCTCTCTTCCTCACGCGATTGGGGCTCCACGCTGTCGTCTTTGTCTTCCATGGAATCCATCGCCCCGCTAGAACTAGATCAATTGCGAGACGTACAACAAGAGAACCGCGCACCCAAGCACCCCTCGCACCCTACACCGCCAGAAACACCGCGCCCCATCCCCGGCGCGCACAAACGCACTCCTCTCAGGCGCAGTCCTCTCATCAGGTGGACAACCGACCATGATGGTACCACGCGCCGCCTCCTCGTGCCCAACGTCCCATACTCGCAGGACGACGCGAGGGTGGCCAGGATGATGAAGGAGAAGGAAGATGCGGCGACGAAGAAGATGGACGAGGTGTTTGAGAAGCAGTATGCGATGATGCTGAGGCAGCGGGAGAGGGCGGTGCTCAGCATGACGCGCTCGGATGATGACATGGACGATGAGAGTGTGGAGAGCTTTGAGAGCTCGGACGGGTCGATGGGTGGAAGTGCGAGACCCCTTGTGCGGGGCGATACACATCCAGCACTTGACGCCCCTTCGTTCGCGTCTGGGTCTGATTACGACCCGTTTCTCGTCAATGCATATGTACGAAACGGGAATGATACACACATGGTTGACGGTTCGTCGTGACTACTTGCTTCGCTATGTGCCATTCTTTCGTCGTTCTTTCTATGTATGTATTGTGTCGCCGTCTACGAACCTACGGACTTCATGTACTTGTAATTCTCTACCCCCTCTACCGCTAAATATGTATAAGGGATGGATATATGTATTTACATTGTGCTTAGTATGCAATTTACAGTCGTTCAGACGTTCACCAGATCGTGGCGAAGGCCTTGCGTCTAAATCCCAGGTGTTCTCGTCTTCTTCCTGCGTTTAGGTTCTGAGGTTCTCTACTTGGCCTACAGGCCTCTAAATAAACGTTTATTGCGCCGGTTACCGTTATTGCGTATGTATGATAAATATGCGAGATATGTGAGTCGAGCGATTGTTGTATGGATCTCTATGTACCCAATTGGAACCCCAATATATGTACTTTTCAACGTGAAGTGGACCATAAACGAGAGCAAAGTCCAAGAGGGATTAAAAACATGATGACGATGATAACTGTAGTACCCACAACCCACTAAGCAACCCGTTGAGCGTTTGAGTTCAGGAGGGCCAGCTTCTGATGCTCCGCCTGACTACTTACTACCAAGATGACGAGGAAAATCATGAGTGATATGATATATACGATGATGAAGACGAAATGTGACATTGTCTTGCGTCGGGAGTGCCCATAAAGTGTTCGGACACATGGGGCTCCAACACCAACACTGGCCTCGGCCGGCATTCAGCTTTCCAACAGACAACCAGCAGAGGATCTACGAATCGCGGGTGACACGATCGACGGTCCTCCAGCTGTTCAGAAGCGTCCGCCTGATGCTCGCCATGCCGGGTTGGAGGTTGATATCCTGATCCGGGACCGTATACCTCTGTGTAGGATTCTTGAGGAGCATTTCGGCCGTGCGGCGATCTGCAGGTGCGAATGGCTGGTTCCACGGGCTGAACGCGAAGACGTCGGGGGTTGGGCAGTGATGCTATGATGATACAACATCAGCAAGGTGTACATGGAGGGAATTAAGGAGAGGGCATACCGCGGTGATTTCGTGAATTTCTCGCTCGATGTGCAAGCAGAAGCTGTCAACATCTAAAGCGTAACTAAGCATCGAGGATAATGGATCGGCGTGGAGGGAATAACTCACCGAGATCATTGGCATCGTATCCGAAGGGATCTTCACTACAGAATACGAATTTCGTCAGGGAATGTCGAACGGAGTCTGGAAGCTGGGCTATTCTTACATTTCTTGACCAATTTCCAAGAACCCGAGAAGGAGGAACGACGCGAATGCGGTGGCTGGAATCACTAGGTTGCCAAAGGTCGCAAAGAGTTGGAACTAAGGGTAGATGCGTGAGGTTCGAGTACGAACTACGGATTTGAGAGAGAAGCGTACTGGCAGGAAGAAGAGGTAAAGCCTTGAAGATATGGGCGTATCAAGTCAGGATCAACGACAAACGTTGTAGAGTTGCCATCTCCGTAGATGTGACTTACCAAAGTGACATGCGAAGATGCGCCTGATATGCGAATGGCAACGGGGTGCTCCTGATACGATCTAAGTTGGACATGGTGTCTTGGAGAGAAGAAAGATTGTTAGTGAGGGCCGTGGCGATGGCCGGCGTAACCAAGCCTTGCTTCATAACATCTTGGGTTCCATACCGTCAGAGTTGTTAGAATGAAGCCAAACTAATCGAAGCTCACAAGCTGTGTAACTATAGGAGCAAAATGAATCACCGAGGATTGTGGGGAATCAAGAAATGGAGCTTACCTCGAGAGGTACAAACAAATCTCTATAGGAACATTGCTCTCGATCTCCTCGACCTTCCTCTTTCTCCCAAGAGCATCCCTAGCGCCCTTCTTCTTGCGTTCAGCGGCCATCCGAGCGAGAGACGCAGTGCGGCGGAAGATGATCAAGATTACCCACTTGAAGAAGCGGAAGAGAGGAACATAATCATAGACTGTTGTCTCGGGAGGATTGCGAGCCGGCTTCAACGGCTGCTCACTGTCCACATGTGCCAATGCCTTCTCCGGGTCAAAGCTGTCACGTCTCTGCTTGCGCGGCGACCTTCTGCCGAGGGACTGGTACCAGGAGGCGTTGGTGGACTTGCTGTCTTCGTCTTTGCCTCCGAGATCATGGTCATGTTTGGGATCGGGGAGGGAGGCCGTCTTCTGTGGCTTGTGTCCCTGGACTGCGTCGCGCACGTTCTGGTGGGGGTGGACGTGCGGTATCTCCCCCGCGGCGTGGACTTCGCGGAAAAGAGGGAGGATGTCCTCCGGAATGCGCTGTCCAGCTTCCATGTTCGCATAACGGGGCAGATGGCAGATGAGAGGGTAGAGATCTTGGTAATATATTCCGGGTTCACCACGTAGCAGATGCTAGGATATTGAGATCAGATATTCACGTTCAAAACGTCTATATCGTTGAGACTGACCTTGACAGCCACGGAGAACGCTTGTACCTTCAGAATCACATTCAGAGACAGATACAAGAATTGCGACTTGCAAGGCATACCAAGTTAACCATCGTCTTCTTCTCAATGATAGCCTCCAGCTCGGTGCGCTGCTGGGCGGTTGCGGGCCTCTCGGTGGGAACATGGATCCAGATCTACGATGAAATGAATTGTGCGCTTGGTACGAGCGTGATCGAGGCGAAGAGCGCTTACAAACTGTGCCAAGTTTCTTGATGCGATGTTGATGTTAGTCCACATCTTCCTTCCATCTTGATACCTACACACGCATGCATGATGGGACCAGATCTCAGGAAAATCGACGGGAATTCGCGTACCTTTCGTATGCCGTCGACGTTCTGAAGGAAATGACCAAACCGAGAACCGTACCCAGGACTGTCAGCAAGCCGGTGTTTATGCTGAGTTTCGTGGAAGTCATCGTCGACACCAGGTAGACCACTGGGCGCCATACCAGTGAGCTAAAAATTCTGCAGAAGGGACCTAGAAGCGGACTTACTAGTAGCGACCGCAGAGAAGAACAGAACTTCTGGCCAGATATCATTGACGACTGTGGCATTGAACTTCTTGAGCGTCCATCGCCCGTGGAACAGCGGATTGTGAGCGACCATGCTCGACTTTGAAGGGAAAAAGAAACTGAAGGGAGAGAAAGGTTACTAGTTGCCAGCGCTTCCATGGTCACCGTTTAAATACAGTACCGTGGGTGAAACGGAGAGATCGCCCCGCCGGAGATAACACTGACAACAGTCACTGAAGGCGTGTTCCGTTATTGAATTCTGGAACAAGAACACAAGACGCTGAGAACAAGCCGTCTAAACGGCGAACCCAGCTTAGGCCCTGCTGATGGAAAAAAGACGAGGACGGTAAATCACTTTCGTTAATCAGTATCTTCGGACGCCCATGATTGTTTCGTCCAGCTCGAGCGCTGTTCTCTGCTAGGGACACTTGGACACACTGCATTTAGCGTCGTGCACAATCAATGAGGCAGGAGCCAAGGAAACCATACATGGGCGGCTGAGGTCGCTGAGAAGGATTAATGATCATCGATCTGGACTCGTGAGTGCCAGAGCTTGATTCCCCACTACACGAGGTTAGCCATTTCTATCAGATCCTACATCATGAAGCCACTGACATTTTTCTGACATGTGCAAGCAATCGTAACAGGTATATTTAGTGGTTTTTCAATAGAACCTTGAAGTGCATCATGACGGTGTGTCCCATCGCAGAGCTACGCGAACAGAACTTGATACCGTGTTCGCCGCCGCCCCCGTCTGCTAGATGTCCTGACGGTGCGTTTCCGGACAAGCTTCATGTTCATCAGATCACACTTTCGTAAGGATGCGGTTTCGAACTCACCACGAACTTTGGCAGTCATCGCAGTAAGATCCGACAGCGACTAGAGTCTAGACGCGTCCAGTACGATAGCCAGAACGCCAACACGAGTTTTGTCGCCATACATCGCACCTCAGAACCATTAGCTCACAATCTGAGGGCCGAAATTAATAACGATGCTCACGGGCAGCACCTTCATTATGCTTAGAACTCATGTTTGTGTCGTTGGCCGACATTAATTTCGAAGGAAAAGATGGCGGTCATGCAGGGTGTTTCAGCAACATGAACAAGGTGGTGGAATGGAGAGCTCAACTACTTGACAACTCTCCGTGCGGCGAACCAACCGATGGAGCGAGCAAACTTACAAGCTCCTGTTTAACTCCTGTCGCCCTTTGGCGAAGCGCCCTGCAACGTGTTTCAATCGCCCCCACTTCTGTCTTCTAAACTTTGTAGATGGCTCAAAATACTGCTTGCAAAGGCGTCTGCCATCCAAAGCGCTCCCAAGGGGCCTGCCATAGTATTTCAGATAATATTCTTTGAGCCTTACCGGGAGGCTGCTGAGGCTTGGTAAAAAAAAACTCACCGCTCCTGGCCGCCGGCGCTGTCGGGACAAAATCCGACGTTTTCTGCCTCCTGGAACCAAGCCCTCATGATTAAAAACAGGATAGCTTGCCTCGCTCTAATCCCCCACATGAGGTAAGTAATATCTATCAGATGATGCATCATCTAACTGCTGACATGGTTTTACGCATTGATTTTTACAAGTCGTTGTAAAATCTCCCGGAGACAGCAAGCACCATCGGGTAAGACTAGAGGACGACGTCAATATATGAGGCGTGTAGCCGCCTAATCGAGCACTTCAAGGCTTGTTTCTTGGCTGAAGATGCCTAGTCTGGCCCATTAACTGATGGGACTGCCTGCTCGCTGAGTTCTCCAAGCCACATGTCGGCCTCTGCGAAAAGGCTCCGTTGAGGACTATGAACGAGGCGTTCCTCCACGGGATCGACGCCTCCATAACATTCCAACGTCGCACACGCCACAATCACGATCATCCATGAAGGCGCCTCGTTTCGGCATTCCAAAGACGTCAACTTGATGCAAAGCTTTCCACAGCAGGACCTCCCCGCGTAGACGCTCCGCTAGTATGCCAATCGTCCCCATCGTGCCAGATGGTGGCACCCGCTCATCCGAACGTAACGCTTTGACCGTCGGTTTCAGGACCGCTAAGTCCTAAAACTGCCTAGTCAGGTCTGCCCACAACGGACAACTTGTCCCAGGAACTCCGTTGTATGATCTCAATACGTACACACAATCGCCCACGGTGCGCTCATCGTGCCATAAAATTGCTTCCGCGTGCACTTGATCATTGCCTCCATTGGGGTTATCTCGACATGCAGGCAATGTATAGCAGCACATAAATACGGCCACAGGGCTAAGATGTGGGCGTATCTGCGAGGCGATGGCTATCTACCCATTCTTCGCGTCTTTGTCCTGGTCAATCTTCGACAGAACGAGCATCTTCGTTGCTCTTGCATCCCTCTCCATAGTAGCCGTACGGTTGATTAAGAAGCCTCACCGGCTCCCCTTCCCCCCTGGTCCTAGACCGCTCCCATTAATCGCCAATGCTCTCGACTTCCCACTAGCCCGCCCTTGGGAGACATATACGCGATGGGGCCAACAGTATGGTGCGGTCTTTGAGACACGCATGATCTGAGTTCCTTCCTTACTTCTCAATGCTCAGGCGATATCACCCACATCAACGTCCTTGGAATGCACATCTACGTCCTCAACTCTGCTGAAGCCACAGGAGACTTGCTCGATGGCCGCTCAAACTTGTATTCCTCCCGGCCGGACATGCCCGTTGCTGAATTGTGAGATCCCCACCATGTTCGTGCAATGGGGAGGCCTGGCTAACGCTTCTAGGACTGGGTGGCATATGACTATGGCGACACTCCCTTATGGTGATATGTGGCGCAAGCACCGGGCCCTGTACCACAACAAGTTCAAGCAAGAATCCGTTCACCAATTTATCCCCCTCCTTACATGCAAAGCACACGACCTTCTGCGGCAATTGCTAGCTACTCCAGATGAACGAGTAGAACATATCAGGAAGTACGCCCCATTTCTAACCTTTCGCTACATCTCAAGAGATCTAATAAACATAATCTGACGTGTGCATAGCTATCCAGCAGCTAGCCTAATGTACATCTGCTACGGGCACACTATCGAATCACATCATGACCCCCTTGTTGAGATCTCCGAAACAGCAGCTCAAGAAGTAGCTGAAACGATTTTGAAAGGATCACTAGTAAATATGCTGCCGATGGGTGAGTCTCCCGAACATCCCTAGGAGCGAAACTCGGGAGATGCTGAGTGTATTCATAGCCCGCCATCTGCCAGATTGGTTTGGCTTCCAACGAAGCGCTCGGGAGTGTAGAAGAAAAGTTAATCTGATGCTCAACGTGCCTTATGAATCGGTCCGTCGACACATGGTATGCTCTATCATCAATGTCTCTTCACTATGGCTTGACATTTTAAATCTTAGACGTCGGGAAATACTGTACCCTCTTGGATGTCTGAGATGTTAGAAGTTAATGATTCGAAAGGGGGAGATAAAGCCGAAGAAGAGATTATTAAGAGCGTGACTGCTTCAAGCTTCGCCGGTAAGCTGCTCCTCCTCTCTTAGAGTCCTGCGCACGCTAATGACTCATGCCTCAAGCTGCGAATGACACAGTGAGTACACGTTGACTGATATATACTCTACTCATGGTCGTATTGACGCTGGGTCCTCCGCCAGACTGCCTCCGCTCTACAATTCTTCGTTTTGGCGATGCTGCTCTATCCTGACGTGCAATGCAAAGCCCAGGAAGAGCTGGATCGTGTCGTAGGAGCGGGAAATATCCCCACTTTCGAGGACCGCGAATCCTTACCTTATATTGATGCGATATTCAGGGAGCTGCTCAGATGGAGACCACCTGCCGCTATTGGTGGGTATATCAATACGCCATACATCAATCATAAAGCTGAATACACCACGTTATGTAGGTGTCCCCCATTCCACCACGAAAGATGATATCTATAGGGATTACTATATACCGAAAGGTATGACTTACTTTATATTTGACTGGCATTTGTCTCCGTCTCATCTTGAATGACTAGGATCAATTATCTTCGCGAACATTTGGTTCGTGGAGTTTTACCAGTACAACATCTGCCCTCCAGAGATTGATTACTTCTTCGATTCCAGGGGCATGTCGCACGATTCTTCTGTATACCCCAACCCAGAGGCTTTCCAACCCGACAGGTTCTTGAACCCAGATGGCACACTTAATGATAATGATAAACCCTTCGCCTTCGGATTTGGACGGCGGTAAGTACCTGGCTTTACTCTCCCCGCGCCGCCTTTGTCATTGAAATACAATGTTCGCCATTTGAAGGGTTTGCGTAGGGAGCGATTTTGCCCGTGAGATCATCTGGATTGCGATAGCCACGATGTTATCTGTGTTCCAGTTCGACAAGGCGAAGACGCCGGAAGGCAACGATATTGAAGTCGATGGGGGCTTTTCCGATAGTCTCGTTATGTGCGTACCTCCTTTGTTCAACTACACGGTGCTCACATCGTCTTGCCACTCTTCAGCCACCCATTAGAATTTAAATGCTCAATCAAGCCTCGCTCGCAAGCGTGCGAGGAGGCGATTTTGAAAACCCCTGAGCTCAAGCTCGATAGCCTTGAACTCAGATGGTTCGAGTAAACACTGAATGTAACATTTATCACTTGTAATATTTTAGACAATTTGATCAGGCTGTACATAGACATGTAACATGTACGATGTGCTTCCAACAAAGTCTTGTAATGTACAACTTAGAACAACTTCTCGACTTCGAATTCTTTCATGCATTTGTTCGTTTTAGGAAGGAGACCTTCTTTATTGAGAAGGATGCTGGGGAGTTAGGGGAGCCCGCGACCAGAATTGATTGCGTTTGCAACCTGACTTGTATTCGGTCGGTTGAATGCATATCTGTGGGGAGGATATAGATAAAGTATAGCATGGCGCTGGTCTAAGCGAAGCTTACCGTTCATAGCTATCAAGGTACAGCTGTTCGTCGCTGCAGGTGGCTTTGAAGGACGGGTGGTTGAATAACCGTTCCAACCATGCGTTGAATTTCTGGCCTTCCGGCAGGCTGAAGCCTCGGTAATGCTTCAAGACACTGGTCGATCGGAGAAGCCCTGACACCGCCGTGAGTGCGATCATTCCTGGGCCCACGAACGTTAGAGAAACCCTTACAAGGTCCAGCCATAACGTCAACGAGTCCCAAGTCCCCTCCCTCTACCCACAGACCAAGACCTGATTTAAGAGCGCGGAGCTCACCCTCACCGGAAACGCCTCCAATCGAGATGACTTCTTTCTCTGCTCTTTCTAGGAGGGATACCAGCTGCTCGATCGCGGCATGGTAATCCTTTCCGTTTTGGATCTGAGCGTCTGTATCTTGGGATTGGAGGAATCGATAGAAGGCAGGCACAAGTGTGCGATTGACGTGATCAGCTTGCAGGCGGACTAACGCGCGAGCATCTGTGACGGCAGGTGAGCGAAATTTCCCTGATGCTATGAAATAAGCAAGTGATCAGCCCCTGTGAGACGCACATGGGTTCGTAGAGGGTGGAAGGAGGCTGCGCTTCGTTGTATTGTCAGCGATGCTGCGACGATCGTATATCGGTATGTCTAAGTTACTCAGGTGCTGAAATTTACATACGCCTCGAGGTACTCCAAGATGACGGTACTTTCGTTTAGGCCTCGAGGGGGGTTGTACTCGTGCAGCTTTAAACCTGGTACGAGGCCTTTGGGGGACACTTCCAAGAGCTCTTTGGGCTTCTTGTATGGATCGACTTCATCTAGAGAGCAAGTTTACCTTAGATGTTCAGTATTTTGACAATTGATCGTACAATACTACAGTGCATGAGTCGAATCATTAACTTCACGGGACGTCGGGAGCTGCATCGGTGCTCACTCACACGGTATGGAATTCCCAAATACTCAAACGCTGCCCACACCCTTTGAACGAACGGACAGAAACAGCTTCCATAGAGCGTAATGGCCTGCGAATTGACATGATTTTCCACAGTCTTGAGTGCAGGACCAGTACACTTTGTGTGGTACTGCTTTCCGGTGTCTGCCATGAGAGAGAAGTGGGAGCAAATGATGTCACAAGACAAGGTCGAGTGGATATCGACATGTATAAGTCACCGTGGAATTGCTAAGTCAATGTCGAAAAACGAGGAGCATCATAATCCGACTCGCCGCCGAATCAGGTACATAGTGTGGGGACTCTGGATCAAACGCGATAATTGTTATAATATCTACTGCTTAGAATAAACAAGATAAGCAAGATAGCTAACGAATAAAACAAACACGACTCGAGCAATTCCTGGACCATCGTTTGACTTCATTCCCGCGCTCTCCATGCGGGAGAACGTGCTTCTCTTGGGTATATTGGGGCCATATAAAGTGGACTGCGTCCGGGCTGCCAGAGAATCTACTCGAAGTAATGTACAAATTCTACAAATGCAACTATTTACTCACCTTTCGTAGGACCTCGCGGACCGAAGCCAATGAGGCGAAGAAATGGACGTAGTATGAACGTTAGCGGCAAGTACACGCTAAGCACCACCGCTAAGGCGAGTCTAGGGTGCCGTTCAACTGTATCCCTCGCCGTAACTGCCATAGTTTTTATTACAGGGAGGGCTTGGCATATTGTGTGAAGTCCCTCTATATCCTTGGGATTCCCGCAAAATTGCAGGGCACTATCTATGATGAAAAGCCATAGATAAAGTGAAAAGGCGAGGGCGAGTATGGTTGATATCATGTTGACGTTGAACGTTTGAACAACGAAGAGTGCCTCTCGCCTGTCGCACGCCAGTTGGTTTTGAAGGCCGCGATTGACCGTGCGAACCATTTGATCTAAGTAATCTATGGAGCAAGATTAGATGACGGTTCGCCGCATAGCCTTCCTTGAATCAGCCCGTTCTTGAATCTTTGTTGCAGTGTGCGCAGTTGGCGGCGCAGTCCTCGCCCAGCTTTATAAACCTTTTCTTCCTTGATATTGAAGCCCGAAGTACTGAACGTTGAACCACCATGGAAGCCCTCAAATTGCAAAGAAAGTACCCCGAAGTCAGCCGCGATGAGATGTTCGATCTCATCAATCGTTTCAAGTACGTACTAACCTTGTCGACTTACGTCCAATCAACTGACTCCCAGACAAGCTCGATCTCGACAGATACACCTGGGCGAATCGACAAGACCGCCGTTCTCCAGGCAATCCAGGCGACGGGGCAGTCTTATGATGTCGCCCGGGAGACGCTCAAGCATGTCAGCGTTGATGCGAGTGGAAAGGTAGAGCTCGAAGATTGGGTTGAGGTGAGGTGCTGCATAAACAATGGCGAATGGTCGGCGTGCTGACGGACGGACGTGTAGTTGAACGTGAAGATGAAGAGCCAGCAGGCCAAGGCTTCGCTCCCCACGAGAGCTGGCAAGGTCACCGTCCAAGGATCTAATGCGAACGTCAGCCACACTATCAACGAGGACGAACGGAAGGAATTCACAAATCACATAAATCTGGTGCGTAGATGCTTCTCCTTTGCAAAGGTACAATTCTCAAGCATTATGTCGTATAGGTCATCGAAAACGACCCCGAGATGGCGTCCAGATACCCCATCCCGACGGACACGATGCAGCTTTTCGACGAATGCAAAGACGGCCTCATTCTATGCAAACTCATCAACGACTCTGTTCCTGATACGATCGATACGCGTGTCCTCAACAAGGGACAAGGCCGAAAACCTCTAAACGCCTTCCAAATCACAGAAAACAACAACATCCTCATCGCGTCCGCTAAGGCCATCGGGTGCTCTGTCGTTAACATCGGCTCTTCCGATATCGCTGAGGGGCGGGAACATCTCATCCTCGGGCTGATCTGGCAGATCATTCGAAGGGGGTTGCTCGCTCAAGTGGATATCAAACTACATCCCGAGTTATATCGCTTGTGCGAGGAAGGCGAGACGGTAGACGACTTGCTCCGCCTGACACCCGATCAGATCCTGCTCAGGTGGTTCAACTACCATCTCAAAGCGGCAGGCTGGCACCGTAAAGTCAACAATTTCAGCAAAGACGTTTCAGACGGCGAGAACTACACCGTCCTCCTCAACCAACTAAAACCCGATCAATGCTCGCGCGCGCCGCTGCAAACCAGAGACATCCGGCAGCGTGCCGAGGAGGTCCTCCAGAACGCAGCCAACATCGGATGCCGAAAGTACCTTACTCCCTCCTCATTGGTCGCTGGCAACCCCCGTCTTAATCTCGCGTTTGTGGCCAATTTGTTCAATACGCATCCGGGCTTGGAGCCGCTGGACGAGCAGGAGGCAAAGGACTACGGTGTCGTCGAAGACTTCGACGCGGAGGGCGAGCGCGAGGCTCGGGTGTTTACGCTGTGGCTCAACTCTCTGGGCGTCGAGCCCGGCGTATTTAACCTGTTCCAGGATCTCAAGGACGGCCTGATCATTCTGCAAGCATTCGACAAGATACTCCCGGGATCAGTCATCTGGAGGAGAGTGTCGAAGCCCAAGGGCGGCGCCCCTCCTCCCCCGGCGTTCTCGGGCGAGGGTGAAGAGGAAGAGGATATTGGTGTCACGCCCAATCAGAGTCAGCTTTCGAGATTCAAGCAAGTGGAGAATACGAACTATGCTGTGGAGCTGGCACGACAGAACGGGATGCATATGGTGGGTATACAGGGGGCTGATATTGTGGATGGGTCCAGGACGTTGGTGCTTGGGCTCGTCTGGCAACTCATGAGGTACGTCTCTCTCCCTCTCTCTGACACCCATTACCCCTTTATATTGACTACAACATGCCATTAGAATGAATATCACCAAGACCCTCACTTCCTTGTCAAAGACCAGCGGTGGGCGCTCAATAAGCGACACGGACATGCTCAAATGGGCGAACACCACCGCGCAAAAATCGAAACCCAGCGTCCGACCCATCAGGTCGTTCAAAGATCCCTCAATCACCACTGGGCTGTTCTTCCTCGACCTCCTAGATGCTATTCGCCCAGGTATCGTTGATCCCACGCTCGTCATCGCCGTGTCAGAGAACGGCGATTATGAAGATAGGAGGCAGAACGGTACGTTGGTTTGACCCAGACCGGTTTGAGAAGTGATTCGACGGTGCTGATGATTCCTCGCGTTTTGTAGCGAAATTGGCCATCTCGATTGCGAGGAAAGTTGGCGCGCTGATCTTCTTGGTGCCAGAGGACATTGTTGATGTTCGGTCTCGTCTTGTACGTTGCTTTTCCCTTCCTTGCAACTTTTCGGACACTAAGTTTGTGTGTCCTTAGATTATGACCTTCGTGGGCAGTCTCATGAGCGTCGCCCAGTGATAGACTTAGTTGTGTAATTGTGATTGCAAAAGGAACAGAAGAATAATTTTAGTGTACCGGGGACCGGCTATTATGTTACACGCTATGGATTTAAATACTGAGCTTTTCAAGTTGGTTTAGACCATGAAGTCTTCACCTGTTTCAAGGCTTCATACCGATGCGAGGCGCGGAACTAGCAGGTGAGCAAAATGCAGAGATACCGGGCAAAAATGAGCTGAGCGAACCTCTCTCATAATTAACTAACGTTAAAGCAACCCGCACGGAATACAGTGTTAGCGACCACGGCCGGGGAAGATCTGCTGGGCATCAATGGGCGCTTACCGGTACGAGCAGTGTTAGGTTCGTCTCACAGTTTCTTGGTTCGGTTGGTTGACCCTATGGCCTCAGATCCAAACGCTGAACGAGGAAGTCCTCATCCATATTGGATGTGGAGAACCGTGCTCAGTGTGTGGTGTTCGCATATGAACAATACAGAGGTTATCTGCAGAGATCTGGAATCTCGTCGAGACTGGATTGTCACCCCAATTCGACGACTCGTGGCCGTTGGCGGTACCATTGTGCCCCGTTCTAAAAAAGGGTAATCAGAGGCGAGTCACCCATCTAGTTCCATCGTTCTCCAAAAAATACCGATTGTTTGTGTTTAGGTTTGTGGAAGCTGTAACATCAAGGTTCAAGTAGATGTTCGGACCTGATACACGTCCTTCTTGCCTACTGAGCCAACCGGATGTAGGTTTCTCAAGGGTTGCCTAGCGAATGTTTGCTCCTAAATTTCCAACAAATATTTAAATATACGGAGGCCACGACCTCCGTTTCGAGTACCCAATTTGCGGACTTTGACTGTCCTCAACTGTAGTCCAAGTATTAGAGTCCGAAAACAAAAGAGAGACGAAACATTGATCCGAGCTGTCTGATCCGTTATCACGTGTGTCCGGTACGGGTTCGTGACGTCCGAGTCATGTGCGAGCGCGTCCGAAGAGTCGGAGGGGGGTCGATAGGGGATAGGGGAAGTCGGACTGCACGGAACAAAAGGGTTCAACCCTTACAGGAGTCTGTCGACGAGTACAAGAAGGCGGAAGGGAATGCAGGTAAAGACATAAAGGTACAGTGGTAGTTATCCGTGGTCGATATCTCGAAAACTGAACTGTAACTAGGTGGTCTCATTTTCTAATGCGATCTGGAAGGACCTCGAGCGGATATCCATGCCGCGGCATAAGGTCGTTGTCATTAATTTTGAGTCGTTGTTGACATCTATCCGCCTCCATATGCCCGAGAGCCTTTTGAAGGCCACTGAAGCTGAGGTGCCACGACTAGATGACGTATTGCAAGACTTAAATGGTTTCGTCGGAACGCAGGTCAGTCGAGCTCGCTGTTGACATTCGCTTCCGTCTCTAAAGTTCATGTCTTCTCAGACAGAGTCTGGTGCGCGCGTCTTCATTAACCAATGGCTTATAGCTGTCAAGCGCATCCTTCGCAACGAGTTTGCTGCCTTTGTCTGGACGGAGTTGTGTCTGTCATCTGCTTCGGCACAACCTGTTCATATCGAAGAAGATAACCAAACAACCTTCTTGACCGGTGTGATAGACTATGGACTTGCGTCCATGCGGATCACGATGGTGGAGGAGGAAGAAACGGTAATGCAACAAAGGAGTACGCCATCTTTCTCTGTGCTTTCATTTAGCTGACCTTTTCTTCTGTAGTTTCAATCATGAATGAACTGCAAACCAAGAGAATCGTCGGGGTGTTTGGGCAGCATCGTGTCACCTTTGTCATAATCGAGGCAAAAAATGACCGAGAACGTCTTGAAACACACATCCCCCAGGTAGCCCTGCAGTGTGTCGCTCTGTGAGTTCTCTAGACGAAGTTGCAAGCGTGAGCTTGACTATTTCCATGTACAGCGAGGAGGAATGGACGGAGGGCGGGTGCGTACTCAATTGATGGGCACGGATCCAAAACTTAATCTCATAACATAAGGTCGAAGATAGTGGCCTTCTGTTTAGCTAATAGTAAACGATGGATGTTTGGGGTTGTCGACCGTGTCTCCGGGCGGATCTTTCATACAAAGGAGCAAAATGTTACCCAGGATCTACTCCAAATTCTTCTCGGTTTGGTTTTCTGGGTAAAACAATTGCATTAAATAAAACTGCCATGGCTAACTCATTTGATAGGCTTCTAATTCCTCGCAAGACATCCTTATTACGATTCTATTAGCGATAAAAGCTTGTGTACAATAGGCTGACTTGTTCTGTATACTGCTATGTAGACAAGGCAACTTGACATGATATGATCAATCTCATATCCATTTTCTAATTATGATCTAGCACAAAAATATACTCATCACTCGCCCGTTCAATTATTCGACCAGAGAAGTCGTCGAGAAGTGGCCGCCAACCGTAATTGTGCTCCTCAGACGCCTCCCAAGTTTTGATACACCGCTCATCGTAGTCACGGGAGAACGATAGTACTTTTCTTGTTGAAAGTCTCCGGAAGTACGCACGGTGGAGACTGAAGGCGTAGGCGCACCTATCCCCCGGTGAATGGCGTATATAATCTTCTCCTGTCGGCGGCTGGCCATCATGTGGGATCGTTAGCTTGACCACGGCTTCAGTGCTTGCAACGTAGAAGTGAGCATTGCCAAGAAGGCTGAAGTAAATGGGAGTATAGACGTAGGGATTGAGTCCCGGCAAAGCAAGGGTGTGCAAAGGCGCGGTCGGCAAGCCAGCTACGGGACATTTCGCCGGGACTGGTCGACAGTTTGGCATATCGTAAATCCTGACAGTCTGTTTGTCAAGGCCAAGTATTCTTTGGCCCGGGAGGATACGGATAGTACACTACCACCTGATGTCAAAGATTTACGCGCGATTACACGGAGGAGCTGCTTACAAGGCGCTCCCTAAGGATGATTGTGGCCTTATGGTGGGTTAGAGAACATGAGCGCCGCCAATCATACACGTCTATGTGACGAGGCCCACTGGTGTATGATACGGCAAACCTTGCAAAGTAATCTCCCCGCAGATCCTTTACGTGGGAAATATCGTCTACGTATGTGTTGAACGATGTGATATGACGAGCTATGAGAGTCTCGTCCAGGCTATTGGTGACTTTCCAGAAAGACAGCCTAGCGAATTGTTCATCTAAAGGGCGTAAGAGGGGCAAATATGCCGGAGAGGAAACATACCAGGATGTTCGCGGACGAGGGCAACGAAAACTTCAATTTTGGGCGATGTATTCACTTCCTCGATAGCAAAGGTTTCGATTCGATTCTCTCGCTTGTCCTGTGGGCGAATCAAGATGCGGTGTCGACCATTTGTCGTATCTAGGTCATATGCGCTAAGGCACCCTGGATGCAAGAAGTTGGAGTTGGTTAGAAGCCACCGGCCCCCTTCGAGGAGGCGTATCTGCAGTCCAGGACACCGGCCCACCAAGCGCTGGGTCGGCCGCTTTGACGGGGACACCCAATCTCGCTGTACTCGAGCCCAGTGCAGAGTATCGTCTTCGAGTTCGGAATAGGTCGCCGTGCCATCCTTCGCCTTCAAAGGGGTGTCGTAACTGTCCGACAGCCGTTGGTACTGGACACGCCACACTGATCGCGACCGAGAGGCGCCACACAGCGCTTTACACGTCTTCAAAGTGTCAAAAAAAAGAGGGTGGTTCAGCAACGCCTGTACTCACTGCCCGTACGCGAAGGACATCCTTCCAATCCAGGTCGGCAAGAATCAGCTCCAAGACTTCCTGAGGAAGAGTTATTAGACCACACGAGCTGTTAGCGAAACCGAAGCAAAAAGCTATTCAAGTCTTCAGTATAACTGAGTTTAGATGAAATGGAAATAACGAACCTATCTTGTGAAGAGCAGAGCGCAGAGGTTGTGATAACATAGAAAACGGTTTCCCAGCGAGCGTCAACAACTTGGGCAATCTGAACCACCAAAGCACCCAGCGGATGAAGCAGTTGAAGTGTTTCTTCAGCATCGACCTCGAACAACGGCGAGTATGGGTGAACCGTGAAGCTTTGAAGGGTCAAGGTCAAGGCTAGAATCTGAATAGCGCCAGTTGCTGAAGTCACCAAAGCACGTGACCGCTTGATCGAATTGTCTCCGCTCCGAGTTTCGATTGACCGATGATATGTAGAGAGCAGCGCACTGGATCCTAAAGGACCTCGAAATCTTTGTATGGACAGAACTAATCCTATCACCTGCTAAAAACCAGTCTGTCTACATTGAGGAAGAAGAAGGCAACAAGTTTATGACTGAAACAAATGACTACATACTTGCAACAATTGAAGCCCACGATTCCTCACAGCGGTCTAGAAGCAACCCAGTCGCTTCGGTACAGTCACTGGCCCTGTACATCGGTTGAACTGTACAACATGTCGTATATAAACTCACGACACAGATCTGAGAAAGACTACAATCTTGTAGTTCATCCTTGCTCGCTCAACGATCCGACCTGAGTAGTCATCAACGAGTGGGCCTGCGTCATAATTACGATCTACAATATCCCAAACTTGAGTGCAATTTTCATCAAAACCGCGGGCAAGCAAGACGGCCGTAGCTGTTGTACCCTTGCGAAAGTACGCCCGGTGGAGAGTAATGGCCCAGGTCCAAGGTCGACCTTCATTGTAAGCGAGACAATCCGCCACTATCAGTGGTTGGTCATCATATGGAACAGTCAACTTGACCACTGCATGGGCGCAAGCGAGGTACAAGGAAGCAGTGCCCAGACGGTCAAGATGAAGGGGACAGAGAAGATAGGGGTCCATCCCTGGGAGATGTAGAGTGTGCAGAGGCATGGTCAGAGGAGCGACCACGGGCTGCCTTCCTGGTATTGGACGGAATTTGGATGCATCTACTGCGTAGATTCTCACAACTCCCCATTCAAATGTAAGAATTCGTTGTCCGGAGAGAATACGAATAGATTTCTGCCGGTGGAAGTGAGAGGGCTGCAGCCAGTTTCAACAAGTTACTTACGACCGCGTTTTTTTGACCAAGAGCAATTGTAGCCTTGTGATGGACTAGAGATGACGAACGCCGCCAGTCGTAGATATCTATGTGGTTTGGAGAACGCCCATTCGTCGCAAGGTAATCCCCTCGCAGGTCCATATCTACGCATACGCCTGTCGTGTATGTGTTAAAGGAAGTGATATGATGAGCCAGAAGAGTATGATCATCTGGCCCGCTGGTGATTCTCCATATGGATATCCTCATGAGCGGCTCGTCTGAGGTAGGTCAGTGATATAGCAGAGTAGAATGGAAATAGAAAACACACCAGTGATTTCACAGTGATTAAGGGCGATGAACATGTCAACGTTGGGCGGCGTCATCCTCACCTCGTCGACAACGAAGGTTCTAACTTGCTCGTCATGCTTGTCTTGTGAGCGAATTAAGATGCGGCGTCGGCCATTTAGCGAATCAAGGTCGTAAAGTTCGAGACAAGGATAATCGGTGGAGGCTAAAAGCCACCGACCTCCGTGAACGAGATGTATCTGGACGGCAGAACACTCGCATAATAGACGTTGTGTTGGGGGTTTCGGCCGAGACCCCCAACTGTGTTGTAATCGAGCCCAGTGCAAGGTGTCGCGCTCAAGTTCGGTGTAAGTCGCCGTGCGATCCTTCGCATTCAAAGGGGTGTCATAGCTGTCGGACACCCGTTGGTATTGGGCACGCCAAACAGATCGCGATCGGAAGGCGGTACACAGAAGTTTACAAGTCTGCAAGGTGTCAGAAAAAGAGGGGAGTTCAGCAACGCTTGCACTCACCACGCGTACGTTGAGCACATCCTTCCAGTCCAGGTCGGCAAGAATCATCTCCAAGACTTCCTGAGGAAGAGTGATTAGACCGCACGAGTTCTTGACGAGACCAAAGTAAGAAGCTAGAAGGTTCCTCAGTATAGATGAATTCAAATGGCATGGAAATAACGAACCTATCTTTTGGGCCGAGCCGCGGCACAGAGGTCGAGATAACATGGAAAAAAGTTTCCCGGCGAGTTGCAACAACTTGTGTAATCTAAACCACCGAAGCATCCAGCGGATGAAGCAATTGAAATGTTTCCTTAGCATCGACCTCAAGCAACGAGCAGTGGTAGATGGTGGACAGCCGTGGTGCTATTGTTCACGGCGCCACATTGCAGCACATTGCTCGGAACGAGAACACGTGGGCGTGATGGTTTGACTCCGGTCCGATGTTCTCCTCCGTGTCCTCCCAAATCCGCTACTCTATTCTAAGTATTCGTTCGGGCCCCAAGTGCACATACTACGAGTTAGTTTGCTGCGGGCTACCAGATCACTCCTACACTGAATGTTCAAGTTGAGTGTCCTTGCAACGCTCCTAGTTGTTCAATGGTAGCTCGTGAACCGGTCGCAGCCAGTTATATTAGCTGGCAAAGTCGCCTAACCCTTTCCTAACCACACAGTAATTCCCCCATGGACCCAGGAGGTATGTCGTGGTTCTAAGGGATGCCTATTGTAACTGTTCCGTTCCGCAGACAAGCTAAACCAACCCCTTCAGTTTCTAGGAAAGGTTAAATAAAGCAGTGTCGAGACTGTCTTCCTAATTCTAACGTACGACTTCAGGGTTAGGTCTGGTTAGGTCCAACAGATCGGTCACGCGAAGTGCTATCTAAGCGCTGATCCAGACTGGCTACACAGGTCTCCCATGGAAGGAGTTCTCTCACAACCTTCATGTTGGGATAGAGCCCTTCATGGTGCTGTTTTCGTATTTTGCTCATCGTCGTGCTTGGTGAGTAGCGGCAAAGTAGTGGGCCGAAGATTGACTGACAACCACTCACTGTGTCAATTGCAGCCGTGACAAGCAGAACCAGCGTCGAGCAGCTATACAGCAACTCGAATCACGTTTCCACGAGCTCATAACTCCTATAGACACCTCAATCCTCTCCCAGCCCATCTCTAAACTCGTGGAGAATGTACATACAGGCGAATTCACGCCTCTCACGATCCTCACAGCGTATACCAAGAAAGCCCTAGCCGCCCATGCACAAACCAATTGTCTTTCAGAAATCCTTGTCAAGTCTGCACAGGGATGGGCTACCTCATCCAAGTTTGACGCTGGGAACCTGAAGGAGAAGAGGAATTTGGAGAGCCTCCCGCTCGCGGGGGTGCCTGTGAGTTTGAAGGACACCGTAGGAGTGGAGGGGTATGATTCTTGCATAGGGTACTCAGCATGGGTGGGGAAGCCTTTCCCTCGTCACAGTGCGCTGGTCAGGCTCTTGCTCGATGCAGGAGCCGTCCCCTTTGTCAAAACCACGATCCCGATCACTCTGCTCTCCTTCGAATCAACCTCAGACGTCTTCGGCGTCACGACCAACCCTTACAATAAAGGCTATTCTCCAGGAGGTTCATCGGGCGGTGAAGCAGCCCTCCTAGCGTACGGCGGTTCGCGCGTTGGTGTGGGCACAGACGTTGCGGGGAGCGTGAGGGTGCCGGCACATTATTGCGGGGTCTATTCGATCCGGAGCTCGGCGCAGAGGTTTTTGAAGGCAGGAAACGCAACGAGTATGCCTGGGCAGGAGGGTGTGTTGCCAGTCTATTCGCCCATGGCGCGGACATTGGAGGACCTGGACACATTCTGGCAAGCCGTCATGTCCATGAAACCGTGGAAATACGATCCATCGGTTAGTAGGAACAGTATACACTGTTTCTCTTGATCAACACCAAGTAACACAATTACTGACGTGTGCAGGTCTTGCCCATCCCGTGGCGGAAGCCTGACTTTGAGGGACGGACATCTCTGAAATGGGCTGTCATATGGGACGACGGTAAGTCCCTGTCTCGGTATATACTGTAATAACGGATCTTGCAAGCTCATTGTTCGTGCGTTTCCTTGCAAGGCGTCGTAAGACCATCCCCGGCGTGTCACAGAGCCTTAAATACCGTAGTTGATGTTCTTCAAAGAAACGGACATAGCATCGTCGCAATGTGAGTACAACACTCCTCGAAGTCCAATGCACTGACCGACCCCTCCCTTCCCAGAAACGACCCGGCGCTCTTTGGAACAGGCCTTAATCTCGCCGCGCAACTCTTGCTCGCTGACGGAGGTTCGTATCACTCTCTTACTCCTCGAACGGTTGAGTTCATTTCCAGTTTTGTTACCATAGGCAAAGTTGCTACTAAACCCATCCGGTTCGGAGAGTTTAACGACCCAGGCATGGTTCAGGCAATGCGCATGTTCTCCCTCCCGCGACCCCTTAGAATCCTTTACTCCTGGTTCGTCCGCTACATCTACCGCGATCCCCTGTACGCCGATCTCATCGCGGGATGGCACGAGAAGCCTATGGATGAGTACATGAAGCTGGTCGCGCAGAGGGAGGAGTATCGGCTCAAGTGGTTCGAAATGTGGAATGGGAGTGAAGGAGATAATGAGAAGGGAGGAGATGGTGGGTGGGATTTCATATTGACGGTGCCAAACGCGTTGCCCGCTGTACCGCATGGAGGGATGAAGGACGGGTGGAAATCTTGCGGATATACGTTTCTGTGGAATTTGGTGAGGCCTTTTCCTCGCTCTTCCTCATTTCCTGTAACCTAGCTCATGTTCTGGGTTTTCAAGCTCGATTATTCCGCGGGTGTGATGCCCATCACGCACGTCAACAGTGTCCTTGACCGGCTCGCCCCTCGCTTCGCTCCCCGCAACGCTATCGAGAAGGGTGCGTACACCGCGTACGATCCAGTGAGCATGAGCGGGCTGCCTGTTGGTGTTCAGGTGGTAGGTAGGAGGCTCGAGGAGGAGAAGGTCATGGAGGGTATGAAGATCATAGAGGGGTTGCTCGCTAAGGAGGGCATTCAGTATGAGGGCATCAAGATTTAAGGAAAGGGAAGAGTTGAGGCGGGTGTCAGATTGATCAGTTGCGTATGTTCCCAAGTGCTGTATTCTGCAGTTCTTTAGTTCTGGTCCTTGCCTTGAGGAACCAGCCCTGCCATCGTCGAAATGAAGGGGCGGTCCCCTAGTTCTGAAGAAAACATGAAAGTGGGATGAACATTCGCACGGATTGTTGGGGCATTTGATAGTTAGCAGGAAATGTAAATGTGATGAGGTGTAAATAGGTATTGTGGTACTCCGGTAGTGGCATAATTGTATATCCTTTAGTCAACGCTTTTCTGGCTTCGGTTGATCTTGAATCACATTTTGTACACCCTGCTCCCATACGCCAAGTTCCTTCTCAATAGCCACCAACGCCTCCCTGACATCTTTCCCGACCTCCCCACCGTCGTTCGATTTCCCGAATCCAATCAACAGTTCCTCTCTTGCTCTCATGAGCGTAGTGTACGCAAGCTTAAGCCGCGGCGGGCCTGAAGGAGGAAAAGGCGCCGCCTTGGTGAAGAAATGCGGGTGTGCGTCACCGGGCTGCTGAACCTCTTTCGGAGAGGGTTCGTCAACGGCAAGCAATTTTCCGAGCTCAGTGAGCGCTATGCCTCGAACGGGATGGCCTTCATTTAATACGGCAGTGAGGCCAGATACGGAACGACTCGCGGAGCGGATGGCATCATCAAGGAGGTCTTGTGCTGCCTTGCGCTCTTCCTGGCTACCGGTTAGTGATGATAAGGAGGGTAGCGACGAGATTAAAAGGGATTGTTGTAGGCGAGACAGCCCGAGCAGCGGATGGGTTGACGGCGTCAAACCAGTGGACAAAAGGATAGGTATCAGGTTGTTGGTGAGCTGTTTGGATTTCTCTGGATCTGGGATGTTTGTTCATAAAGAGTAATAGATATTTTGGGAGTAAGTTCGACGAACCTCTGAATTGGAGCGCTGTTGCTTTATCGAGACCCTCTTGGCCTACACGAGCGGCGTCAATCACAGCGTCGGTCGATGTTACCACCGCTTTGCACTTGCTGCACCTTACAATATCGGTATCTGATCACCCAGTCAATTTTGTGGAGAATGTGCAGGAAGATACGAAAGACGCACCAGTGACTGGTAGTGGAGAAGTTCCACCGCATGCTTTCGGGCACCACATTGCGATTCTTGGATCGATATTATCACTCCTTCCCTCATTTTCGCACAGATTACATTTGCAAGTGAAGCTGTACGTCTCCAACAGAAATTGTTGTCGCTGGGACTTGGGCAAGGTGGTGTCAATATACGACGTCAAGATCTATATATGGTAAGGTGACGACCTCTCGAATAGAAAATGATGGGGCACGTACCTCTTCATCGGCAGCAATGGGTTTGATGGCAATAACTTGCATCAGTGGCTCCTGAGCTACGCTCCCAGACGATCTAGGAAATACAACCACGGCATTGGGATCACAAGAGTGGTTGATCAAGGCAACTGCCGGTGAGACACATACTCCCAAAGGCGTGAGCGATGGTGAAGTAAGAGTGAACGAATTTGTAGTGAACTAGGTAAAAAAAATGTCAGAATGCGTACTTCGCCTTTACCAGCCGTAGAGGTTCACATACTCGTGATATGACGTCCACCAAATCCGCAGCAGAAGCAATGTCGAACTCAGCAAGGTCAGTGGGGGACGAAAGCCCGAGGTACTGCACAATTGAGTAGGCCAAGTGCGTGTAGAATTCGATAGTAGATGGTTGCATCGAAGAGCGGTCTTTGGGATGGGATCAGAGACACAAGTAGCGTCACGTCGGCAAGGGGAACGTACGAGACTGCATAGCGTTGATCTCCCTAGCCTATGCCCATTGTTAATCGGAGGCGAAACAAACGCTGTTAATTTCTCACCCAATCGCTGCTCGCGCCTGCCTTCTTTCTTTTCCAGAGCAGACGACCAAGGCATCGAATCGCGTCGTTCGGGATGGACACCTCTGCAGATGGGGCCGCAGCTGCCCAACGTTTCAAGGCGATACATTCAAGCTTGTGGAAGCTCCAATCACGGTTTTGACAGTCCTGCGGACAGGAATAATCAACTCCAAGCGCCCAATGGCAATCGTAGGTCACCGACAGCATCGCAGTACCACACTGTTCTGCACTGTGTGCACCTCTGCAAGCCCGTTGGAGGAGCCGGCCCGAAGCAAGCAGAGCAATGGGAATTCAGATATGTGTTGGATAATGCTGCTAGCTTGGGTTTGCAAGACAACAATGTGGTTCCTTTCGGATGCAAGATATCAACGCGCGGCGATAATCCTGTAGTGATTGCTCACCTATATTGAGGGTTGCCTTCGTCCATATTCCTCGACCAGCCTCATCGGATGAGCGTATTTCCAGCGACTTCGGAATGTAATTGAACAGCCCATTCTCGTCGTGGACTCCCTGCTTGAATGGAGAAATGGATGAAACATGGGATACGGCGGCATCACTTTCATGAGACTTGACATACGATTTTGTTTCTTTCCCGTGTCGAGAAGTACGCAGAGCTGTGAAGGACGCCATCGAAGTCACCTGTATAGAGAATTATCTTGCCCAGGTCCCCGGCAATACGGCCGGCACCCTTAAGCTAGCCCAAAAAGGCAGTATATTCAGATTCCGCTCTACTTTACTCGTTGCATGATGCATGACCTTCAACTGCCAACCTTCTGCGGCCTACTATGCCACCACGATCACCCCGCAAACGCATCGCGCAGGTGCTGTCCGACGACGATGGTCCATCCGGCGACAACTCCGACTCGAGCTCCCAATCAGCGCATGGAGAAGGTGGCGATTTTATGGTCCAAACCAACTTTGACTCCTACTTCTCTCATGTGGCTGCAAGATCTCAAACGTCAAATACCGTATTCTCCACCAAAATACCGCCTCTAAGTGCAGAGGAGTACGCGGCTGCCATCAAGCCGGTCACTGCGCGCCCTCCTCCATTCCGATCGGCCGTCTTCAGCGAGGAGTCGAAGCGTGACTTTCACTCGCGGTTCTTGCGGGAACTCCATGAAGGGTTCAACTTGCTGTTCTACGGGTTCGGCTCAAAGCGACAGTACTTGAATGACTTTGCGACCGAACGATGTGCAAAGCTCGGCCATGTGGTGATAGCGAACGGATTCCACCCCGGATTTGGAATGAAGGACCTCCTGTCCTCGTTCAGTAGCCTACCGGACTTCGACGCGTCCCCATCTCAGGCGACCGTGCAAGAGTACTTTATATCGAGCAAACACCATCTCTACCTCATCATCCACAACATCGACGGCCCCTTCTTCCGCACGACAAAGGCAAAGTCCGTGATCTCGCTCTGGGCGATGAACCCCCACATCCACATCCTGGCCTCCGTAGATCACATCAACGCCGCCCTGCTTTGGTCGACCTCGGAATCATCCGCACGCAAACAAGGGGGAAACAATCGCGGATTCGCCTGGCTCTGGCACGACATTAGTACCCTCTCGCCGTACGACTTTGAGCTCTCCTTCGCAGACCGCACGTCTATACGCGGCGCGCACGGTATCAAAGCCTCGGACACCGGCACGTCAAGCGCCGTGGCCATGACAGAAACCGCCGCCCTGCACATCCTCGCCTCAGTCACGCAGAAAGCCAAGAAGCTCTTCAAACTCATGGGTGAGCGCCAGCTGGGAATATCTGACTCGGAGTCGGGACAGGATATGCAGCAGGCGGCAATTGAGTACGATGCGCTGTTCAGCCTCGCGCGGGACAACTTCGTGGCGACAAACGACACGGCACTAAGGGCGCTACTGGGCGAGTTCAAAGACCACGGGCTGGTGCTGACGGCGCAGAGCTCTGCTGCGGGCGGACAGGCGCTGTGGATACCGCTAAGGAAGGAGAAGCTCAGTGCCGTGCTGGGTTCCGCGCAAATGGGGTGATGGACAAGTGTGACGCGAGCGTGAAGGTCGCGCACACGGGGACTGAGGTAGTCGGACAAGAGTGATAGGGATAACGCTCAATTCGAGTACGCTAGCGATACAGCACAGAGGTGAGGGGTTTATATACTGTAGAGCCAGGGTGGGAGAATAGGTAAAGTAACAAGTGTGGGTAGTTGTACGAGAGTCGCAGATCATCTAAGTAACAGAGGGATCGGAGACGAGAGTAAGTCCGTAAAGAGGGATGGAGAGTCGGGCGAAGGCCGAGGCGCCACAACAAGTCAATCAATCTGGAACAAATCCAGAGCACGCAGTTATTCTTGCAACCCACTTGTGAGTAATTGTACGGGTGTATTGGTAGAGCCGTAGGCTTGAGAGATAGTTTGTTACTTTTCACGCTCAGTGCTTTCAGCTGGCCGTGCAATGAGGAGATCAATCACGCGCTCACGTGCTTTCGGCCCAAGGTAACTGGCGCTCTGTGGCGGCGTTCAACCATGTTCACTGGCAACGCGACCTAGTTGACTTGTCACGGTTCACCACTAGTACTGTTGATTGCTCGAGGTCGATGCTAAAGAAACACTTTACTTGCTTCATACGCTGGGTGCTTCAATGGATCAGATTGCTTAAGATTTTGTCGCTTGCTGGCAAACTGGTTTCTACGATACCACGACCTCTGCTCTCTGCTCTTCAGAAGATAGGTTCGCTATTTCCGTCTGTTTCGAACCCAGCTATACTGAGGAACTTTCTAGCTTCTTGCTTTAGCCTTGTCAAGAGCTTGTGCGGTCTAATCACTCTTCCTCAGGAAGTCTTGGAGATGATTCTTGCCGACCTGGACTGGAAGGATGTGCTCAACGTACGCGTGGTGAGTGCAAGCGTTGCCGAACCCCCCTCTTTTTCTGACACCTTACTTACAGACTTGTAAACTACTGTGTACCGCCTCTCGATCGCGATCTGTTTGGCGTGCCCAATACCAACGAATGTCTGACAGCTATGACACCCCTTTGAACGCGAAGGATCGCACAGCGAATTACGCCGAACTTGAGCGTGATACCATGCACTGGGCTCGAGTACAACGCAATTGGGCACACCAGTCAAAACGGCCGACCCGACGCTTGGTGGGTAGGTGTCATGGGCTGGAAGCACACCTCATCCAAGGGGGCCGGTGGCTTCTAACCAATCCCGATTGTTGGGACCCTTGCCTTAGCGTATACGATCTGGATAAGAATGGTCAACACCGTGTCTTGATTCGCCCACAAGACAAGCGAGAGAAAAGAATCGAAGCTTTTGTCGTTGACGAAGTTAATACGTTGCCCAAAATTGAAGTCTGCATTGCCCTTGTTCGCGAACGCCCCCGTACGTTCCCTCGTCCTTGTATTTGCATCTTCTCACTCTCGGCAGAGGAGCATCTTGCCAGGCTGTCTTTCTGGAAAGTCACTAACTCCCCCGAGGACACTCTAGTGGCTCGTCATATCACGTCGTTTAACACATATGCACACGATATTTCCCATGTCAAGGACCTACGGGGAGATTACTTCGCGAGGTTCGCTTTGCCATACACCAATGGGCCTCAGTGGATAGATGTGTATAATTGGCGACGCTCATGTTCATTGATCCACCACAAGGCCACGTTCGTTATCAGAGAACAACTTGTAAGTAATTTCTCCCTATTATCATGCTTAAGGCATTGACATCAGTTGGTAGTATACCGTTCGCATCCTCCCTGGTCAAAGGATAATTGGTCTCGACCGACAAAGTGTCAGGATCTACGATGTGCCGCGCTGTCGATCAGTCGCGGCAAAATGTCCCGTAGCTGGTTTGCCGACTGCGCCTTTGCACGTCCTAGCTTTGCCGGGGCTGAACCCCGATATCTATACTCCCTTTTACTTCGACGTTCTCGGGACCGCTCACTTCTACGTTGCCAGCCCCGAAGCTGTGGTTAAGCTAACGATCCCACATGATAGACGACCAACGACGTGCCAAGATTATATACACTATTCCCTGGGTGACAGGTGTAACTACGCCCTCAGCCTCCACCGCGCGTACTTCCGGAGGCTTTCCGCAAGGAGGGTATTCTCGTTTTTCCGTGACTATGATGAACAATGCTCCAAAGCTTGGGAGGTATCTGAGACGTATGATGATGGTGGGTGTCTCCTCCTTAACGACCTCTCTGGTCGAATAGTTGAACGCACGGACGATAAGTATGTTTTTGTGTATGATCATAATTAGATGATGGCCTGCACTCGGGTTTGTGGCAACTACCCGAAAGGAACCGCCAAATTTTCGCGTCTATCGTACATTGTGATTAGTATGTCCTTATTGGCAACTCAAATCTAACTGAGCAGACTAGTAGATTTAATGTTGACTCAATTGACAACCATTGGTACTAAGCACGATGGGAGTCGAGAGAGCTTACACGTCTACAAACCTATTCCAGCTAGCGTACGGTAAATCAGAGATGATCAGAGCACGTCTGGCTTCACCAGCCTCGTCCCGAGCATCCAATCTGTATGATTGGTTAGTGGCGTGCGTGCCAGACTCCCGGTGAGGAGTGAGGAACTTGAGGATGGGCTGCGATGTGTGAAGGGCGATAGGAGTGGCTCTAGCGAGTTCTGAAGAAGCTAAACGGAATCGGAATGTTTGTGGATTAGGGAATTGAGGTTGTTATTGTAGTGAAATTGTTCTAGAACCAGTTGCGTATTCTTTCGAGATGCTAGACAACAGCGCCCAATACTTTCCTTGTAGCTTCGACAATGACCTCCCACTCTGTTTTATGAACTCTTTCCTCGAACGCCTCCTTGCTTTCCCCTGCTTGCATATCGACTTCCCGAATCAATATAGGTTCCCCGCGATCGACCTCTTTGACTACGCGGTGTACCATCACCCCGGATTTCGTGATCTCTCCCTTCTGAAAGGCCTCGTACGCGCGATCTATAGCGTGCATTCCGTCGAAAGCACCGGGGAGAGCGGGGTGGAGGTTGATCACTGGGATGGAGTCCTGCCGATCGCCCGTGGCCATCTCCTCCAGGAATCCATCACCAAAGACGTGCATCCATCCGGCGAGCACTACGACGTCGGGGCAAGCCTGCAGCACGATCCGTCCCACTTCCCGATCGTAATCCGATCGACCTTTGCCCGGGTGCTCTTTCAGATATGTTTGGAGCGCGATATAGTAGGTTGGGATTGGAGGCGATGCCTGCGATGCGCGGATGAGGCCGTACGCCGCTTTTCGATTAGAGACAACGAGAACTATTGAAGAATTTGGTAATGAAGGGGTGTTTATTGAATCGATGAGAGCCTGGAGGTTAGTGCCTGCGAGAGGTATGAGGGCCGTTATACATCAGTCAAGAGTGTCCTACCTGAACCCGATATCAGCACGACAATACGGCGGGTCCTCGATTCGCCTGCATCGCTCGACATCAAGGTTTTATCTCAGGTGTCAATTAGGGGCAGATATTTAATTATGGTTAACCGCTTCCGATTGGGTCATGTCGCTTTCCGAGTCTCGACTCGGAGGGACAATGTTAGATAATGAAGGCCTGAAGAAACTATCATAGAGTTTATCATGTATCTTACATATCATACATCAACCAAGATATCCACCCCTCCCGAACCGTGCAAACCAATCCACAAGTCCGCAAATCACAACACCTACCAAAACGCACACCACCCCGAGAAACACTGGCACAAGTTCTCTAGCGACGTCGCCTGTAGGATCAGTTTTTCCACCTGCTCTTGAACGTTGAGTGCGATGTCTGGGTTAAAGTCTCTGCCTGTAATAGAAGATAAATAAGGCGAACGTACACGTGGTGGGTAATGTACAGGTGAAAATAGGATTTGGGAGGAAGGTAGGCACGCACCAGTAAGTTTATGTTGGACCCGATTGTACACAGCCAGAGCACGCTCATTGCGTGTTTCTTGGGCATCTAACCCACCGATCGATTCTTTGGGAAGTTGCGAACAGGTTAATGTGTATCACTGTAACCAAAATATGCAAACCAACCATTGAATATATCGTTCTCGTCCGCCTTGAGTTTACGGGTGGGGCCTTGGGGAAGGGCCGCTGCCGCCGCCGCCACGCGTGCTACCTCGGCTGCATGTTCCGGGTCACTTTCGAGTTCTACGTCGATTGTCAGCGGTTTGATAAGTATCTATGTTGCACGATAACTCACCTTCATCAAGCTCATGTTGCCGTCGTCCATCCGCATCTGCTTGCATAAGCCTCCAATTGATCAGTGGGTCATACACAAACGCCTCCAGGACCGCCATCAATGACTCCTTATTCTCCCTCAACACCCTCATCGAAATCTCACACCCTCTCCTAAAGCTCCCCTCAATCCCGCTAACCTCCATGGCATGTGTCAGCATCCTCGTTAACCTAAACGGCACCTTCTCAGGAAACTTCTCGCGGTGCATAGCTATCTCGAAACAGTCCCCATAGTCACAATGAATCACCTTCCCTGACGAGCGCTCGAGCATCAAATTTGAGGGATGGCGATCACCCAAGCCGAGGATGTACCCAAACATGCTGTTGACGGCGAGAGAACGTGTGTAGGTCGCCCGTCTCTCTAGCCAGTGCTCTGAGTTGTTGCTCTTCAGCCACAAAACCCGATAGAGATCCTGTCCTGTGGTTTTCGACAACGCATGCTCGAACACCTCGACTTTCTGCAACAGGATCAGATTCTCGTAATCTGGCGCCATCTGGAGCATTAGTCGATACTCAATATTAAGCAACACTTTTCGGGTCTCTCGATAATCGCGGACCAAGACGTGCAGCGTGTCACTATCATGGACCCAGCCTAGAAGGCCGGCGTTGGGAGCAAGAGGGATGACGGAGAATCCCTTGACGTGCAGCCGTCGCTGGAAGCTGTCAGTGTCCACAGAAAGCAACGTGTTGACTAGGCCGAGTAGTTGCATGACTCGTTCATCTTGCCGAAGATCCTCATGCCCTATACACGAGTGATGAGTCTATCAAGGCCACATCGCGGAAGAGAATGAACACCATGTCACACCTTTTAGAAGGTAGTTATGTTCCTTGCCATCACTGCCAATCAGCGAAAGTTTGCGTGGGCGTTGTTTGGAAGCGATGACTCCAAGCTTCGGGGCAAAGCTGACTATCTTGATTACCGGACGCCCGCTTTGATAGGTTCCTAAAGGATATCATGGTCCTATGTATTAGTATGCGAGGGCACGCAACCGCAACGGCGACGTACCAGGAACAGCAAGTTCGAGATTTCTGGATTTCAGGAGGGCGGGGGACACGTATTGGAGATCGATTGATGTCAGTTGTGGCAGTTGCTTCTCAATCTTTTTGAAGACCTAATGCCAGATGGTCATGATATAACCAGCCCTTTCCCAGCGACATGCAGAAACTTACGTCGTAATATATAGCCCACGCTTTGTCAAGCTCTCCGGCGTCGCCATGCTCGTGATAGCGTTTGCAAGCTTCGTGTGCATCGTGAAGTTCTCTACCAAATACTTGCACAAACGATATTTCCCGGGTTGTTGTTGCGCCCTGAATTTTGTTGAGGTATGTTGTATGGTCCTTCTACACACAAGACGTACCGCTGCGATCATTTCGTGGAGTGGCTCCAGCACCATAATCATCCCTTCGGGGTTATTTTCCGTGAAATATAAGCGTGAAGCCTCTTCCAGTGCGTCGTGCCACAGCTCGTGCCACAAGATGGCTACTCTGATGAGTTCACGGCTTACCAACAGCGCCTTCGAGGGGGCATGAGCATTCCGGAAAGGGTGGAAAGCGAATCACTATCTCGTAACGTACTTGATTAATGATCACAGCACTATGCTCGCGCATCCGGTCCATTATCAGGACTGCAGCCGCTTGGCGGGATTTACTTGATGACTTCGACGCCACCGTCAACGGATACACCAATGCTTGTGGGTGGTGTTGCCCAACGCCAACCAGGAGAGCATTGATATTACGACGAATATTGAGGTGAGGTGTCTGGATGCGCGCGATGACCTTCATAGGGGCGACTTTAGTGTCTACAAGGGTAAGAGAGGATGGAATGGACAAACCTGGGGAATGACTTCGAGCCAAGTATCTACCTCGACGGATGAGAATCCGCTCGCCATGGCGTGGCTGACTTCGTCGTGGGCGCCATATTTAAACCATAGCGTGAGGAGACGAAGCGTGTCCTGAAGCGTATCTTCATTGCGAAGGGATATTGACCGGAAGAACCCCTCAACTGCCTGAACAACATGTGCGGCCAAATTGTTGCCGACCTCGGTACTCCCCTCTGAACGATTTTCATTCGTAAGATTTTCTATATGTCCAATGACTTCAAAATTGGCCAGCGCCCAAGTATGCCACGCCTTATACCACGTTGGATCATGACTAGTGGCTAGTTGGAATGAATAGAGTATGTCGTCGATATTTCTCTGAGACATATCTGCTAAGCAAACAAGGCTTGCATTTATTCAATGACGTCTCACCTGATCCCAGTCTTCTTTCAATTCCTTTTGCCATTGACCTTGTTTCAGGTAGCAACGGGCCAGGAGCCGGGTACGGTCTTCAAGTCGGGTCTCAGAGGCTGTAGACAGAGGGCCATTTTCGCTTGATTCGTGCTCAATGTCCTTGGCGAGGTTGATGGCGAATTGGCGAACAAATTGCAGACTCTCCTCTTTTTTACCACCTTTTTCCCACATGAACTTCAACTGCGCATAGACTACCTCAGGAGGGGCCTCGATCGGGTGAGTCCATAAGCAATCACAACTACCATCTCCAGCAAGCAAAAACATACCTTGGACGGTCCAAGCAACGAGTTGATGGTTTTCTCCGCCAGCATCATCCTGCCAGACTTGCGGCATAGATTGGCGAATTTTATCCACATAACCGGGTCGTCTTCTGGAGTGATCACCAGTGTTCGTACTTGAAGGATTCGTTGCCACACCTCGACATCCGGCTGACACCCCTGTAAGCTACGGATGTTGTGAGTGATCTATCATTTCTTGTGAAATGTCAACACGTACCGTTGTATCCATGTCTCATGGATTGTCTGCTGGCGTTCAGGTTGGTCAGCAAATTGCTTGTAAGTGACGATTTCTTCTAGTTCCGACAGCATCTGCGCCCGAACCATGGTACTACCAGCAGCAAAATCGCCTTAGAGAAATCACCATTACAAACGGAGTCCACTTACTTGTAAGATTGCCCATAATCCTCTCCGATGAAACTGGAAATATCATTCTTCAAGTAATCCCTCGCTTTTCCTATATGTGCCATAGCTTTGGGGAACTGATTCTGGTGGACAGAGAGGATGGCCCGATAGAAATATTTGTCGGCCACATCAGAGCGCATGGCAGAGATGTAGCCCTCCATGGCATCCCATTCCCTCAGCGACCAAGCGGCGGCGGCGGCCATTGGCGCGATATCCCGACGATCATCCGGATCTGCGTCTGTCCAGTGCTCTTCCACCAAAGCCGCCAGTTGATCCCATTCGCCAAGAGCGTGAAGACACCTCATTCGGCCGATTGCGACATCGGGTGCTGATGGAGAAGCTTTCTTTTCATATACATGCAAAGCCTCTTGCCACCGTCCCAGCTTCTCATACCACTGTTCGTGCTTCGTAATGTCGTACTGTTCTCCAGCGGTGACGAGTGTTCCCAAAGCAGCGTCGTGCTGTTGAAGCAACGTATTGATAGAGATCAGCGATTCAATGATAGTCGGCGACGACTCCATGAAGAATTCGAGCTCTCTGTAATGCAAGGCCTTCGCGTAGGCACGACACTTTATGGCATACTCGCCAAGGATCCGAGGGTCAATCGGGAGTGGTTTTTCTTCATGCTCCATGAACTCCGCCAGGTTTAACAGCCGATGAATCAAATCCGTTGGACTCGTACTCGAGGTCATGGCAAGCTCGATGGAGCGCACTAGGTCTTCCTGCATCATCAGAGTGCATTAGATCGATGCAAGGAAGGTTGAACTCATCTAGACAAACCTGGTACTGGCCGTATAGCTCACCCCAGCACGAGAAGAAAGCTGCATTGAATAGTTCCTTAGCGAGAGGTGGGTAGATATCAACAAGGCTCATGCATGCGCGTAAGGCATGAGATGGAGACTCCTTCATGAATTCAACTTCGAGATGATGCATCCAGCCGGTCCAGTCTTCTGCCGTCGAAACATAGGACGTATCCCAGGCTTGTTTGAGATGCTGTTGGTTCACGGAAAGTTTTGTCGCTTCGGCGGGAGCCGAGTATTCTGGCATTCTCGCAGGATCGCTGGTCGCTTGTATATGAGCATGTTGTCTATACTTTATGGACCAGACTCACGTCACAGTCTCTCGCACGAGATACTCGCCGTTGAGGAGTTTCAAGACGAGCCCTTCGTATTTGGAATGTGTTATATGGTGTTTTGCCATAACCTTCAACGAGAGCGTGAGCATTGAAATAATACATATTACCGGAGACCAACCTTCCGGATCGTGGACACGAATATTGCGAAATCGGGGCCCAATTGGTAAACAAAAGCACATAGCGTGTCCAATGCCGCTTGACGAATATCATTGCCACCCGCGTCCAACACCCGCACCAACGGATGTATAATCCTAGATACATGGTCCGAAAAGTTCACGCGCGCAGACAGCGACTCGATGGTCTGAATCGCCTTCCTCCTCAACGACGATGAAGCGTCCGTCCGTTCAAACGTCCGTACTATTACTGGGATCACCAGCTGGAGGTATTCCTCAGTATTCGTTCCGAAGGTGATGAATGCATCAAATATCTTCATCTGCGTCGGGATCCGTTTTTCCGTCAAGTCGTCATCGAAGACTTTCAGAACCAAGGGGATTATGGTAGCCAAGAAAGGCTTGAATTCGGAATTCAAAGCGTTCCCCAACGCTTCGATAAGCGAGACAATGGGGAGGTGAAGCGACGGGTTATCCCATAACTGGAGGACCAACCTATACAGACGCATCGCGTAGTTGCGGGAATGTTCCTTCATGATGGTGACGAGAATCGCGAGTTGCTGAAGGTGGAACTCTTGCATCCTCACTGTCGAATTCTTGGCCACAAAAGTAAGCGCGGGGATGATCTATATAATGCATGGGAGTTAGGATTGGGTGGGCTTGCGGGCTTTTGCGGCAGCGGCAGGCGTTCTTATACGTACCTCGGGGAGGAACGTAACACATTTGAGACCCTGAGTCTTGAAGATAGACATGATAGCCTCCACGACATTGTGGTGGTGAGCACTTAACGACGGGTCTTTTAGGACATCCAACAGAGCGCTAATAACCGCAGCTTGGAAACCATCGTCAGCGCCACCAGTCAAGTTGACTAGAGTGCCCGTAGCACCAACAGTAGTGGCAGCAGCAACGGTATTCGTCGAGGAAGCTCCGGGCTCCGGCGGTGCCTCATCCAGAATTTTCCTCTTCGAACCCTATAGTAGGCCAAACAATAAATCCTCCTCCGAACAAACAAACGGCAGTACTACATACCTTCCGTCTAAACGGATCTATAGCACCCAGGATTCCAAGTACCTTGACCACCTCCCTCTTCGCGAAGTTCGTGCTCTCATTGCGCAGAATGCGCAGCAACATCGGGAGGAGCTGTGGGTAGTCCACAAGGGGTTGGATGACATACCCCGTGCTGGAGCACAATTGGCCGAGAGTATGTAGCGTCGCGTCAGAGCGCTTTGCGAGAGATGGGTCGGACAGTCTGTCCATGATGACGCGCATCAGGTCCGGGACGCAGGGTGACGCGTCTTCAGCGGCAATGCAGACCAGTTCGCCGAGGCACGTCAAGACGTTTGAAGCCACGGTGGCGTTGCTGTCCTTGGCCTTTGGGAGAAGGGTACGTAGCATCGAGGTGGCATATGGCTTGATCAGTCGTTGTGTCGCACTGACTAACAAGGTCAAGAGTCGGGTGCACTCTTCCCGGCCACGCCTGTAGGGTAGAAATGATAAACACCGTAAGCCGCAATCCACTACATAACTGGATATGCCACCCACATCACTGTAGAATACTCTAATTCCGTCAAAAGTTGGATGAGAGCTTTCCGAAGCGAGGGCATCACATAGGCAGGATTATGCCTGGCTAGTCTCCCGATGAGCCCGACCGCCGTAACTCGATTTCTGAATTCCTCGTCGTTGAGAGCGACAAAAAGAGACCGGATATTCCCAGCTTGAGCGAGTTGTTTGTCGAAACGCTCGTGGAGGTTCGACAGGACAACATGCCGGATATTCGCGTCTATATACCGTTATTCTTATATACTGGCGAATAGGGCCGTGTTAAGCAGCTTACCAGGGTCAGCGATCCCGACAGTAAGCAGCTTGTCCAGCACGTCGCTGAGCGTCTCAATGGCGCGGTTGCTGGCTTGATAACATATCGGGTCCTCCACGAAGAGTCGGCAACACGTCATCGCGGCAGCCTCTCTGACGTTGGGACTGTCGCTCTCCAGGTAGGGGAGTGCACAAGTTCGTACGAGGTCGCTCAATACGTGCCCTGGGAAATAAATATATAGAAGTAGGGAAATAATTCAATTGATCACGTTTAGGGAAAGGAGAGGTAGGCACCCACCACTAAAGTCGAATTCGCCGAGAGTCGTCAGGGCGAGAGTAATTCGTTCTAAATTAGACTCGTTGGCCTTAACATTACAAATCGAAGCAGACAATGATCCACGCTTGAGTTTCTCGTTCCGCACAACGAAAGTAAACGCGCACGCGCACATACCTGAGTCGTGCTCTGTTCCCTTGCAACAGCCCCATGAGAATGAGCATCACGGCTGCGGCTGCCAAGAAGAGGAGGAGGGAGGGGAGGCGCCCCGAGTCGTCTATACGGCTTGCCGCTTAGAACCATGGAAAGCATATCTAGTAGCCGATCTATAAAGTATTATATTGCCATATTTGATATATTCGGGATGAGAACATGCACTGAGACGTACATGACTGACGCACCTTGAATCATTGGCAACAACGGCGAAATACTTGTAACGATGTCGCCAAGCGCGCTGACTAGCGCGCCGCTCAACCCGCACGCGAACATCAAGTTCAGTAACTGCTTGTCGTTCATAAGCAGGAGTTTCGTCAGGTTCGGGCCTACAGCTTTGGCTAGCATGCCGATGCATTGGAAGATGGGTTCCTCCGAATTCGAGGGGATGTTCTTCTTTCTGTAAATTATATACGTTAATTCCAAACCTCGGAGCAGGCAATCAGGTCCCGAGCGTACCCTCGGGCTTGCAAGCCCTGCTTAACGTGTTCCATGATATCATCCAGGAAGGGTTTCATGTCGCCCTTGATAGCAGTAGCAGTGTGGCCAATCGCGATGAAGGCTAACGTTGACTCATCACCATGAGTGTATAGTAATGAAACAGTATTTAGTGAATGAACGTACCAAAATGGCGTTCACTCGGCTTGTCCAGCTGCGTCAGTAAGTGACCCACGGCCTTGTGCAAGAAGTGTTCGATGAATGCAGCCGTACCATACGAGGCTAGTGTCGGGATCAGGGTGATGACCGTCTTGCGAACGAGGTTGTCCTTGTGCGCCTTGAACCGCAGGATGGTCTCCCCCACATCCATGAGCTCGGAGTCCTAAGAAAAGGTCAATATTTATTAGCCCCGGTGCAAGGTTCAATGGATTCCGCACCATCTTCCCATAGATGAGCAATTCGCGGTAAGCAAGGAGAGACCCGTGTATGACTTCCGGCTGTGACTGCCTCAGTCCAAGCTGCGCGTCCTGTATGATCTTCTGCACGTGCACATTGCGGTCCGTCACAATCTCCAAGCACGCTGCGAGCAGCTCCGCCGCGCCCTCCCTCACTATCACCCGCGAGTCCCTCAGCGGCAGCACAATATCACCCAGCACCGCCCCGATATGTGATGAGAAGTGGTTCGGGCTGTTCTTCGCCAGCTCCTTGAGGATCAGTACCCCGGCGTACGACGACGAGTCGGGCTGCTTGTCGGGCTGCATCAGCGCGATGGCAGCCTGGACCTCGTATGCCATGAACATGTCCCCAAACGCAGCCCCGCCGATCTTGGCTATACGCCCAAGCGTGTGCGACGCGGCGAGCATGAGGTTGATGTCGTGGTGCGGGAGCTGGTGCCTGACGTAGTTGTAGAAGCGGTACAAATGGCGCTTCGAGTCGGGGGTCTGTGTTTCTTCCCCCGGCATCTCCAGGAGGTGGTCTGCCTTGTATGAGGTATCTGCGCTATCTGCGGGGGAGGCGACGCACCTATAGCCAATAATCCACCGAATCTCTCAACGTTGCTCTGGCTGTGCATCAAGTCGAACAGGTTCCGGTTGATGTTGTCGTCCCAGACCTTCGCAGCAGCGTCCGGCGACATTTCGGATACCTTTGTGATGACCTGCCCTCGCGGTTTGAGTACGGTTGGAACACGGAGCGCGTCGCACGTACATATCGTCGCAGTTCTTCGGCGGCCTTGACTCTTGTATCGTGGGTCTTCGATCTGAGGTTTTGAAATATTGTGCCCGGATCGTCTGGTTGGCCTGTCGACGCCATGGTGAACGCTGAGCACTATGGGACGACTGTGGCGCTCGCTTGACGCTCCGGACCTATTTGCCTCACGAGCGCCAGCCAAATCAGCTAATCGGGATTCAGGGGCCCGCACTTTGCTCCCCAAGCGCAATAACAGTTACTCTGCCAAGTTGCTAGCAGCCAGTTCATTATAGATGATCCAGTGGGCGTGGACTGAGTTATCACTTACCGTATGTGGGCCACTGGCTGGTCACCGCATTCCGAGGTCCAGGAACCCGATACTACGTCTGGGAATACAAATGTGGGGGAATTCAGGGTCGAAGCCACCAGTCGTCACCTCGTCTTATGCCCATCGGTGCCCCGCAGGAACGAGGAAACCGGTAGAACGAGGAAACCGGTAGAACAAGCAGAGGCTTGCTCAACCATGGCGGGGATGGTGGCGGTTCTTGCTCGAGAGCTCGGGCACTCTAGCGTCGTATCTAGCCGCGTCGGGTTGCGCCGGCGCTACCGTGATGCTTCGAAGTCCTGATGGAGGGATGTTCCAATGCTAACTCTGAAGTAGTAGGAGCAAAGGGAAGACCTCAAGCAACGTACCGAATCTGTACAGGATGCCCTTTGCCGACGCTACGGTACACCCCTTCCCTCCGCAGATTTCGCAAGCTTCTCGTTGTGTTCTCAATTCTCAAAGCTCCTCTTCACAGATAGGCCATGTGTATCCGTCGCTCAATCTACATATTGGGCTGAAACTGTCCGCCACGATAGTGTTGAACGCGTCGTCTTTATCGCCAACTTGAAATCCCTTGATGTTGTCACTACCTAGTCAAACATTAATTTCTCCGCCACGGCGCAGCAGCGATGTCAGCTGCACGATGTTCGCGACGGCGACGGCGGGCGAAACCATTTAAACGATTCGCGTTGGGAGTGTTGTCGTCAATACATCCTCGTCTCCTGGGTGCTGAGCACTCCACGGTTCCCACTCAGTCCCCATTCATTGCGTGTTGTCAGGAGGCGTGGCGCAAAAGGGCGACCGAGGGAACGGATAGACCAGAGCCCACAAGAATCAAGGAGAGCGCGAACGGTGAGTCGTCGTTGCGGTCGCTAGCATGGAGCGGAGCTGCATATACGAATATATGCATACACAGATGATTACTCTAAGATCTGCGCTCGCGCCAGTCAACGGTGTCTATCACGTTACATTCACCTTTCCTCAAAGTTGGAAAATACTGTATCATATCATATTAAATCTACAGCCAGTTCATACACATGTACAGGACTGCCTGCGCGAACCAGCGATGACAACGGTCGGGTAAAAGATATCGATAGGAGCGTACAGAACACGCGGTCGTCGCCGTGGTACAACACTGCCGCTTCTGCCGCACGCGCTTCCATTCATGACAGATAGACAGAGAAGCGGCGGCCCAGTGTCTGCCCCGTATGAACCACGTCTGACAGACATGGAAGGGCCTGGCCGAGTGCCCAACGCCCATGTTCCATGGAGCAAGCGATCACAAGAGCACTGGCATCCCCTTGATCCATCGGCGAGTTCAGAAACCGTCCCAGAAGACGTGGGGTGGGGCCGACTTGATCTTCGAATCATACGTCCAGGGACGAACGAGGAGTACTCGAGTTCGCCTCGTGAGTCGTCGCGAGTCGCGAAGCCCTTCGATCTTCGTCGTCGACGTTCAACGACGTCAGCGGCGCGAGCAGGGAACCGAGAGCCTAGATCTCATCCAGGTCCCCCATCTTTGAACTCCTTAGAAGCTCCCCAAAGTCTAGGGCGCAACTTCTTGATTGAGGGATTCAGGCAGAAAAGGAGGTCCGATGCGAGGCGGGGACACAGAATCTGGCGGGGAACATCTATGCCTGGTCTAGACGACGGTCGGCTACAGGTTAGCGAGGAGTGCCAGGCAGATACCGCGCAGATGGTGTCGATGCCAGATCAGCACATTGTGGCTTGCTACCGATCGTGGTCCCCCCGCTTTCGATCCAAGTTCGATCGTGCATACGGGTGGGGAGCACGTTTCAGCGCGATCGAAAAGGAAAGGCGAGTATCGCTAAGAACGAGGTTTGGCGGTTGTGCAAAAAGTGCTAAAGCATGTCAAATAGATGGAGAAACATACCTATGCCTGATATTGAGAAAGTCAGCGCCAGGGAGCATCTCGTGGAGGCGCTCAGACGCAGGCCACCCCAGATCTCTACGAACTCACATCGCCGGGCAAAATCCCGAGGAATTCCTAAAGAAATAATAAGTCCACCCTCGAGGAGGTACCATACGAGTTGTTTCCCTCGGCTAGCGTGTGCCTTGGGGCCGCAGAGGAAGGCAACAGAGGTCCTATATCCTAGTGGCAGCAAGCGCAGATCATAGTCAAGCATAAATATGGGCGTGGTGCGCCGAGGACGCGTCGAAGACCTGCCCTCCGCGCCGTGTGCCTGAGACTTCCTAGAGTGTGGATTCCGAGCGCGTCGCTGATGCACGAGGCGGAAGGTGTGATATACCGCGTCTTCGAATTGCCATCTGACATCTACTTATATAGTGGGTTCATGCGCTACCACAGTCTTTGCTTGAGCCTGAACCAGGGCCTGGGGTGGGGGTGGCAATCTTGAATTCAAGTTGGAGTGATCGCTCGGCCAGAATGCTGAGAAGCGGTTGCATGATTTCGCGTTTTGCGCCGAACGGAGTGCTCCAGATGGCGAGCCTTTTGAGGGGAACTCGCGGGCGACTTGGAGGCTATCCAGTAGGTACCATCAGTGTAAGTATAATAGAGCCATGACGGGACGGGAGGTACTGTCCCAGTCACGTAGTGCTGCGTGACGTGACGTGTCCATGGACCTACGAGTCTCCAACTGCCAGGGTCCTGCGACGTCGTCCGAGCCTTGGATTCGACGGTGCTCGAGCTGATCTCCCTACTCCCAATCTCGGACTCCAGAATCTTTGCATCGCCAGTCAAACTGGCGAGGATTGCGATCTATGATTTTTTATATTGATACCCTGTACGTCCGCGTCGCAATTCATTAACATTGCTTCGTTCTACCACTTAAAATCTAGCTCGCAGAGTACTAGTCGCCTCGATCTACACCTGCTGATCTATGATCTATGCAAATGTCAATGTCACCCGAAATCGAATCCATGGCCACTATCTCCAGCACCTCCGGGCGGCTCTGCAGCAGCCCACGCCTCGGGCTTTTGGTTTTCGTTGCTCGATCAATTTACGTCAACTAATCAAATCAAATCAACTAGAACTGAGTACTGACCAACTAAGCACTTTGGCGACCGAATTCGAAGCAGTTCGAACGACTCTCGGATTCCTCTTCGCCCCCGCCGTAATCCGTCTACATCCGCATCACGGGCTCCGATAGACCTAGCGGGAAATGCTCTGCAATACTAGTACTGCGATACTTCGGCTACTAGCCTCTGCCAAGTTCTAACTCTCGTATGAGCTTCTTATGCACTTACTCGACTGCCAGCACACCGGAGGAATCACCGAATAGGCGCTTCTAGCAGGCGCTCCTGCTCTTCTAGTTTCTCGTTTCTGGACGTAAACGAGAGCAGTGCAGTGTCGAGCAATCTGCTTGATCAGGCCTCGGCGCCCAACTGATCTGCACTCCACGGTGAAACTATGCGGTAGCAAACATACTATGCACACACCGACAACGGCACATAGCTGTTGCCAATGCACCGGTGTCTATCCCACAAATGAATTACCGTCGTAAATCGTTCCACCCGCCTTCGAATGTTACGGAATTACAGAGTACTGAAGACTCGGAACTGACATATTGTATTATTTATGATCCGACCGTTCGTGTTCTTGTTCCCCACATGGGCGAGACTCTTGCTCCCACTAACGGCACAATACGCGTGGTAACGGTCCACTAGTATGCATGCCATTCAGCTGGACGTTGACACTGCTTGATAGATGATAGATGTGAGATTCCCACTGGCCAGTACCGTGCGGTAAGAATAGTCTAGGGCAACCCCGATCTGCCCCACACAAAACGGGTCTTTCACCAGCGGAACAAGTTGTGATGCACTGTTCATCGCTTCATAGGGCGATCATATTTAGGTGAGCCTGCACCTCCGAGAAGGTTGATCAACAGTGTATGTGCGTGGAAAGCCAGCTAACAATACTTTACTCCGTCGGTCAGCTGCCAGGACTATGCTGATATTTCGGAAGGCGGTATCATCCTCACCCCCTACTCTGGTAATATTGATCACAATACCAGTCGCGATCGCACGCTGTGACGTCCTTCTGAGCTGTCCTTCCTACGTCCCCCAGCGATAGCGCGATGACACGACTGAAGCACTTCAGTGTACAATTCAGGTATGCATCATATCGCGAGAGATGGGGAGAGTAAGGGCGGGCTTCAACTAATTGTGTGTATTGTGTTACTGGCATTGGCGTCGATTCTCATTTCTGGAAGAGGGCTGCAGCCGCGAGTTTTCGCTCCAAATCAGGTGCTCGTATATCAATGATCGTTATTTTAATTTAGGGCTTGAGAGAGAGACTTGTTGCTTGGATGATATCAGATCGAGGAATGACCGGTGACCACCCCGGATACGTCGTTTACACGCCAGCTCAAGTTCACGTAGACCCCCGTCGTGAGTCCGCTTCGGTATCCCAGATTCCTAGTGTACCAGAAGTGGGATGTTTTGGCGGCTTGGGATACCAACCGACCCTCCACCCTCCACCCACCTCAAGCTAGGCACAACTCTCGTGCTACCTTGCAATCTGTATCTAGTACGTCCCTGCGGTCTAGTTACGAGGTTTTGAAGGGCACAATGGAAAGGCCGCGTCCCGGGAGAGTGGTGGTTGACGTAGTGATGCAATGAGGGGTGGATGAGGTTAGTGTCATTGGGCATCGTATCACGATGTCCACATAGTGGGTCCCGTACAATCTATATCAGGGGACCCTCGTATATCTTCGTATGGGTGTTAACGTTGACCGGTACCGTTCGCGCTTTATCCTCCGAAGTTGGAAGCCCTCTAGCACTCCGCGATCTATGCAGTCCCATTGATGCTCGCGACGCTCCAGTATACTGTAATTTCCATTCTCTCCCGTGGTGCATATACGTACCCAGGTCCCATGTACATTCTGCGATCGAGGTGACTGTTGGCATTTATCCGCCGGTCTGTCATATACTTATCAACGTAAGTTTAATAACATCTAATAAGTGACTAAGGTTGATTGTTCTATGCTATAGAGAATTGTACGCGCCTCCCGCCGTTTGATCACCGATCCATCCTTGTGAGCAGGAGCAGCGCAGATGATCCATGAAAAGGGGGTGGGAAAGGGAGAGAAAGGGGGTATGGTATATGATGGCGAGAAAGGGTTCAACGTTCAGGCCTCAGGCCTCCGTGTAGCCCTGTGTAGTCCTGTGTTGCCTCGAGGCAGCACTCTTGGACCTTCCTGGGGGATCATTTGGAAATTGAAAATCGAAATCAATATCAATATCAATTATCGCCTTCGACTCTCGAGTGCCTTGCAACCCAAGCGCTAAGCACGTAACGTGCACGCGTAACCCAAGCCATGTGTGTTTCTTGCATGTTTCGACGCATACGCGTACGACGGTGATGGTGATGGTGATGGTACGATGGCACGGCGTCCTTCTTGCAAGCGCGACATTAGTGTTCAACTCAGAAGCGTAGGTATGGTTTCATGAAGGCTTCGAGTGTAGTTGCGGTTTGCAGTTTGCACTTTAACTGACGCGGTTGGTCGTGCTCACGGTCGTCTGACCGCTGGCCCCGCCCTGCTCGATCACGATCACACCGCCTCGATTGATGATTGAATTGATCGCTTGCAATACTGATCGTTTCTGATCGCAGGCGATGCCATGGCGGCCGATGTTCACTAGGCACCTCGCCGGGCGCGCACCACGAGTACACAGATTCACTCTCATATAGTACTGACCCACAGTAGTAGGTAGGATAACTTCAACAGCTGGCCGGGACGCAACAACGTATAAGGGAACTGTTTCTATTTGAATACGAGACTACGATGGTAAGTACAATACAACGGATGCGATGCGATGCGGATGGTAGTAATATACAGGTAACGAGGAGCGTCTATGATCTTTGCTTTTCTTTTGGGGTTGACAACAACAGCAACTGGGGTGACGACAACAACAACGGGACGAAGAGGGAGGGAGGGGCTCGGAGGAAAAGGCAATAAAAATGCACAGCATAATTGACAAAATAAACAAGACGAATAAACAAGACCGACGAACAGAATAAACAAGCAAGTAAGCGTTCGCGTGAACGCAATAGACGCTCCAACGGGGCGCGGCGAATTTAGGTATGTAGAATGTAGAATGTAGTAAGCAACAGAATAAACGGAGTAGGTCTAGATCTAAAGCAAAACAACAAGGGGGAGGAAGAGGGAGAGAAGCGTCCTGTCCGACGAGCAGCGCAGAGTTCAGAGTTCGAAACGATTCTAAGGGAGAAGAGGAGATGGTACCCGAAGGCGAGGAGACGGGAGGGAGAGGAGGGGGTGGCGGAAGATAGTGGTAGGGGGGGATAGTTGTGGTTGTCCGTGAATCCGAATTGGCCATCCTGGCTGGTAGTTTCCGTCCTCGGTCCGTCCGTGGGTGGTAGGTATGTGTAGGGGAGTTAGACCCTGTCCGCGTCCGCGTCCGCATCCTGTGGTAATATGCCCAAGGGATAAAACAAGAAAGAAGGGAGAGGGGAAATAAGATGAAGGAGCGTGAAGACATGAATATTTGTGTCAATGAACGTGAGCGTGGATAAAGTACAAACGAGTGTGAGGAGTCCTGGAAGCGGTAGAAGACAAGACAAGTAGAAAAAAGAAAGAAGAATGAATGTGGATGGACGAGTCTTTTGAATGGGAAGGAATGTGGTGGGCACGAGAAAGATGCGAACGAAGGGTGCTAAATAGAAAGCGCGGTGGATGTGGGTGAACGGAGGTATGTGGTCGAAGAACCAATAGGGAATAGTTCCGAGAGTCCGAGAGTCGGGAAAGTTGGAGGGAACGGGGCTGAGGAACGACGAACGACGAACGGGGTCGTCGATGCGGACGAAGCGCAAACGGGGATGCCGGGATTCTGTGCCCGGTGGTTGGGGTGTTAGGGAAGAGTTGATGTCTTACGGGATCATCGATCAGGGCTGGAGAGTTGGGAGTTGGGGAGGGGCAAACGGCGCTGGGAACCGGGCTGGGAACATCGAATGACGGCGCCCGCATGCGAAGTGAAAGTCTCCGACCGCTCGGGCGAACGAATGGCGAGCGAGAAGAAGTTCTTCTCGATATCAGCTTGGGGCGGAGGCGAGGTAGGGGAGGCAAGGTAGTTCGCCGTCGCCGTTGGGAGGGAAAAGGAATAGGGGAATGGGGGGATAGGAGGGATAGGGGAAAAGAGGCGAGAGCGTTCACTCGAACCAGCTCAACGCCACACTCCCCGCCCCGCGGATCCACACAGTCGCCTGCACGCGGCACACGGTCTCTGCCACGCTCGCTTTCTTCCAGTCGACCACCACGCTTCCTTTGCTCCCGTCCCCGCCGGAGGAGGGCGCGAACGAGCGGACTTGGCCGAATGCCTAAATAACACAACACGATCAGAATACTGCTGCCTAGAAAGTATAACAACGAATCCAACGCACCTCACACCACGCGCGTACGGCCTCGTACCCGCGCTCGTCCTCGATCCCGGAGACGACGAGCTTTCGCTTCTTTCCTCGCCCCTTGGCGTGCAGCCCGAAGAGTTTGATGGTGTTGAGCGTGTGCATGTTGAGCGTGTTGAGGCGCGAGGTGCGCGATTTCGAGGGCGTCGTCGGGCTCGCCTGTGTGGGGGACGGCGGAGAAGGTAGTACGTACGATTGCATCTGCGTGTCCAAGGAAAGCGGAAGCTGAACGTCTAGCGAATGCTCGCGCGGCGTCGAGATCAGAGGCTCCGTCGAGCTCGTCAAGTGAGTCGCGTGCGTGTCGGCAGTGTTGAAGGAGGGCGCCGTCGGCGAGGCCACGCCGACCTCTTCTACCTCTTCGAGAACTTCGACTTCCTCAAGCGCATAGCTCTCACGCGGCAGGTAGTGCACAGACGAAGTAGCCGCTAAGGACCGATCGTACCCCAAAGTCCGCAGAGCGCCCATGGAGCGCGGGGCCCTCAGCTGTGGGCGTTGTTGTTCGTTTTGGGTGGGCTGTGGGTGTGGGTGGTGGGGGACAGTGAACGCCCGTTCCCTCTTGTGAGGGATAGGGAGAGGGAGGGTCCCGTGCGAGCGCGAGGTCCTCAGCCTTTGAGGTAACTGCGGGGGAGGTGTACCAGAGGGAGAAGGGTTTGAGGGGGCGAGAGGGGGTGTCGGGGAGGAAGAAGGGGGTGTTGGTGGTAAGGCTTTCTCTACGTCAACCTTTGCGATCGTGACGGAGAGCGCAGAGGGGAGGAGAGAGTCGTGGGAGGACGAGGAGGGCACGGCGAACTCGATCGAACCCAACTCTTCGACTTCCTCGACTTCCTTTTCCTCAAACTGCTCACGATCGCCCGCCGCCGAAGGTACGGACGGAGTATCCAAAGATACATCAGAAGGCGAGTTGGAACACGCGAACTCCGGCGCTGCGTCCACACTTGGGATGGTGGGCGTGTTAACATTGGAGTTGGCATGTGCGATCCTGGAGATGAACGATACCAAGCGCCGCCTCCGTCCAATGGTCTCAGGCGCTTCGGCGTCCATCTCTACAGGCGTGTTCGGTGGCGCGAACTCGGGGTTTGGCGTATTGGACGAGGAGGAAATACGTCTGGTGAAGAGACCACGCTTCTTCTTCTTCCCCGTCTTGTCTTTGTTTGGGGAAGTGGGCGAGCTCGGAGAAGAGCGTGAAGTAGGCGAGTATGGGGTATAAGGTGAGCGGGAAGAGCGGCGGGAAGAGGTGCGTGAAGTGTTGAGTAGGGGGAAGGGGGAATTGCGTGAGGTAGAATGAGGAAGAGGGTGGTCGTCAAGCGAGGAGCTAAGGGACCAGCGCGAGGACATCCCTCGTTCATCCAATCCTCTTCCATATCCTTCTCGCTCACAGACGTCTTGTCGTTCCAATACTTCTTCGCCGAGTACACCGTGATCCACATACTCTTCTTCCAAGCCTCCGTAGTATTGGGGTTCACCCGAGTACTCGTCCGCGTGCCCGCTCGTGCTCGAGTATTGCGAGGACGAGTGTGAATATGCGCAGGAGAGGGAGTGCTCGTGTCGAGAGTGCCGGGGTGAGTACCCGTACTCAGTAGGGTGTGTCGGCGTCGGTGTCTTCCTGTCCGGGAACGCGAACGAGGAGAACGACGGGCACGAGCCCGCGTCAATTTGGAACACCGAAGTAGAGGGGGAGGTAAAATGGGAAGTGGAGTGGGAGGCGGAAGGGGAGTGGGAGTGGGAGGCGGTGGTGAATGTTGTTGAGGACGAAGGGGAGAGCGCTGGTGTGCTCGGCGTTGTTGGCGTCGTTGGGGACACGGGGTCTTCATACTCCAGTGTCTGTGCAGATGTAGAGGCGGGGGCGGGATTGGATATGGGCGTCGGTACAGCAGGCGTGGGGAAGTACATAGCATGCCTATGGGGTGAGTTCGGGGCGACAGTGAGGGACGTCCGGCGGGACGGTCTCTGGCTCTGTCTCCGGGACGCCCTGCGCGACGTTGTGGGTGATACACAGGCCGAGGGCTTGCGAGAGAGCGAGGGGGAGAGGATAAGTGGGGAGGGGAGGAGTGAGCGACTGGAGCACGTGCGCGGTGCTGGTGAGGGCTATTGGACCGTTTTAGTATACGAACCCATATAGAGCAGAAGTACATACCTCTGGTAGGCGTAGGTGGTACAGCAGTTCGCGGAGCGCGTCTTCCTCATTTTCCCTGTCCCTTTCCTCATCTCTCTTCCCATCTAGACTTTCACCTTCACCTTCGTTAACGCTTGGGGGTGCGGGGCTGGGTAGGCGACGCGCGTAGTCGGGGGACGGGTTCAAGAGCGCGTTCGGCGACGTTGTTGCTGCTTTGAGGATATCGGTGTTGGCGTCGGATGGAGACAGCCATCCCTCGAGAGGCGAGTCGGCGCGAAGGGCGGGCTCCGTATACGGATATTCTCCTCCGCCCAAGCCTTCGCCGTCGTGGAGGGCGCTCACGTCGAGCGAGTTGAGCCATGTCGAGATCCGATCGTCTTCGTCATATGGTTGTAGTGGATGATCCATATACATAGTCCTAGTCAGTACGAGTCAGAGTGAGAAGGGACCAGTAAGGAGAGAGGGAGGAGAGTATATGTACAACACGAAAACTCCCACACTCACTTCAACTCAACACTGTTTGAATTTTTTTTCGCCTTCCTTCGTCCCCTTCCTGCCCTTCCTCCTTCCCTTCCCTTCCCCCTTCGTCCTTCCCCTTTGGGTTTTCCTGATCTCTTCGATAGATCTCGATGTGCCGTTCCACGCAGAACCTTCGATCATCCGAGAGTCTGGATCTGATCGAACCCTTGAACCTTCTCGGGAAAGGGGGAGGAATCCCAGGATTCCCTTGGCTTGGGACCGCGGACCTGTCACGTTACTTACTATATGACCGTCTCCAGCAACGATCAACATGGCGGACGGACAGAACTAACTACAAGACGTCCAGACGTTCAACGATAACACCAACGTCAATACTAAGGACTAACAACGAGAAGACACTCCTACCCCGTGTCGCGAAGTTGTAGTCTAAATTTTTTGAAGGGTAGGATGGGAATCACAGGGACGCTCACTGAAACAATGTTAACGTGTACGCTTCGCACTGCACATCTGTCCCACCCAAACAAAAATATTGGGGCATGCCACTCCCAGGACCACATTGATGAGCACTACGGCTTCGGCGAATTCAACAAGTTCGACTCACGTTTGTAGTCGCCGAATGGTATCGGAGCCATCAACCTCGACACCCTGACATTTAGCATCGACCCTCGTACTCGCACTCGCGATTGCGATCCCAGTCAAGCACTGAACTCTGAAGAGGTGTTTCGAGCATCCAAATGTTGATGCTCGACTGTATTTACCGATCCACCCATCTCCATTCCTCCTCACCGTACTACTCACTGGAGTTGATTGAAGCACCAACATGCCCATGCACACCCAGTGTGGTCTACACTTCGGGTCCGACGCTGAGATAACAGGGGTAAAGGGATAGGGGATACAAAGGGGGATATAGGATTAAAACATCGAAAAACGGGAACGGAGGGGGTAAGGTGCGAAGTGCAGTGAGGAGACTTTTCTCCTGTCTGTTTACGTTGGTTCGCTTGTCATCTTCCACCCACTGCTCGTTTATTCTCCTTCATTTCGTCTTATTCGCCTGACGGGCACGTTTATAGAGAATTCTGAGTAATAGCCCCGTATGCAAGGCGATCTTTCACGCCTTCGCCCTCAAGCGCAGCGGTAGACCTCATATCGGACGCCGTGGCCTATAAAATGGGTACGCTGGCTCGAGGACTTTAAGTTCAAGATGGAAGGTATGTAGTGGTGTAGTGGGTCCATCACACCCAGCATTTGACGTTTGAAATGCTCAGCTTTCAAATATCGACACTTCATGACGCCCAAGCAGCGCCCCAGAACAGCAGAGCAGAACATCAACGCATCAACGCACCAAGCCCAACGCCAGCGAACCCCAACCGCCACATTCCCAATTAACCATAATACCATAATATCATAACATCATAATATCAACGTAAATCGTAACGTACGCAACGTCAACGCAGCCTTCGCCCGCCCCAAGTTCCCCTCCGAAGGCCTGAAGGCCTGATTCTTTTCCCGAGAAGTCGTCCGCCGAGTCTTGCCAGGCGCCAGGCGCCATCCGCCGTCTGCATTTGTGCGGCAGTTCCGCACTCGTCGGATCCTGGGCGACTGGGGGTTGGGGGTTGGGGGCTTTTGGGAGCTTTGGGAGTTTGGGAGTTTGGGAAGTTGATAAATTGCGTCCAACGTAAGGATGGTGTTAGTCCCCCGGCCCCGACACTCCCAGACCTCTTACTCGAAATCCCTCGAAATCCTCGACAGTGCGTCCGCATCACTTCAAAATTAGATATGCAACGTCGTTACCTTCTCCTCAGTAATTGCTTCGTAATTGATCTGACTGGCTATTGATCTGCATTCCTCGCCGCACCGCCTCACCCTTGAAGTACACCCATTTTCTTCACAGATGCTGCTTGACTCTATCTTGATTCTACGAACTCATCTAACCCTCGCAGCTGGTATTCAAGGGCAAGAGACTGCCAATCCTGTCGGATAGTTTCCCCGATTAGTCAAGCTTTCCATGTCAATATTAATGGCAAGCGTTTCTTGACCTCTTGGGGAGCCCCTCCCTCTTTCTCTTCCTCTCTCCTCACCCCCTTCCCTTCTCTCAATTACTCGTAACTTGCTGTTGCATGACCGTTTGTTTGCACGCTCAAGAGAAAGGCAAAGATCAGATCGTGCCTCCCTTGTTTCTTATATGACCCGTCAGACCGAATTTCATCTGCGCCTGTCATATTATATTATACTATTATACTACCAGCATCGTATACACATAGTCAAGTATAATCAACTTCTTGATAGACCTTTGTACTGTTGGGCAGCGGGTGCAAGTGAATCCGTACGGAAGCATCGGCGGCCATGGCTAGTCACTAGCCGCTCTGCTCGATCACGATCGCCTCGATTAGACCGATCGATGTTGTCTCTGATCGTATGTTGGTCAGACGACCACGACCACGACCAACCGCGTAATGGCGATTGCCCACCCAAGCTCAATCCAAGTAGTATACATGTCCTCCGACCTCGTTGGATCATTCCAGCGCCATCTCAGCAACCCCATCACCGAGAAATTTGGAGTATGTGGGGCACCGGGGGGACGCGTACGACGCACCATATTTCCACACGCGCGTCCCACTGCACAACGCATTGCGCGCTCAGGCTGGGGTTGCAAGGCACTGGGACAGATTGATATCGATTTGGATTTCGACGTCGAATCTGAATTTCACAACTACGGTGCAAGGTGCAGGAAGGTGCAGGAGCATAGGCCTAGGGCCTTGAGGTTGCACGGAGTTCCGGACCCTTCTTCAATCACCCAATTTCACAACTTGGTACCCCTTTCCCGTCCCCTTTCCACCCCTACAGAATCCACCCCCGTTTTGCTGCTTGGTACGGTACCGTCGCGTACGGCACTGGCACGTATACTCGCGAAGACTTCGGTCAAGAAGCCCTCCGGATCAAGTTGGAACGTCCCCAAGGCTCGAGCGACTGCATGAATCATGGTCACGCTAAGCAGCCAAGTAAGTACGGCGTAGGAAAATGGTAGATGGGGAACAGTTGGCGCGCGTACGACAAACGAAGCCGTAGCCCTCCGCACGGAATGCAATGGAATACGTATAACAAGCGTTCCGTACACATGTACGTAGCCCATTGCGTACTTATTAGATGATATTACTTTTGCCACCGACCAAGTGAGAGAAGGGGAAGCACTGGGACGTCGTACTGGAGGCCGAGGCCAATCTATGGCATGCGCCCCACTAACTATACCAGGCGTTCGTAGGCACTGGGATTTGGTAAGTTGGTAAGAAGAACTATGGAACTTTGCAGAATAGAGGGCGGATTGGCATCGGTCATCGGTGACCCTGAACAGGTATCCATACGAGGGTATATTATGAAACGAGGGCGGGGCTAGTACTAGTAATTGCGGGGTTTTGAAGGGCGTAATGAAGGCTACGCAGTGATGTGATGCGACGAGGGGAGGAGGGCGGTATCGTGATTGGGCGCCGGACTCCAGGCTCTCCGGGTCGCGGTTTCTGTATCTACCAGGGAGACCCGTGGACGTAGATTGCAGATTGCGCCAGTAGCATTAGCCTATCAGGTAGGGGCATGCGCGGGCAGGAAGAGGACGTCAGAGAATGGTGTCTAGCGTGAGGTAGATGGCTGTACTACTACATTGCAAAGACTCGCTGGCTTGCAATTCAGGACGCGTGAGTGTGGAAGGTTGAACTTGGGCTAGTATTACGATGCATTCTAGCTGTGTCTCGACTGATGTCGAAGTCTTGTGTAGCTAGGAAATCGTGACATGGGTGGGCATTGAGTGGGCGTGTGCGGTGTACCTCTGGCGGAACATCCGGCGGGGAATGGTCATTCCTCGATCTGATACCTTCCACCATTGAAGTTTCTCTTTCGAGGTGCGATCTGATATATGAGCGCCTGATTCGGAACGGAAAGCTCACGGCTGTACGCCTGCAGGCTGCAGTCCTATGTCAGGATTCAGAATCGAAGAATCGACGTCGATGTCACGAACACAATAAACTCAGCCCCATCTCGTCCGTTCTGGGCGATATGGTGCATGCCTAATTAGATCGCCGTGTTGGAGTCGTGTTCTCCCGCTCATGCTCCGAGCACGGAGGAACGAGATGTCGGAAGGATGCTGGTACGTGAGATTGGGGTTGGGATCGATGTTACGAGAGTGTGGGGAGTGAGGGTGATACAGAGTCATATCAGGATAAAGTAGCTGGCAGCTGGCCGATGGACTACGGTATAGTTAGCTAGCTTTCCACGTCCACTGGTTGATCAGACTTCTGTGAGGCGTGAACTCACCTAAACCTGATCGCACTCTAAGCTGATGTATCATGATCATGATGACTCTTTGTTCCGTCAAACAAACGTTTTGGATAGGGCAGATCGGAGCCCAGACGTGGCTACACATAGCAGTCTACGGTACCGGCTTGCCACGGTCTTGCATCTATCAAGAACGACATTCGGTCAAGTGTCACACATCCGATACCACGCGTACCATACCGTTAGTGGGAGCAAGAGCTTCTTCTCTCTCGCATGCGAGCACCACACGGATGGAACATATAATATAGAATGTGAACTGACAGTACTCCGCAATTCCGTAACATTCGGAACGTCGTTGAATGGAGCGATTGCGTTGGGAATGTATTCAGGTGGTGGGAGAAGCAGCCGAGATTAAATACTACAATTTATGTGCCGTTATCAAAGAAGGTGGGTCCGTCTTGTTACTCGGTTCAGGTGTAATTTATAGGCGATTTGAGCACGCCGAGGCTTTGCTGAGTCCTGGAGGCCTGACCGCCGGACATATATCAGTCAACGGAGTAACCTTGGTGCCAACAGAGCGCCCTCGTTTACGTCCAGAAACGAGAAGCTAGAAGAGCAGGGGCGCCTGCTAGAAGCGCTCGACTACTGCCAATCACTGATAAGTGATAGTGCCGGTGCTGACAGTCGAACAGCTTCATAAGAACCCCATGTCGTACGCGAGGACCAGTAGCTACAGTGCTGTAGTACTACATCGGAGACCGCGACGCGACGGCGAATGAGTTACGGCGGAGTCCGAGAGACGCTACATAGTTGACTCGCAGGCAAATCCAGAGCCCTAAACTTGTCGGCCGACATACGATCTTCTGTTACAGGGCCCAGTATTTGAGTAATTTGAATAGTGGAAGGAAAGAGGCACGTCGTGGTGAGAGTCTGATGGTACGGGCAGGGAGCAGACTCACATCGCCACATGGGATAGTCACATCACTCATGTCACTATGTGAGTGACACCACTATGTTCCCGTTTCCTCCTTCCTTCTCATCGTACCACGACAGCTTTGAGCGGCTCAAAAGTGCTCAACATTTGGAAGACTCTACGCAAGCATTCATCCGGCTCTCAGCATTCTGATCAGTTGTTCACCTTGAAAAGATGCAAAACTCCCGGCCGTCCCAAGTCTGACTCATGAGTTCCCCGAATCAACGAATTGCAGCCACACATGGATGTACATGCTGGCTTACGACTCGTGGACGCGGCGCAAAACATATTCCGCCTCGTGCATCGGCGAAATGCTCGAAACCCATCCATACTAGGAAGTCTCGGGCACGCGACATCCAAAATGGCTCTTCGACGCGTCCTCGGCGCACCACGCCCACATGTATGTTTGGCTATGATCTGCGCTGGATAGTGCTATGGCTTCTATTCTCCTCCTCCAAGGCGCTCGCCGACGAGGGCTAGAGGTCGGACTACCGAGGGCAATGCCTCATATATGGCACTCCCTTGATTATGTTACAGGAGATCCTCGGCATCTTTGCAGGCAGATATGACTTCGTCGAGATCTGGGGTACGACCCTCAGTCGTGGTGTCTCCGCACAAGACTCTTCCTCCAGTCCTTTTCGGGTAATAGGTATGTTTTTCTGAAATTCCACGATTAGTTCGCAAGTTGATATCGTTTCGTGTGTACTCGCATTGCAGTCTTCAGAAAGAGCAGTATTCACGGCCTCCGTGGGCTCTCTCGTGGCTATTCCGGCTTCATTAGAGTGTCGTCCAAACGTGTTCCGTATACATGATCGAAGGAGTTTTGATCAAAAACAAGGCGCCTGGGAGATCATGATCGGTGGCGAGACACAACGTGCTGATCTGCGCTGAATATCTCCCTTGCATTCCCTTCGACGCTTCACATACAGCCGACCAACGTCTATACATGGGTGTCTCCCAACAGATTCTATGGCCTCAGCTCGCATCGGACCTCGTTTTCTCCTGAATCAAGAAGCAGGGTCTCGAGACGCTGTAAATAGGAGGCCCTGTACTCTCGGTTCCCTACTCGCGCCGCTGATCGTCGCTGACAACGATGATCGAAGGCTTCGCGCGACGTGTTCGCATTCTCCTCGGCCTCCCATCAGTTGCACCTATTTGGGCACTGCTCTCGACGACGTCGAGAGTCGAGACGGAAGGCTAGGTCCGCCCACGCATCGATCTAGCACGGATTCTGAACTCGCCGGTAGATCAGAAACGACACCAGCGTCCATGCGCCCACGCCTTACTCCATGGCCCATTGGTGGGCGTGCCGACTTGATCTGATACGGGGTAGACGCTGGTCCGCTGTCTTCTCTGTCTCTTTACCTCGAACTGAAGCACTCACGGATGTCTATCGAAATTGAAGCGCACGCGGCAGTAGCAGCGGCATTACATGTTACGCCACGGCCAGGTCCATGCCGCACTCCATATATGTTCTGTATGGTCCTTCGTTCCATTTTGTCGTCGTCGTCGTCGCTACTTCGCGGCCGCCGGTACCAAAATGTAATAAAGTTTCTGGCTTAACTGCATTACCATCGATCATTGCGCCCCAAAAGAGGGCGCAGCATAATTGAAAATCCAATCCCTTGCAATCCTAGCTGGGATTCTAGATGGTCCACGGCGCATTGAGGCACTAGAACCCTTTTGAGTTCCAGCCATGCTTAAGTCCGTCAGTACTCACGCCACCCCCTTGACGATGAAGACACATGGCAACGCATGGCGCGTAATGGTCGGGCGGCGGGGCTGTAGGAACTCCATCATGATGTTAAAGCCGCCTTTCGCCGTAGTCTACGCTTGAGTTTCAGTGCTCCTGCCTGCTGGCGTGGCGTCATGCCTCAGCGAGAAATTCCAGTGGACGACACGGCCATCGGACCCAACGGAAATTGCTTAATCAAAAATAAAACGGCTCTTATGTAGGAGTTTTGCTATCCGGTTCATTAATTATGGGACATAGCCTCACATAACTCGATATCGACCATGGCTATCAACTGTTATCGACTGTTATCAGCCCCTTCTCCCCTAGAGGCTAGCGTATCATGAAGTTTGAACGACGTATCGACGTATCTTCTCTCGAACACGGGCTACGTCGCCCACAGTCCAGGAGACCAGGGGCTCCACCGAGATGGCTTCGCAACGGATATAACATAGCCCAATTGCTATTAGAACCGACGACGACATCAAGGTCAGGAAGGCTCGCGGGTGGTCCGTGTAATGCCCACGAATGACATATGCCATTTGGTTGGTTACTGGTAACCCTTCTTACTCTTCGGATCCGCAGCAGTCCAGTTTCAAGTTCGCGGAGGATTTTGAACACTCGAAAGAACACTACCAGTGATAAACAAACGTCTTAAATCGACTTCAAACCTCACAGGCTTCATAGTTGTTCCCCTGAACTTCCAGCTTCTGCCAAGATCACTCAGGAGCGTCGGATTGCAATCTGTCCATGGGCTTAAATAACAAATGCGAACGTGAATGACAGACATGTGTGAATCCTCCACGGTAAGTTTTTCTAGGGTGTGAATATTTTCGACTTAACGTTTCAAAGCCCCCGAATTCAATGAATCTGGCAGAACCAGAAGGTGGGCGGACGGAACTTCGGCACGCTATTCCAACCCAACTTCCTCCCCGTGAGTCGTGTCATTCTGTAGGCTGTGGTAGTTCTATTTTTCTACCCTAGCTTCAAAAGTTCAGGTTTGTTGTGTGTTGTCGTAATTGATTCATCTTACAGCAATAGGCGAATGAGCAAGTGCATCGTGCACCGTGTGTTACGACATATAAGGGCTGTCTCGACTTTGTATGATGCGCCACATACCAACTTAGGTCACTGGCTCTCACCATCCTGTCACCGATTCGCGGGGAGGTGAGAGTGAGTGAGAAGTATTACGAGCCATATGTTTAGATCAATCCGGATTCTCATGCGTATCATCCCACAGTTGACTAAAAGAGGAGGAAATGAATAGGCGCTAGCTGTGGACAATCACCTATGTATGTTGTTATTGTTCTTGTGCCCAACGGAAGTGCATGCACGCGTTCACCAGCTTCTAGCATCTGCTTCTCATATTCTGAAGTTCGGTGTGGCATGGGCATGGTAGAACGGCGATGACATCAAAATCGCCGAGCGAGCTCATGCTTTCGTTGCCATAATATCTCCTTCGCTTGACCTTCACTGCTGGGACTATGCAACCTGTATGGGAGCTACTCGCTACACCGTGTATTTATAGGCTCAATCACAGGCTACAACACTCGAATAATTCTTGAGAGTACCGCGACTCAGTTGACCACGAGATATATAGTCGTCTCAGTTGGCCACAAGGTATCAGCATCACCGTCGAGTCAGCAGACCGACTCCGACATTCGCGAAGCAAGCTCGCCATGGGGGGCAGCAAGTATTTATCGATGTTCGTTTCAATCGCTCTCCTGGTCGTTTTCACCGTCAGGAATCAACATGCTTCTCAAAGCTATCTTGCTTTCTATCCTCGCCTTTCCTGCGCACAGAGCATTCTGTCTGAGGCTTTCACCTGCGCCGGCCTCCATTGCGCCTGAGGCAGGAGTGCCTACGGAGACACCTATCGCCGGCAATTACACAGGGCATTTTCGCCCTCAGGTTCATTTCTCGCCCCCAGTGGGGTTTATGAACGACCCGAACGGTCTCTTTCGCGATGCTTCAGGGACCTACCATCTGTATTACCAGTACAACCCAACAGCCATAGTCGCTGGGAACCAACACTGGGGTCACGCTACGTCCACCGATCTATACCACTGGACCAATCAGCCCATCGCGCTCTTCCCTCATCTCAACGTCACCGGCATCTTCACCGGCTCCATCATCATAGATGTCAACAACACATCGGGATTCTTCCCCAACCAGACGAACGGCGTAGTCGCCATTTATACCGGAGATGGCAGCGACGACGAAAATCAACGCTTAGCATTCTCCACCGACGGCGGCTTCACGTTCGAGCAATTTTCAGGGAATCCCGTTCTCGCGATTGGCTCGAGGGCGTTTCGCGATCCGAAAGTAATATGGCATAAGGAGACGCAGATGTGGGTGATGAGCGTAGCTTTCGCGAATGATCGCGCAATTGGGTTCTTCACATCCCCGAATCTGCGCAACTGGACACACGTATCGAGCTTCACCTTCCACGTCATAGGTGATGTATACGAGTGTCCAAATATGCTCCCGGTGCCGTTGCTCGAAGAGGATGGGAGCGTACACGAGACCGTGGATTTGCTGTGGATCTCCATCAACCCAGGCGCGCCGCTAGGCGGAAGCATCAGCCAATATTTCCCAGGCCATTTCAACGGGACGCATTTTACGGCTGTCGATGAAGAGATCAGGCTAGCGGATTTCGGGAAAGACAATTACGCCACACAATTCTGGTATGGTGTCGATGGCGATCCTCTTGAAGGCGGAGCACTCTCGATTGCGTGGGCCAGCAATGCACAATATGCGAACGATGTCCCTACTGGACCGAGCGAAGGGTGGAGGAGTAGCATGTCATTGCCGCGGAGGAATTTCTTGAAGAACGATGCAGAGATAGGTTGGACGCTGGTGTCGACACCCTTCGATCTTAGGCCGGCGATAGGAGCAGAGTTAGCAAGCAGCAATTCGCTCGGAAATGGCATGCTAGTTGCACAGGGAGGTGTGAACGAGAGCAATGCCAACACCGGAACCTTCATGATCGCCGTGAACATCACAAGTCTAAATGGCGGCGCCCTCGGAAACGACGCAGCGATAACATTCATCATCTCTTCCTCGTCAAGCGGAGAGAGCCTCAAAGCGCAGCAGAAGCTCTCGGGGGACCACTCCCTCGTCTTGGATAGAAGCAACACGAGAGGGTTCACAAATTCGGATTTCAACCCTCAAGTCGAAACGGAGCTAGCATTTACCGAGGAATGGGACGTGGTGATGACAATCGATAGGAGCGTATGGGAGGTGTTTGTGTTGGGCGGCAAGAGAAGCGCGACGCTGCTGTACTTTCCTGAGGGGATCTTGGATCGGGTTGAGGTCGCGACTGAGGGATTGGGCGAGCAAACCCAGGTCAGCGTTCGGATTAACGAATTGAGCAGCACATGGCCCGTGGCAACTACGGCATGACATCTAGCTGCAGATGGTGGCGTATGTGTAGTTACGGTACGTACAGCGTCAGAATAAATCGGTGATTAGTAGGATTAATAGTGTAAGATACAAATGTCATCGCACCTATCTATGCTCTTCCATGAAAGCCATTTGGACATCTAGGAGATCTTTTGCTATGCCGTCAGTGTCCTATACACTCGAGAAGTCAGTGGAATGCCCTTACCCAGAGAAGAGTTCCTTGTTCTAATCTCGTCTACTAAGACGAGTTCGAAGCTGCCTAGAAAGTCGTGTGGCACGAATATATGTCGAAGGTTCAGGAATAAATAGACTTGAGATCTTGACAAACATTAGCAACGAACTGTGAAAAGTGTGGGGAACGTGAAGGGGTGATTAGAAGGTATAGGCGAAAACATTAGTTCCGGTCAACTAAAGTACAACAATTGGAAATGAAATGGGGATCACTATGTGATTATCGAGAAGACTCGACACATCAATGTCAGCGGTATATGCTTCGAAGCTGAGTCTCGACTCCATCCGCAGATAATTTGATGTCTGAAGGACGAATTTAAGCGATCAAGAGGGTAGATAGGACGGAAAGGACCTACACTTCTGAGGATCTATGAAAAGCAAGACGTTTCCTTGATTAAACAGTTCAGCATGAAATCGGCCAAGAACTTACTTTTGCTGAATTCCTTCTCCCTATGCTTGCTCGTAAACCGCTGCAATGAAGGGACGACAAGCTTCACAACCTCGTCGGCAAGCGTCTCTCTCCCTTCCTCGTCATCCTCCAAAACCTTTCCCAACTTATGCCGCTCAACGACCTCATCCAATAAATCAAAGAACCTTGTGAATTTCTCCTTCGTAACCGCCTTTCCGCCCTTCTCCTTTGGATCGTCCGTAAGTGCCTGCATCAAAGGCGAAAAGTTCGAATCGAAGTACGCTGCCTTGGCCGTCCTGAAATTCGAGTTTATTGCTTCCAGAGTGGGCTTGGAGAGAAGGTCGGAAAGACCTGCGTTTTGCGGCTCGAGGACGATGCGTTGGCGAAGGTAGGAGATATTGTTCAAGAGGAATATAGATCCCATCGACGGTCGACGTTGGGCCCGCGATAACGTCGTCAGGCTGTTCACCGTGGTGGTAATAACATCATCTAAGGGAGCGCTGGTTTAGAACTCCAAGCGCATATTCGGTTGTCCACTTACACACAAAATGCTCAAGGATCAGGCTTTCATCTCCTTCACCCAATTTCGAGGCCTTGGCGGCCGTGGGCAGCACGCCCTCCCCCATCTTCCAATTTCCGTCACCAAGCTTGAGCAAAGCTGAACCCGCAGCACTCTGCACTTCCGGCAATCGGTCGAGATATTGGACTGTCTAGAATACGATAAGGATTGGAAGGGAGGGACGGTGTAACTGATATCAACGAGAGAGGCAAACTGCGAGGAAGCGGGAAGCGGCCCTACCGAAATAACGAAGTCGGCTAGCCCTGTTCCTACTTCTCCGCCTTTGCCCAGAGACGCCATCTTGAGATCGGCGAGAAATTCGGGGAAGCTGCGGAGAGACACTGCGCGTATGGATTGGAGACCGTCAGTGAATGGGTCGTTTGAGTCGCCCCGTGGGTCGGAGCCACGGCGAGACAGAACAACGTCCCAGCGAGGCTTTAGAGATATGAGTGCTTCATATGACGACAGCGCAAGGAATGCATGTTTATGGAGGGAGCGTTTGATGAATGAGATCAATGATTGTAGCGTAGTTCCGAATAGCGAAGATATGGGATTGAGTAGTGTCGTGTACGTCGACGCCAGAACAGCACTCCCGACGAGCGGCGAAAGGTCCTTCAAATGTTCGTACTCCTGATCTGCGATGGTGATCAACGACTCGACCCAGTCACCAAACTCTTTTCCTGCTAATATAGAATCTATCGTGTCCGCGCGATCCAGCACGCGTTTACCCTGTGTTTCCAGGCATTTACGACTCCAGGTTCCTCGCATGTCCGCATATCCACGCTGGGCATCCTTGAGCGTCGACATGATGCTGGGTGCAGCTGGGTGAGAAGGGTGGGTCGCCGGAAGCGGCAAGGAACGCAAGAAGGAGACTACGGGATCGAGGGCGGTTAAGAGGGAACTGGGGAATGGAGCACTGCGTAGTTCTGCTCCAGGCGGGGGTGTTGACCCGGATGAACCCTCAGCGACAAGTTTGGTGTACATTTGGGTCAGCTTCTTCGCACCCGTTTCGACAAGACGTGCCTTCAAAGATCGACTTGGGTTAGATCATAGGTAAATGGTCGCATTAGTGCTCACTGTATCCGCTAAATCGCGGTCGGAGGATTTGAAAGCAATACTGGCGTTGAGACGCTCAAGGGCATCGGTGTAAACTTCTAGTTGCCCCGACTGTGGGCTGAACGATGACCGCTTTACTCAGCAATATATGATCCTGCAACATCACGTACCCGCGCAGTATCAGAGCCTCTTCAGCAGCAATGCCCTCCTGGTTACTCGCAACCTCGTCGATCTTCAACAAAGCCTTCTCAATATCTGAAAGAGTTCACCTGGCTTCTCTAATTGCAGAGAAGGCGTCACTCACTGCTTGCCCTCTTGTTCAATATCTGTGTCGAACTATACAGTGGTAGGATAGACTTCTCTAACTTTGCCAATCGGGTATCGAAGCTATTGAGAATACCTAGGTCGTTCAGCCTAATACTCGGAGAAAGAGTTGGAGGTAGACTTACTGATCATTCGTTGGGATATTTGGTGAGTTTTGTTGAGGTTCTGCTCGAGCTAATTCCGGGCAATGATTGTAAATGCCAACGGAGAACAACGACAAGGAGGATACGAACAAGCTCAATCTCTGCAGACTCGTCATCCATTATGAACGTCTTCAATCTTCGACAAGCTATGTGGAGTAGGTTGCTTTGGAAGTTGAACGTTGAGGTTGAGGTGTTCACTGTTCGAAGCAAGTGAGCACGTACTGATCGTGGGCGCTTGTGGGTCCTCTCCGCACGTGCTCTATATTTACCAAAGGAGGTACTTGATTGGTTTTGCCGCCTGCGAAATCATTGGTGGGTCAGAATATGTGTGCCCGTGGCCATAGCTCAGCTCTGTTGTCAGTTTTGTTCCCCTCATCAATTGGAGCGTTTTCAGCAGAGGGATAAGAAAAGGAGGCAACCTCCTTGCTAAAAAGTATCGGTGACTAGGTGTGTTGCACCATAGTTGTGCCAGTAACTTCAACTTACACCGATTTTTAAGTAACTACCCGAACGCACTGTGAACAGACTTCGCGGTTCTAGTAGCCAAACTTGCTACATAGATTGTCACCTTAATTTGATGACTCGGAACTCGTGGCCTTTAATGGCATGGTGATCAGTGGTGAGTCACCTTGTATCGTTCTTAGAAAACACTGACAGTTTGCTTTGCTAGCTCGACACGGTAGTCGCGATGAAAGCAGCAACATCAGGATTTGTAGATGTTCGGATGCCCTGTGCCCTTACCAATTGCGGCCGTGGTCTAGCGGTTTCCCTAGATCAATCAATATCTCCCTTGCGAATTTGCAGCGAGGCCATGGATCTCTACCTTGACAATCGTCAACCGTGAGGCTCTACTCACATCCGCATATATGACTCGGTATATTTTCCATGAAACACGCAGAGACCATGCGTTATGTCGGAAGTTTGTAGGTGAATCACCTTCGACCAATGCAGAATGAAGCACACAGTCCCTGATGCGAAGAAGGTACTATCGCTTCCTGCGATACAGTTTGAAATGGCAACATGGGCACCCCATGACACTAATAGAAGAGGCGGATAGCCCTCATAGAGCCAACATCACCTTCGAGCATCTGCACATGCAGCCATGGAAGGACGCGAACGGCGAAATCGAAAGAAAGGTAGGCCCCATTACCTGGTGTCCAATATCTCGTTTCCGATCTCCCACAAATGTACTCATAAAATGACACAGATGTTATCATTATCTCAGTGGAATGGTTTCTATAAAAGGGGGCGGTAATATTCAGGCTTTGCACTCAGTTTCCATCAATCTACACACTACGCGATCTCCATGCCAATCAAGACGCGCAGACATAAAAGAGCTGAAGCACAGGCGAATTTGGACACCCCCGAGCCCACCGTCGAGCCCACCGCCGATCCTAGCGCTGACTCGAGCCCTGAAGATTATGACGACGACAACGACCCCGACTACAGCCCCGGTTCCGAAGCCGATTCCGGTACTGATATTACCCCAGCCTCTCGCTCTGCCGCCGCTGGCAGGCCCTCTCGTGCAGGGAAGGGGCACAGGCGAAACTGGTCTAGCACCTCCATCTGCAACGAGTCCAACCCAGTCATCATCACGCGTTTCAACAGTTGGAAATCACGCCTAAGATCGTTGATAGCTGAGGCCAAGGCAGAAGGGATCGACGGCTACGACGAAGTACAATCTGTAACGGTAGCAGCGGCGGAAAGCCTTGCAATTGTGGAGTCTGTCGACGAGTACAAGAAGAAGGCCGAAAATGCGCAGAAAGATGTGAAGGTATGTATGTCCGTAAGAACTTAGTATTGCGTATCCAAATGTTCACCACTGCATACAAGGTCGTCGCATTTTCTCGCGCAACTAGAAAGGACCTTGAAAGGGTGTCCTTGAACAATATTACGAGTATTAACTTCAATTCCTTGCTAGGAGTTATCTAGAGCCGGATGGCAAAGAGCCGCCTGGAAGTAATAAAATCTGCTGCGCCGCCTTTGCAGAGTGTATTAGAAGAATTAGACGGATTGGTCGGACCCAATGTCACTATCGATTGACCGATACTAAATGATCAGCGCCTACTAGTATCTAGACCGAGGCAGGAGCTCGTGTTACGATCGATCAATGGTTGCTCGTTGCAAACCGGTTCTTTAAGGCCAATCGTACCTTCGCCCTCACCGTATGGACCGAACTATGTCTATCATCCGCATCCGACCAACCCGTCTACATCGAAGAAGGAGATAAAACAACATTCCTGACTGGAGTGTTTGATTACGGGGTTGGATCCATGCGTCATGCTGATACAAGACTCGTCAAAGAACAAGCGAGTGAGTTGTTTGAACTCGTGCAGCCTGTCAACTAGATTCTAATGCCATACGTAGTGTCAATCGCTGAAGTCACACAAACAAAGCAAACCGTTGCCATCTTTGGGCCCTACCGCATCACGTTTGTTATCATTGAAGCAAAGAACGACAGAGAAAATCTCAAGAAACACATCCCTCAGGTAGTCTTGCAGTGTGTGGCCTTGTGAGTCTTCAATCCATAAAATTCCCGATAGGGAACTGAACCGTACGCAGTGGGAAGGACTGGACGAAAGATCAGTACGTACCCCAGTCCGAGTAATATCCTGAGCCTTAATTGTGTGATACAGGTCCGATATAGTCGCATTTTGCTTGGCGAACAGCAAACTATGGATTTTTGGACTTGTAGACCGTGCCTCCAAGCGTGCCTACCACACAGACGAAGTCCATACCTCGGAAGGCGAAAGTGGTGTCCACCCCCTCAAAAGATATTCTCACTACGATATCTTCTCTGAACTAAGTAGGAGGATAATCTATCAGGAATACATTGTCTTCTGTTTGTTCGATAATTCGCCCGGAGTAGTCATCAAGGAGCAGGAACCCATAATCGCGCGCCGTAGGGGCCTCCCACGTTTTCGAACAGTGCTCACCGTGGTCACGAGCGAACGAAATCGCTGTCCTTTTTGGCGAGTTACCGTAAGTCTGAACAAAGGCATGATGTAAGCCGAGAACGCAAAAAATGGCGTCGTCCCAAGTATAAGGCATGTAGTTTACTACCATTGGCGGTCGATCTTCATACGGGACCATGAACTTGACCACTGCTTCTGCGCTGAGAAGGTACAAGTGAGCGTTACCCATGCGGTCGTAGTGAAGCGGGCTGTGAATGTGTGGCTTCAGCCCAGGCAATGCCAAGGTATGGAGTGGCATCGCTGGCGGGCCAGCTAATATGGGATGTTTGCCTGGGACCGGTCGAAAGTCGGACGCATCAATGGCGTAAATTCTGACATCTTCTTCCCCGAGACCGAGGATTCTGTGCCCGGGAAGAATGCGGACAGTGTCCTACAGAGTACCGGCGTGAGAGGGCTATACAGATGAAGTGAAACGAAGTTGTAGTACATACGACGCGCTCGTTGAGTATAATTGTGGTTTTGCGATGGATCAAAGAGCATGAGCTTCGCCAGTTGTACACATCTATGTACCACGTCCTGCCGCCGGAGAGCAAGGGAACACACCTCGCAAAGTAATCCCCCCGAAGGTCCATGGCAAAGCAAAGTTGCGTCGTATATGTATTGAACGACGTAATGTGACGAGCGACGAGTGTGTCGCTATCGGTGTTGGTGATCTTCCATATGGATAGTCTTCCAGGTCGTTCATCTGAGAAAGGTTAGTAGGTTTCTACGAAGCCAATAGGAAACGTACAAGCATGTTGACGAACGAGGGCGATAGAAACCTCGATGTTTGGCAGCGTATATCGTTCATCGATGGCGTATTGTGTCACTCGCTCTCCCCACTTGTCTGGTGGGCGAATCAAGACACAGGGTTGACTGACCATCAAGTTGAGGTCGTAGACATCAAGGCAGGGATCCCTGCCATTAGCTAAAAGCCATCTACCTCCATGGAGGAGGTGTAACTGGACCGCCGAACTCTTACACGCTAGACGTCGGGTAGGTCGCTTTGATTTAGACACCCAGTTGCGTTGAACTCGAGCCCAGTGCAAGGTGTCGCGCTCGAGTTCTGCATAAGTTGCCGTGCTATCCTTCGCGCTCAAGGGAGTGTCGTAGCCGTCAGAAAGTCGTTGGTACTGTGCTCGCCATACGTATCGCGATCGGGAGGCAGAGCACAACGACTTGCATGTCTGGAGAAAGTCAGAGGAAGGGATAATGGGGTAATACTTGCACTCACTGCGCGTATGCAAAGTACCTCCCTCCAGTCTAACTCGGCCAGAACCATCTCCGAGATTTCCTGAGGAAGGGCTGTTAAACGGCACCTGTCGACGATGCCAGAGTTCGAAGCTGAGCAGTTCGTCAGTATAAATATTTTGAAAAGAACAAGAGCCAACGAACCTTGCCTAGGAAGGGCCGAGCGCAGAGGTCGTGATAACATAGTAAATAACTCGCCGGTGAGCGACAACAGCATGCGCCACCTAATCCACCGAAGCACCCAGCAAGTGAAGTGTTTCTCCAGCATCGACCCCGAGCAACAAGCAGTGAATGAGCCGTGGCTGGTCGCGGTCGCGCTGAACGTTGGATAACATCAAGAACTTGAAGTGGAAGCCACGTGACAAATTGATTCCGCTCCGATCCCTTCAGGGTGCCTTCCTCCTCTCTGACTGTACGCTCAATGAGAACGGCCAACTGATCAAATTGTATATCAGCAAGTCTCGAGAACATGATACCGCCGTATCCTATGTTGTAAGGAGCCAGGCCGTCTAATTACATTCCAAAGTCGCCGGAAATACGCTCATCCGATAAGGCCAAATAGCAAGCGATGGATCTTTGGAGTTGTTGACCGTGCTTCGAAGAGCATCTATCATACAGACGAAGTCAGCACTACGGGACATAAGACAGGTGTCTTTGACATTCTTCTTGCGCTTATCTTTTGGGTACCACTGCCTCCTTGAACTCCCCCTGTGACCGCTCGGAAAATATCCTGCTATGAAAAAGACATAGAGGCATGTGTCCAGACATTTATTTGTGCTCCAATTTCTAGTAATCGTTTACGAAGACATTGTCCCTGCCTGTCCTTTCAACTACTCGCCCCGAGTAGTCGTCAAGGAGAAGGAAGCCCCATATATAGTCGCGCTCTTCAGGGACCTCCCAAGTTTTGGAACAATGTTCATTGTCATAAGCAAGTAACATTGCCGTCCTCCTGGAGAAACGGTCGCGTGTCTGAACGTAGGCACGGTGGGAACTGAGCACGCAAAAACTGTCGTTGTCGTCCCAGGTATAAGGCATATATTTCACTGTCGCCGGAGGTCGGTCTTCGTATGGAATGATTAACTTGACTACTGCTTCAGCGTTTGCAAGGTATAAGCAAGCGTTACTCAGAGGGTCGTAATGAAGGGGGCTGCGAATATGCGTCTTTAACCCTGGCAAAGCTAGAGTATGGAGTGGTACGGCTGGCGGGCCAACTGGTGCGGGAGTCTTTCCTGAGACTGGTTTGAAGTCGGATTCAACTGCGTAGATCCTGATGTCTTCCTTCCCAAGGCCAAGTATTCTTTTCCCTGGAAGAATCCGTATGGTGTACTGTCCACTACCAGCGTCAGGAGGTTATACATTTAGCCATTCAAAGAATTAAAACACGTACGACGCGCTCGCTGAGGACAATTGTGGTTTTGAGGTGGATCAATGAGCATGAACGTTGCCAGTCGTATACATCTATGTACCACATCCTATCGTCGTCGGGCACGGGAACACACCTTGCGAAGTAGTTTCCCCGTAGATCCATGGTAAAGCAGCATTGTGTTGCATATGTGTTAAACGACGTAATCTGATGAGCGACGAGGGTGCCGTTGGGGGGGTCGGTGATCTTCCATATGGATAGCCTAGCAAGCCGTTCATCTGGGGGAATTAGCAGACGTCAATGGAAACGAGGGGGAACATACTAGAGCGCTGACGCACGAGGGCAACAAAAACTTCAATTTTTGGCAACATACTCGTATTCACCTCGTCGACGACGAACCGATCTACTCGTTTCTCTCGCTTGTCTTGTGGGCGAATCAAGATGTGGTGTTGACCGGTTGTCGAATCAATGTCGTAGACGCTAAGACAGGGAGCCATAGTATTGGCTAAGAGCCATCTACCCCCTGTAATGAGGTAAATCTGGATTGCCGGACACTTGCATACTAGGCGTGATGATGGTTGCTTCGATTTGGATACCCAATTGTGTTGAACTCGAGCCCAGTGCAAGGTGTCATGCTCGAGTTCTGCATAAGTTGCCGTGCTATCCCTCGCGCTCAAGGGAGTGTCGTAGCCGTCAGAAAGTCGTTGGTACTGTGCTCGCCATACGTGACGCGATCGGGAGGCAGAGCACAACGACTTGCATGTCTGGAGAAAGTCAGAGGAAGGGATAATGTGGTACCACTTGCACTCACTGCGCGTATATAAAGCACCTCCCTCCAGTCTAGCTCGGCCAGAACCATCTCCAAGATTTCTTGAGGAAGGGCTGTTAAACCGCACCGGCTGTTAACGATGCCACAGTTAGAAACTGAACAACTCGTCAGTATTATTAACTTGAAAAGACCAAGAACCAACGAACCTATCTTAGGGAGAACCGAGCGCAGAGGTCGTGATAACATGGTAAATAATTCGCCGGTGAGCGACAACAGCGTGCGCCACCTAATCAACCAAAGAACCCAGCAAGTGAAGTGTTTATTCAGCATCGACCTCGAGCAACAAGCAGTAGGTGGGCCGTGGCTGGTCGCGGTCGCGCTGAATGTTGGATAACACCAAGAAGTTATCGCCACACTCGCGTCGAAGTGGAAGCCACGAAAGCACGTGACAAATTGATTCCGCTCCGATCTCCTGGTGCCTTCCTCCTCTATGACTGTACGCTCAATGAGAACGGCCAACTGATAAAATTGAATGTCGGCAAATCTCGCGAACGCGGTGCCCTCGTATCCTATGTTTTGATGGGGCGGGCTGTCTAATTACATTCCAAAGCCGCTGGAAATACGCTCATCGAGGTCATTCAATATAGGTGAGTAACCGTTGCACAATGCTCGAAGCGCGTCGATTTCTTGCCTCCAGGAACCCCACTCTTTCCTTGTTAACCCAAGCTGGTAGCAGCATCATACTTTGATCCCCTTGGTTTGGGCTTGCAGAGGTCCACACAGTGCAGAACAGTGTGCTGTGATGTTGTTGGTGACTTTCGAATTCAGAACTTGAAGCTATTGCTGTCCGCAGGCGTCAAGTCAGAATTGAGGCTGGACCTTCCACAGCTGGCTCTCAGGCACGGGATCTCTGTTCGCTGCAGGATGTCATACTCTAACGACGCGCATGTGAGCTATATCACCCGTGTAGGGCTGGGAAGCCAAGTCTCACTAATGAACTCCCAACCAGTAGGCACCTCGGGGCTCCATGGACTTCCAATCTTGTAGACTGACACGACGCCACCATAATACAGTTGTTTCGTCCCATAGTCAAGTGGGGTAGCGTGGCTTGGACGAGAATCATCCACGGGCGTGCGTAGCCGACACACAGTTGCGGAACCTGAGAATCTTTCATAGGGCACGTACCTCGTTTTCCACCTCGGCGCAATAGCGGATAGTGTGTTCACTTCGGGACTATGGATCTTCCAGAGCTTACGATCGTCACGCCATGGTTAATCATCAAGGCCGACGAGACCACGTTCCTGACTTCTCATGTTCAAATGTACTTCGACTTGAATGTTAGAGCTTTCTAATGTTGGAGGTCAAGTAATGGGAAGGTTCTCCCACGTGCATTGTCATCAAACAGGCGGTACCTCCAGTCTTCCATCTCATCCCCATGCATTATCTGATTCCAACATTGAACCCCATTGAATTTATCCATGTGAGGCACTCACGTGTGTCTGAGGCTCCCTTGAGCACCACCGCTCAACTTCCGTGCTGATGTTCAGATTTACTTTGCCTAGTGACTGCTCTGGGAATAGCTTCATTTGTTCGTGCTTTCACAACCCACTAACTACGATAACCGGTGATATCACTAGTGGGAACGTCCCGTTGTGATGGTGGATCACTTCTCACACTTCTTTGATTAGCTTCCTTTTAATCGCGCATAGAAAATGTGGTTTGTCCGTTAGCTTCATCACCCAGTCCCCCGTGTCTTGTCTTACTATGTCTATAGAAAAGGAGAACGAGAAGAGAGGATCCGACGCTAGCATCAACTCCGCTGCAGATAGTATCGATCTTTTCTCCTACCACGGTGCGCTACTGCTTCCACCCTAGTGATGCATTTGGATCTAATCAATAGCGGTAGAACACAATGCGGGTCGTTTGATTGTCGATCCCGAGTATGTTAGGGTCACCTAGCTACGTTAGACACCACACAACTTACGAACCTGTCCTAGGGAGGCCAAGATTGAACTTGGGGACGTAGTCGCAGCGAAGCTCAAGCTGAGCGCCGATGGTACAAAAGTTCTATGGCCTCAGCCAACAGACGATCCTGAGGACCCCCAGAATGTTTGTCACCGTATGCGGGCCTTGTCACCCACAACTAACAGAAGTTTCAAGTGGTCGGATCGACGCAAGGCATTGCAATTGATGATCATCACGCTTGCTGCCATTGTTCCAGACTTTGATTCGGGTATAGGTACGTAAATACATGCGTTGTGCGATTTCACATACTCACCGTCGATATCCGATAGGTATTGCGGCCATATTTGCTTTGGCGGAACAATATAACACGACGACGGGCGTAATCAACAACCTGACGTCGAAGTAAGTAGAGTATCTGATACATACATATAGGCGTGTGAGCTAATTGTGAGCTTGTAGCTGGAGCATCTTTCTACTTGGTACATATTCCGTCGCCGGATCTGGACGACTTGACTGATGTTTATACAGGTTGGGGCGGTATATTCGCCGTGATGTTGATGAGGCGACTTGGACGACTTCCCATCTTATTCTGGTCTCAGGTGTGCTTTACTATGCTATCTCAACAGTAATATTAACAGGCAAAAGGTTTTTGCAGTTGGCTTCTTGGTCGGTGCAACATTTGCTCCTACTCTTAAAACCTTCACTGGTAAGTATCATCCTGAGGATGCACGTTCACGAATGGACCATACTGATCATTCATCCCCAGCCTTCCGATGTCTCAGTGGGTTTTTCGCGTAAGTTCTTATCAAGCTATTCTAGTTGATAGTGTTTAACTTGTCACACGTAGCACCGCACCCCAAGTTACAGTGAGTCTTGATCCACTTTCCGCTTCACGTGGATTCCAATGGCAATATTCCGCGTCTAGGGCCTCTTCATAGTCAGTGACATGTACCCATTCCACAAGCAAGCTCGGATGGTCAGTGATACCTTCGCCTAGTCTATACATTGGTGACTCAAATGAACTGTAGTTGAATGTATGGACCATGGGGTTCATCATTTCTCCGTTCTTGTCACCGTTTGCCTTCGGATTCCTCGTTGCGCGAGCAAGGTATGCTAAGATCACTTCGTTGCTTAACTGTGAATCTGAGTGATCTAGTTGGCGCTGGGCTTATGGTATTGGGTGCATCTATGGCGCGATCGTCGTTGCTTTGATAGTCTTCTTTGGGGAAGAAACGTAAGCCATTTCGAATCCGTTTCGACTCAACTTGCATTTTCAACACTTCGGAAAGAATATACGACAGGACTGTAAAGCCTCTCCCCCCGCGGCCTGTTAAGAATCTCAGGTGGAGAGTAGAGACCTTGATTGGTATTACGGGAGTGAGAAACCAAGGCTATCGTTCTCCATGGATGGAAGGAATTTTGGCTCCACTCAAGGTTGTGTGGCGCCCCCATCTCCTAGCCATTCTCCTTTATGAGGTACGCGCGTTGATTCCGCTGTCAGACAATGATGACCAACGTTTCAACGTTTCGGAAGGCAATGGTCTTCGGGTTTGCTATTGGTATAAACGTAGGCATACACATATCGGTTGATTTGGCAGTCTTTGACGGCTATACTAGGTTACAAACGCTGTTTTCTTGGGCAGCCCACCGCCTGTCGGCTTCGGATTTAGCCCATTTGGCATTGCTGGAGCTTACGGCACACCTATCGTAAGTGGTTTCATCGTGTCAGAAACGTAGTTGATACTCAAGAAGATACTTTATATCCATAGGTTGCCGTGTTACTTGGAGAATTAGTCGGCCACTACGTTAACGATTGGATCATGAACTTCAGCATTCGCCGCAACAATGGTGTTTTCGAGGCTGAGAGCCGTTTATGGTGAGTATCTGCAATCTTTTCATCTATCCAGCGTTAACTTTTGTGTTAGGGCGTGTTACATCGGGCTCCCTCTGTATATTTGTGGATTCGTTACATTGGGGGCTGCGTTTCAGATGCACTTGAGCGTTGGCGCTGTCGTCATGGGATGGGGAATTGCACAATTTGCTATCATGATAACGACTGTCGCAGTTTGTGAGTAGACGGCCACGTTTATGCCCGCATATTGACCTAGTTTCGTCCATGTAGATGCTTACGCCAACGACTGTTTCCCGAAGCACCGAGTAAGCGCATTCCTCTGTGCCTGTACACCTTTACTCACCGCGACTCTAGGGTGAAATCAGTGGACTGATCAACCTAGCGAGAACCCTTGGTGGTAAGTATTCTAATTCATGCATCGTAAACCAATCTAATGGATATCCGATAGGTTTCAGTGTTGCTTACTTCCAGGTACCATGGGCGGAAAAGCACGGTGCATTACAGACTTTTGGAGTCGAGGCAGCGTATGTCTTATTTCCTCCCCCGTAAAGCCTAGAGCTCACTGTATCATCATAGTATTGTTACAGGGCTATTCTTCCTCATTGTGCCTACCATACAAATTAAGGGCCGAGCCTTACGGGTAAGTGAGCATCCCTTTGTCGGGGACACAGCGGATTGATCGTCATGCTAGAAAAAATACTCCCTGCATTGACGAGGTTATGCTTTCATGACGGTCTCTGTATCACTTGTACTCATAATTGCATGCCGTGAGGACGGATGATGATTCTTGTTGTAAGATAGGATGAAGTTTGAGATTCCTGATTTGTAGTCTACATTAGTTGATCAATTCGTTTGACGAGGCGGTGGGGGTTCAACATTTTCGTTGAACATAGTTGTCGCGACCCAACTTGTCTCGGACGCTGAAATTCATTTTCAAATAGCTCTGGACTGACTGAGGACGGGAGTGCACCAAAACACGTGATCCCGTGGAGGACACTGGAGTTTTAGAACGTTGATTGAACGGTCAAGTCCCTCAAAGTTGAAGTTGCCAACCAGCCGCAAGTTACGATGGATAGAAAGCTAACATACAAGCTACCTCCCACCACAATCACTGATAAGCTCGTCTCCCAAAACACTCGTCGCATCAAGGTTCGATATTCGAGCACATCTCGCGTCTTCTTCTTGATTGACGTTGATGAGACAAGGCTCTAGAGGAGCAGAAACGCGTGAGCCTTCTACGCACTTTCTGTACTTACCAAGAACTCACTGCTATACAGCGACGCGCAGAGAAGTTTGACTCCACCAGACAGTTGGATTTATTCGCAGATCTGAGCCTTGGCGTATCTGACGATGAGGCCGATTTGAACTCAAATGAGCCAGAAGGACCCGCTATCCTACGAGAGGGACTAGCCTCCTACACATCCATGCTGCCAGCATCTTCAGAGAACGATCAAGTTGAAGCCAGTGCCCGTGCAGACAAGAAGCGTAAAGGCAAGAATAAGCGTAGTAAGGGTGCCAGCAAAGGTCAATTACGGAGGCAGAGCAAATGGGCGAATCAATGCATGTACGCTGAACTGCTCGAGATGCTGGACGACGATGTCTGGTCTGTCTCGCCTGACGCTGCTGCACACGATGGATTGCCAGAGGACTTGGAGAAAGGGTGGGTTTGCGTTGCCCCCGTCCCTGTCGGCAAACGATGTTTAGCAGTAGTGACGGCCGCGCCCAATGGCATATGTATGTTGTTCCCATCTGCGCCTTTGCTTCTACTTTGATTGACACATCGACCCACAATGACAGCGCCGAACACGACTTTGCGGTCTCGGCTACTTGGTAAACCGCTCATGCCCCGTTTTCCTTCATCACTCCCACCTGAGACGGTATTGGACTGTATATTGGACGCCAACTGGAGAGATAACGGAATCCTGCACGTTCTTGATGTCATCAAGTGGAAGGGGCAAGATATTGGTGATTGCGAGGCTCCTTTCAGGTACATTAACTTTCGTTCATCAGAAGGAATACTTCCCTGATTGCGTTTTTAATAGATTTTGGTGGCGAGACACTCGCTTGGCAGAACTTCTACCAAGTCCTGCACCATCAATGCTGACTGCCACCTCGAAATCCGCTGATGTTCCAACAAGTCCGCTCAACTCTCAATCCCGCTACCAATTCCCCTATCCCAATACACTCGTACCCGTACCTTACCACACGGACACCACTCTTTTGAACCTACGCTCTCAGATTATTCCTCTCGCACGTTCCACCAGGGCGGTACCCGTCAACCTCCCTCTTTCGGCGGCAGACGGCGACGGTGAAATGGTTATAGACGGCATGGATGACGCACAGCGCCCTGTTCATCCGGCGAACTTAGTAGTAACAGTCTCTTCCGATGGCCTACTCCTCTACGTTGCAGAAGCCACTTACGAACCTGGAACCAGTCCGCTGAGCAGTTGGATACCGGTTGCGTATTCTGACGATGACTCTATGGACGGACCAACTATACGACGTCCCCTTGATCGTTTCGAGAGGTGAGTGCTTGAGTCCCTAGCCCACGCAGCAACTATTTTGAGCTAAGTTTTTACTAAGGCTTATCATGAGGCGCCTAGAGATTGCATCTGGCGCGCAGCTAGACATCGACATGTAGCCCGCAATTTATCGAGCATGTGACGTTCCAACTTCCCGCCGTTATGTACAAAGTCATTTTTGCACTTGCCCATTGCCGTAACGTCTCCACAAATAAGTTTCGATGTTGAGAGTTTGCCGCCGCACGTCCGCATCCACTTCGTTACCCGATCGCAGCTGTCCAACTTGTCCGAAGGCATCTCAGAGCCTAAGTAACTCCTTCTTACGATCAAGTTTGATTCGCAGATTTATACTGGGTGATGTAGGGGTCTGATCTTGTGTTTCCCCGCCTTCTTCCACTCGGCCATGTCTTCAGAGAAAGTAGATAGTGTGTCTGTAGGCTCAGCGACGGTAGACGAAGACTGCGGAATAAATCTATTCGCGCTACACGAGGAACGAGCTGGTCGGCTGATTATTGATCCAAAGTGAGTTTCACGTCTTATTCATATATAGCTACTACTGACATTGTCACGTACCACGAAGAGAAGCGCGTATCGAACTTGGAGATGCGATAGCGTCAAGGCTGAAATTGTCCGCAGACAGGACGAAAGTCCTTTGGCCTCAGCCAACGGATGACCCTGAAGATCCTCAGAACGTGAGTGCATCAGTCTGCAACCCTTTTTCGACGTTAACTTGGAAATCATAGTGGAGTGATAGGCGGAAAGCCTTCCAACTATTCATACTCACATTAGCGTCCATAGTGCCGGATTTCGATTCGGGGATCGGTCAGTTCTGCTTCTTCCGCTCTGTCGCGTTTGTCTAATCACCAACAACCTCAGGCATCGCGGCGATATTTGGTCTAGCGGAGGAGTACAACACTACACCGAATGTGATCAACAACTTGACCTCCAAGTATGTTCACACTGAGACCTGATGGAGAATCTCGCTAACCACCACAACTCTCGCTTCAGCTGGAGCATTTTTCTCATCGGTAAGAAAAGGCGATTACGTTGGCTGAAGGACAATCTTGACGTTGCGTCACAAATAGCACCCGCTGGCGTATTCGCGGCTATGTTCGTTCGGCGGTACGGACGGCTTCCTGTCCTTTTCTGGTCTCAGGTAGGAACTCGCAACGCGTTGACGGAGCATACCTGTACTAATCTGCATCCCAGCTGATCGGTTTAGGTTTCCTGATCGGGGCAACATTCGCAAGAGACTTGAATACGTTCACAGGTACGGTGACCTCTCTGCAATGTAATTCGTATCCTCCTGAACCACGGTTCCTCCAGCAATGAGATGCTTGACGGCCTTCTTTGCGTAAGTCGACATCAATGACATAGTCACTTATTGATTCGTTCAATTTTGGTCTCAGAACGGCCCCCCAAGTAATCGTGCGTCTTCTGTACACGTTTTATATTTCAATGGTCGTTCTCATATCCACCAAGGGCTTGTATGTTGTCTGCGATATGTTCCCCTTTCATCTTCAGGCACGGAAGGTAGACCTGGTTCATATTTCCATGGTTGTAGCAACCCGTTTACCAGCTCCTAGCTAAATTTATGGACTATGGGCTTCATTATATCCCCGTTCTTGTCCCCGTTTGCCTTTGGATTCCTTGTTGCCCGGGAAAGGTGTGTGATTTGTGCCGTTTTCTTGATCAACTTCTCATCTTCGAAGCTGGCGATGGTCGTATGGAATAGGATCGATGTATAGCGCCGTTGTTGTCCTCTTGATTGCTCTCTTTGGCGAAGAAACGTGCGTGCGGCGGCATCAGACTATGTCTATTTTCTGATCATTAGCTTTCTGTAGAATCTACGATCGAACGGTTGTACCCATTCCTTCCCGACCAACAACAGGCCCGCGGTACCGCGTAGAAACTTTAGTGGGAATCACTGGTGTCAAGATGTCAAAGTACAGGGCGTCCTGGTCGCAGACCATCTTGTCTCCCTTCAATGTTTTATGGAGACCGCATCTGATTAGTATCCTTATTTTTGAGGTAAATCTACCTATTTCACTGAAAGGTAGAGCCAACTGACCTCCTGTGGCGAAGGCTATGGTATTCGGATTCGGAATTGGAATCAATGTCACCAATGCAGTCTTCCTGGCAAGCCCGCCGTATAGCTTCAGTCAAGACGCTATCGCAGGTGCATATGGCACGCCGATTGTACGTCGGTGATTTTGTATCCCTCGATGGCTCACCCTCTGAACAGCACCCAGGTGTCGGTAATCATTGGCGAGCTCGTTGGACATTACTTGAACGACTGGATTACTAACATCACTGTGCGACGCAACAAAGGCGTCTTTGAGGCGGAGAGCCGACTGCTGTGAGCGAGGTCTATCACCAATCCTTTTCGCCGTCACTCATTCTTCGATAGTGCTTGCTACATAGCTATGCCACTGTATATCTGTGGGTTTGTGCTGTTAGGCGCTTCCCTCCAAAACCATTTGAGCGTGGTCGCCTTGATCTTTGGCTGGGGAATAGCCCAATTGGGGATCATGATTGCCACCGTTTCTGTTTGTGAGTGAGGTTTAGTTCTCGCCGAATATGGTCTCATCTGTCCGTTGCAGATGCGTACTGCAACGACTGCTTCCCACGACAACAGGTCCGAATTTCCTCTATTTCCTTTACCCTACACCTAATCTAGTTTTTATGACGTCTTTGCACGTTAGGGAGAAATCAGCGCTCTCCTTACTGTGTCTAGGATCTTGGGAGGTATGCAGTTTCGCGTCGTACCCGGTTGTTCTGATCATTCATTCTGATCATATGTCTAGGCTTTTCTGTTGCGTACTATCAAGTCCCATGGGGGGAGAAACACGGCGCACTACAGACCTTCGGTGTTGAGGCCGCGTAAGTACACTCCAACCATTATGATTACAAATTTTAATTTCCCCTTGAAAGTATCGTTGTAGGATTGTTTATCCTCATCGTACCATTCCTTCAGTGGAAGGGTTCATCCCTCAGAGTAAGCGCGGGCTCCATCTGGCGAATCAGCGAGCACCGAGACTAACCAGATACATTCCACAGGCTCGCTACTCGTTGTAAGAAGTTTCATGCATCACGATTATTGTATACACCTAGTTTCCCCTCATGCCGCTCCATTTTCAGTAGATAGAACATTGAAATGTTTAGATTTGGAGTTGTTCGCAGGTCAACACTGGCGAGAGAATGTCGATTGTTCTTGTTGTTCGGCGCGATCCGACGACCCAAAGTTCGTTTGGTCAGGACGGCCATGCTCTGCGTCAGGCTGGTGACTGCCCTTGGAAGACGTCGCAGCCTCCATCATGGCTGCAACCCCCTTCTGAATCTAATGGAGAGTAAGCGGACCATGTGGAATACCGCGTAGAGTGAAACGTACTCATGAGCGACTCTGTGATCTCCAATATGTCGACGACAAGTCGCTCAACGAGGTCTTCGCTCAAGGTCTCCCGCACTATTGACGGGATCGTGAGCTTGGGTGAGTGCATGGGTCATGGTAGCAAGACTCACCGACTATGCGCAGGATTTCCACGTCCTCCGCCCCTTTAGGCCCCTAATGTCCGAGTTAGAAGTATTGTTATCGGAACAGTGGAAGGACTCGCGTTGTAGTTTGGTACGATCCAGCCTTTGGTCCTGAGCATAGACTACCCCATGATTTAGTACACCGTAGGGCCAGAAACAGCGATTACGAGAGGTGCACCTGAATCCAGCTTTGTTTCACGTAGGGGTATTCCTTGATAAAATCGTCAGATAACCTATACCTCTTTCAGTTCATCCTTCAACCATAAGGTAGAAGAAGAATAGCTACCGGAAAGAGACCACCGGAAGGCCACGCTGGTACAGTTCAGGATCATCGCCCTAGACTCAACTCAGACCTGTGGGTCAGTGTCATGTACACTAACAAATGTGAATGTGGATAACAGACATATGTGAATATCCCCTCCTCAGTAAGTTTTTCTAGGGTGTAAATGTTTTCAAGAATGTTTTTGTTGGATTCTGACAATCTAGGCGGTACAGGGGTTACAGGGGTTCACATGACTATTGTTATGGTCCGGTCCGTTCCGAATACTATCTTTTTCCGATATCTTATCTAAACACGCAAGACGTACCCATTACTAATTCTCATTACAATACCTTAGTAAGATCCTCACGTATAACACATGTCTGCAGTACATTACCCTGCACCTCATGGAATTGGTGCGCATTCCATGGAAAGACGGCTGCAGTAGGCAAGTAGTATTACATGAGGACTATGCATGTACTTTAGTATTTAATCACCAATAACATACCAGAGAACACTAGCTTGTTCTCTTGGGATATCCACTAGCAATAGTGAGAACTAAGTCAACTAAGCTACTCCATCTATTCTTTTGGTTTTAGTATTCTTGTAGGAGCCACATTAGTCTTTGACTAGTGTTGCCCTAACAGAAGAACGAGCTACCCCTTTAACATCTCTCCTACACTCTCATCCATCCTACTCTGCAGTGCCTATCTGCAAAGACCAACCACTCGACCTCAAGACAGGATATGTTTCACTTCCTCATTTTATCTACCGCATAACTTCGTTCCAATTTCCGCCGATAAGCCCGTTAGGCTTTGATTGTTTGTTTCAAACCCCTATAGTTTCCCACCATATTTGAACCACAGATTCAATACTCCAGCAGGGTAACATTTAGATGACCCCCCGAGTGAATCTAAAGGCATTGACTGATCACTAATCTTCAGAGAGGGGTCAGCGCACGAGGTGCTGAGTAAAGAAAGAAGACTCTACCTTGTCGGTTCAGCAAGAGGGTGTGAAACTCCGTATCTAGCCCAGCCGAAGAAATCCTTCCTCATCCACATTGTCCGCTCAGGTGCCAGCGCGCACTAGTTTGAAGTTCAACATTGATTGACAGGGTACCCTACCACCAACTCTGTATACTCCCCACCATGTTCCATTCCAGTGGATCAAGCTTTGAGAACATCGGAGATCAGAACATGCCTGGCCCATCATCAGCAACCAGTAAACCCTCCACCACCATTGACACAGAAATGATGGCAATAATGATGGACCGGTTGGCGCAGATGGAAGCCCGGTATGAGCAACTGGCCCACTACATACAAAGTCAACCAGCACCTGCCCCAGCACCTGTTCCTGTTCCTGTTCCTGCTCCTGCTCCGATCCCTCAACCCGCCGAACCTGCACAACCAGTGGATCCTAAACTAGCCAAACCTGAAGTGTTTGATGGTGAACGTGCCAAGTGCCGCTCATTTCTAAGAAGTATCTGAATGTACATCGCGGTTAACAACTGGCAGTTTACCACCGAGAACACCAAAGTCCTATATGCCTTATCATTCATCCAGGGACACAAGATTGACAATTGGAAAAATGAAATCATCAACCGAGCACTCAACTGGCGGGACCACGGAGGATACGATCCGGTAGTCTCCAATTTCACAAGGTTTTCCGATGAACTAGAGAAAACATTTGGAGACCCAAACCCCAGGGAAACTGCCATATCCACCCTATCTGCCCTCAGACAGGGCAATGAACCAGCTGAAGAATATGTAATGAAGTTTGAAGCATTACGGGCAGATACCGGCTACAACAATGTAGCGCTGGTAGAGTTATTCAAACAAGGAATGAACCCCAGGCTATTGAATTGACTCTATAGCATCCACCCGCTCCCCAAGCATGGAGCAAAGAAGCAATCCAGTTCAATAGGCAATTGTTAGGGCGACACTAATACACTACAAGAGTGTACGCGGACCCAACAAGAATAAGAGTGAGAGGTAGTAGATTTGAGAGATGAGCAAGGAGGGACGAAGACGAAGACGCTGACTCAGGCACTAATACTAGTGGTAGTCCCAAGAGAACGCGTTAACGTCTCTGGGTGTTTATTAGGGCACTTATATACTACTATACATGCTACGTCCTCATGTCTATTTACGCGCTGTGTCCTACCGTCTTTCCATGGAACGGTTAGCTCAGCTGCATGAGGTATGACGCTTGTTGACTGCGCCCATGCAGTAGCGGTGAGGCGCTGACTGAGACTATTAGTAAGACAGCCCGGATGATGTAAGTAGTGTATTGTAAGTAACTATGCTTAAGTAATGCATCACATGCCCAATAAGATAAGGAGAGATAGTTGAAAAAGAAAAGAAACGTTGAGCCATAACAGCAATGGCATGAGGCGCAGTCTTATGCCAAGGGGCACGGACAGGGATGACAACAGGGACAGTCCCAACAAAGGCAACAGGGCCAGAGGCAAGGCCAATGGCAAGGGAGGGGACAAGGGCAGCAGCAGCCAGCCCCACAACAGAATCAACAATCACGACTGGCCCAGAAGGACCCAAACGCAATGGATGTAGATAGAACGCAAAGGACCCTGGTCAAGTGCTTCAAATGCGGAGGACTGGGACATATCGCCCGAAATTATCAAAGAAGGTTGGACATTAGGGCCATGAATTATGACAAACAACTGCAATACTGGCGGGAGGAGTTGACCTGTCAGGGTTTTTCCGAAGGAACCCAGGAAGCGTCAACCTGAGTTCCAAGAATCCTTCTTCTGTACTCACCCAGGAGCCGGACTCATCACTAGTAGAATCTGATGTATCAGTAGCTATTTATAATAAGGATTTGACTGTCAAAACCAACGAGACAGAAACTAAGATGCAGGGCAAACCCAAAGAAGTGTACTTGTATCGAACAGGCAATGAGAAAAACTACGTCCCCATAAAAATCACCATTACTTTCCTAGATACCCTTGAAACTCTCAACCCTAAATCAATGTTAGATTGTGGTGCCTCAGACTCATTCATTGATCGCGAATATGTCAGGAAGCACGGATTGAAAACCAAGAAACTGACTAGACCCGCAATCATAAGAAACACAGACGGCACCCCCAACAATACGGGAAGGGTAGAGGAAAAGGTAGAACTAAGAATAGGTTTCAAAGGACATGCAGAATGGGCCACGTTCTATGTAACCAACCTAGGAAATGTAGACGTCATCATAGGTCTCACCTGGCTCAGACGGCACAACCCAGAAGTAAACTGGAAGACAGGAGATGTGGTAATGACCAGATGCCCAAGGGAGTGCAAGAGAAGGATGAACAAGGAAGCAGAAGACTTGCAGAATGAACCGTACCCATGGGAAATAAAAACTGAGGAAGACAAGGAAGAAGTGAAGGAAGCATGAAAAATGGAACCAAGAAACATCTCAGTAGCAGGAGTAAGACAGTGGAATAGGCTGAGAAGTGGTTATTTACGAGACTTGGACGACCTAACCAACCAATACCACGAGTTGGTCGCCCGAATGTACATTAACCAAATGTGGAGAAAACACATGCAGGTGGAAATGGAAGACAAGGAGGAAGAAATGCACCTGAAAGCAGTGGGAAAATACGACTATGTTATTGAGCATGATCGGGAGAAGATAGAAAGCAAAAAGGAAAAAAACCAAAGAGGAAATGGTACCAAACTACTATCATGATTTCATGAAAGTATTCTGAAACGGGACTCAGAAAGGATGCCAGCGACCAGACCATGGGACCACGTAATTGGACTCACACCAGATTTCGTACCAAAGGCCTCAAAGGTGTACCCACTGTCACCAATTGAGCAACAAGAACTCAACGACTTTCTCAACGGCAACCTAAAAAAGGGGTACATCAGACCCTCCAAATCCCCGCAAACCTCACCAGTATTCTTTGTGCAAAAAAAGGATGGAAAAAACAATTGGTACAGGACTACCAATACCTAAACAAATACACTGTAAAAAATGCATATCCATTACCCCTTATTTCGCAATTAGTAGATAAAGTATCTAGGGCTCGCTTATTTACCAAAATGGACCTCCGATGGGGGTATAACAATGTACGAATAAAAGAAGAAGACCAGTGGAAGGCAGCATTCCAAATGCCACGAGGGGCATTCAAACCAATGGTCATGTATTTCGGACTTAGCAACTCCCCTTCTACATTCCAAACCATGATGAACAAACTTTTCAAAGAACTGATTGACGAAGGTCTTGTAGTTATCTATTTAGACGATTTACTTATCTTTACAGACAATGATGTACAAAAACACCGAGAAGTAGTACGACGGGCTCTGAAGATTCTCAAAGACAACAATTTATACATAAAACCAGAAAAATATGCATTTGAAGTAGACAAAGTCGAATTCCTAGGAGTAGTGGTAAAGGACGGAAGGGTGCAGATGGAGGAGGCAAAAATAGAAGCAGTAAAAAACTGGCCAGTTCCAAAGAACGTGCAACAAGTACAGCAGTTCTTAGGATTCAGCAACTATTACCGACAGTTCATAAAGGACTTTGCCACCATCGCTAAACCGTTGCATGAACTTACAAAAAAAGATGAGGAGTTTGTATGGAACGAAAGGAGACAAGAAGCTTTTGAGAAGCTTAAAAAGTTATTTACCGAAAAACCAATCCTGGTATTATGTCATATACCAGTCCTCACGCCCCCTTAGGGGTTCCCCCCTACGCCCCTTTCGGATACTCGGACCCTCGGAGCCCCTCAGGCTCCGCCCTCGCGGCCCATGCATGGTGCGCAGCACTTGGATTCACTTGTTACATGTTTCACCTACATGTGTACTTACATACTAAGCCTCACTACATACATGTGTTAGTTAGTATTTATAGTAGCACTAGTAGACATGTATTCCCCACTCTGAATCTTAGTTCCTTCTCCGTCACTTGTCCTTCTAAGTCTTCGCTCCAGGCTCCTCTGCGGAGCCCGCCTCTCACCTTGCCCTCTCCGAAATCGGGACACCGCAGGGCTAGGAGGGCGCAGCATCAAAGCTGAAGCCAAGTCCCGTATGCTCCGCTTGTCCGCGCGTCCGCGCTCCCGCGCTCCGCCTGCGCTCCCGCACCCCTGTGCGGACGAGTCAGGAGGCCCCTTGACACAGCCCTTAACATATTACCGGATACAAACAAGGAAATGAAGATCGAAGCAGACTTGTCAAACTATGCATCAGGAGCTGTACTCTCAATGCTATGTGATGATGACAAGTGGAGACCATGTGCTTTCCTGTCCAAAGGGTTCACAAAAACAGAACAGAACTACAACATCCATGACAAAGAAATGTTGGTGATAATCCGGGCCCTGGAGGCATGGCGACATTACCTAGAGGGAAATAGTCAACAATTCACAATATGGACGGATCACAAGAATCTGGAATATTTCATGACAACCAAAAAACTCAACAGACGCCAGGCACAATGGGCACTCTATTTATCGTGGTTCAACTTCTTATTAAAACACAAGCCAGGAGTGTCAAATATGAAGGCAGATGTCTTGTCAAGACGACCAGACCTTGATAGGGGGGAAGAGGACAACATGATGGTTTTGCTGAAACCAGAGTATTTTTGAATCAAGGCCATGCAACAAGGCCACGTCTTGATCGAAGGACTGGAATCCACCATCTTGTCAAAAAACAGAAAATCAAAAAATTACGATGAGTCAGTAGTAAAAGCGGTGACAGAGCTGAAAAGATCTCCAACAAAGGTATTGAGAGAAGCGGAATGGTCAGAAGAGCAGGACCTGGTGTTAAGAGCCACACTCGCAGGGGGCTCGGGATACGCGGACCCGCGGGTGCGCGGTTCAATGTAGACGCGTGGAGGAAATGGGGGAAGCGAGGACGTACGGGCTTGGCTTCAGCTACTGGCTGCGCCTCCCACACTCTTGCGTGCCCTGTATTTCCGGGAGGGGTCCTACGTGGGTACCGAGGGTACGGGCGGAGGCGAAGGGGTGCGACGGAGGGAGAACCCACTAGAGGGGCGAGAGTGCAAGTGCGGAAAGGAACTAATATTCGAACTAAGGTAGCTGTATGTACGATACAGGACTATATACTAAGGAACACGCGGTGTCCGCGCATTCACGAAACAGTAATGAGTTCGGTCGTAGTAACTACAGTGTGCTCGAGTATGTACTTAGTCCGTAATCCAGAAAGTCTGCATGGCCGCGTGTATGCGCGGCCTGAGCCCATAGTCGGGAAACGCACGTGGGCGCGCCCCTAGTAGCCCCTAAGGGGTTCCTTGGACATGCCTATAACACCTGGTACTATATCATGGGAAGGTATACGTACCCAAGGACATGGATGTCCGAAGGGAGATTGTAAAACTGCACCATGATTCAACCGTGGCAGGCCATCCGGGAAGATGGAAGACAATCGAGCTGGTCTCACGAAACTACTGGTGGCCAGGAATGAACAGATTTGTAGCGGAATACGTCAAAGGATGTGATCAGTGTCAACGAAGCAAAGCCTACTCACGACAACTGCAGGGAAAGCTCCAATCCAATCCAGTCCCATCAGAACCATGGACAGACATCTCAGCGGATTTCATCACCAAACTACCAAGGTCACAAGGTTACAATGCAATCCTGGTAGTAGTAGATCGCTTCACCAAAATGGTCCATCTAGTACCAACCACCGAAGAATTGTCGTCACTAGGCCTAGCTAAATTATATTGGGATCACGTCTGGAAGGATTTCGGCTTACCTACCACTATCATATCAGACTGGGGACCCCAGTTTGTGTCACAAATCATGCAGGAGCTAAATAAGCTATTGGGAATCCAAACACGATTGTCTATAGCCTTCCACCCACAAACCAATGGACAAACTGAATGAGTAAATCGGGAAATTGAGACTTACCTACGAATGTTCATCAACCACAGACAAGATGACTGGGCAGAATGGCTAGCAATATGTGAATTCTCTCTTAACAATAAAACCCAAACGAGCTCCAGGCAGAGCCCTTTCTTCCTAAATTATGGACACCATCCACGAATGGGGGTCGAACCACAAAGAGAATCAAAGGTGGAAGCCGCCGATGACTTTGCTAAACGAATGACCCAAAGCTGGGAGGAGGCACAGACAGCCTTGGTAAAAGCAGGAGAGGAGATGAAGAAGTATGCCGATCAACGAGTAGGAGAAATGCCGGAGTACAAAGTTAGGGACAAAGCCTTCATTTTTACGGATAATTTAAACATGTCTCGACCTTCACAAAAACTGGAGCAAAAGAAAATTGGACTGTATGAAGTAGTTGCGGTACCTACAAAAAACGCAATAACTCTAAAACTTCCAAAAAACTTATCTATTCACCCTACAATCTCCACTCATCAAACCGAAAAAGCAAACATGCCAGCAATACCAGGACAAAAAATACTACCACCCCTACCGGTACACATTTGAGGTGAGGTCGAATATGAAGTTGAAAACATTCTAGACAGCCAACTCAGACGAGGACAGCTAGAATATTTGATCAAATGGAAGGTGTAAGGGCAACCTCAAGATGGCCGCACAGTGCAAGCCTAGCAGAGGGAGAATCCAAAGAGATGAATAAGACTAACTACAATACACAAGAGAGCTGCTCACCTAGCAGAGGGAGAATCCAAAGAGAACAGGATGGGGATTCTCCATGCTAGGAAGCGAAGTATATACTGTAGTAGCGTGGGAGGAATGAAGGGTAACTGTACAGTACACCAGCCACAGGTACGAACGAATATCACAAGGTACGAGGGGGCATGTGATAATGAAGTGGAAGGGGAATGTACAGGAGCCATGCCAGCGACCTGGGGGAGTGAGGGCAAGGAATAACGAAGTGGGAAAGGAAGATGGAGGTAGCCCGGACGAGCCCCAAAGTGTATCTACGAGTCCGAGCGAGTCCGAGGCGTCCGAAGCGCGGGAAGACTTCGGAGTCACCAGACAAGGCTCGGATGCGAAGGGAGTGAACGGAAGGGAAGCGGAAAGGAAAGGGGACAAAAGGAAAGGAAAGGGAATGAAAGAAAGAGGAAAGGGACGAGGAGGAAGGGGACGGGACAGGGGGAAAAGGGGAAAATAGGAGTGTCCCCTTACACCAGCCATCAGTAAGACCACCAAGATCCACGAGCCGGAGGAAAGTGCCGATCCATCCGACACACCCGATGATGGCAAAAACGAGCATGGCAACCAGGCCAGCCTGTTCAGCAGGGGAGAGGCGGTCCCAAACAGGGAGCCGAGGAATGATGTCGTTGAAAGTGATGTTGGACATCAGGAAGTGGTGATGTTGTCAAGTGGAATTGACGAATCCTAGAGGGGGGGTGATGTTATGGTCCGGTCTGTTCCGAATACTATCTTTTTCCGATATCTTATCTAAACACACAAGACGCACCCATTACTAATTCTCATTACAATACCTTAGTAAGATCCGCACGTATAACACATGTCTGCAGTACATTACCAAGCACCTCATGGAATTGGTGCGCGTTCCATGGAAAGACGGCTGCAGTAGGCAAGTAGTATTACATGAGGACTATGCATGTACTTTAGTATTTAATCACCAATAACATACCAGAGAACACTAGCTTGCTCTCTTGGGATATCCACTAGCAATAGTGAGAACTAAGTCAACTAAGCTACTCCATCTATTCTTTTGGTTTTAGTATTCTTGTAGGAGCCACGTTAGTCTTTGACTAGTGTTGCCCTAACAACTATGTAGATAGTTTGTGTGTGCATTATTCTTTTCTTCATGTGCTTGCTGGAGTCCCAGCCAAAGGCAATACATCTACTTGCTCACTTGGAACTTGTGCAACCTTGCTGGCTTATTTCAACAGTTTTCGACCCAAAGTTTCAAAGCCCCCAAATCCAACAAACCTAGCAGAACCAGAAGCCTGCAGACAGACAGAACATTGCCGCGCTACTTCAATCCACTCCTCATTGTGAGTCTTTGTGATAGTTCTATTTATCTACTCTCACTAGATATTGTGCCAGTTGTGTACCACCAGTGGTAGTAGAACACACCTCCTGGTACACTGTCATGGCTGACTGCCACTGGTTTGACCTCTATATATGGCAATGAACTTTCCCATCTACTACCTTGCCCAAGGCCTAGCAGACTTTTGATTTCACTACATGCCACGTCCATAATGCTTGGTTTACCCAAATCAGGCGGTGCAAAAATATTAATCCTCAATAGAAATATTCACAAACTAAAATCCTATTTGCGACCTAATGACATAGCAATCATTACAAAAAAACGGGCTCGTGAACTACGGGGTCGCGGCGGCGTCCGCTTGTGGTGTTGCATGGGGGTCAAGGGGGTTATACAGCTTTAAAAAATCAGGGATGCTAGCCCACTTCGTTGCAAAACTCGCGGCCAACCGAATCCGAATGGCAGCTTGTCGCCGGGCGTACGTGTTTAATCCCTCCGTCATGACATCGGGGGCATCTTCACCGTCATTGCGCTCCTTGCTCTCCCACCATTCCGCCTGCCAGCGAAGGAAGGCAAGGACACGGCGCATTTCCTCCTTCAAGAGTAGCACCTCTTCACCCCATCGTAAGGCTCGCGCACGGCTCTTTGCCCACTCCAGGCAAAGCGAGCTATGGAGGCTGCCACTGTCTTCATCATCGCCGTCCACACCAACAGTCCGCCAGATCCACGATATCGTACGGCGACCTTCGCTGGTGTTATCCATATCCGCGACTCCAAGTCCGCGAATGTCCTCCGCCTTGAGTTCCTGTAGTTCCCCTCGCCAACTGACATCCTTCGTGAGAAACCGTGCGAGCACAGAGAGGGCTGTTCTAGCAACGCGATAGCGATGGGCGGCCCCATCGATTTGATTTTGCACCCATGAGACATTGCCCATTGCACGGGTGAGGGCGTGCTGGCCGCAATCGAAACGATCCTTGTGGCGAAAAACCGAGACTCGGAGGTGGAGTCCTGCCCGAATGGCATTCAGAGCATCGTGTGCTTGAGCGTATCGTAATTCCCATTCAAGTTCGCGCAATTCCTGGGAGCAACCAGCTTTGATTCTGAAGCTAGATGGCAGGCAGAGGTTCAGACGGCCCACGTCCTCTGTGGCGTTGGACAGCTGATTAGAGTCGTTGGCCCGGGAGACCACCAAGAAGGCGCTTGGGCAATAGAGCTTCTGGACGTCGTAGAAATTTGATATTTTCATGCGCAGAGTGTTTGCGCGGTTGATGACCATGAGACGCTGGCGATCAGTGGCATGTTGGCCGAGGGATGCAAGAGATTCCAGTAGTTGGTATCTAGAAAAGAGGCGCAATCAATAATGGGCATTTAATACACTCAAAATGCGACTGACTGCTGTTGTTCGAGATCCATTCCTGAGGCGATGTACATAGAGGGTGTTACCTCGTCATGAAGTTGGTTTAGGGTACCAGCTGCAAGAGCAGCCGCTTCAACGTCAGCGAGGCGTAGGCGGATGGCGTCCTGTGATATTGCTAGACATGCGCCTACATATCAGCTCAGGCATGGACAATATGATCATCACTCACACGTTGTCTCTGCCATGTAGGGATTGGGGCTTGAGCGATCGGCCTCCCATGCCTCCACAACGGCACGCCATTCCAGGATCGTTGCTAGCTCTATATGACGCTCAAGCTCGCGGTGGTTTTCAACGTGGACGCTACACTGGGGAACTGCTTCCTTCATACGTCGAAGCAAAGTATTCCCTGGAAGAGAGTGTGTCAACAACCATGATTGAATGAAGACGAGAACGAAAGTACCTATTGCGACAGTCTTTTTCCAATTTCTATCGCTCATCAAGTCTTCAAGCAGCTCGCGGCGAGACCCTGGGCCCATTTCCTTGGTTTGATTGGCTGCGGGGTTAAGATAGTCCCAGCCTCGTTCCGGGGCCTCTCCATCTGTCCGTCCTACACCAGGGGTATAGTTGAATGAGAATTGCGCTTGGCAGACACTGATGTGGGCAGGGAGGTGGAACTTGGGTACGAGTGTTGTCACGGACTCCTGAGGTGCCGTGTATTGTAAATGGGGGGGAAGAGACTGCATGCGGCGCCACAAATGGATATGCCATTGGCAGGCAATGTCATATGACACGATGATTCGAGGGATTTTCGATGCCACCGGCTGGACGCTCGAGAAAAAGAGGTAGTCCATGTTCACATATCTAGAAAACCTGTCTTTAGTTTACCGTAAGGCTAGGGGAATATCATCAACCTACCGTTCCCCATATCGTAGATCACCGACTGATAAAGGCCGCTTGAAATCATGCCGGGTGCATTCAACCGTGCCCACACCATTCACTATCAGCCCCTTTTCAGGACGCTTGTCTGCGTCGTTGACAGCCTTATGGGAGACACATGAGCTCTTCTCAACGGCCGTTTCATCGTTCGTGACGTGTGCTTGGTACAATACATCGTCAACAAAGTAACCCCAGCCTTGACTAAGCCCGGGATCCGCGATGTCGCTTGAGACGTTTTTCCGTTTGAGACGGAAGTTAGCGTCAATTCCAACGAATAACGCGTGAAGCCAACTGAGGGAGGTTAGTAAGGTTGAGTAGGAACAAATCCCAGTTCACTCACTCGTCACCTTCAATGGTCTCTGGCATATTCATACCAGGTTGTGGACATGCTGGGCAAAGCACGGCGAGTTCACCTGGTTTCGTCTTCTCGACGCCTTCCGGATCATGTCCACGAGCTGAGCGCTTGAGCTGATGGAGATGCCTCCATTCCCGACTCATGCGCAGGAATTGAGTGTAACGGTCCTGCAAATATGGTTAGCAACAGGTGGCAAATGTCAAAAGGCAAGCTTACCCGAGGGGGATCAATTTCTGTTTTGTCAGTTAACCGAGCTAACGTCTTGTAGAATTTGAACGCAGATACCTGGCCCTCAACTGACAGCATCTGGAAGAGATCGAGGACCTGGAATGTGGCGGCGGTTTGTGGAGTTGAGACGGTCAATGGAAATAGCCCACGTTGTAGCAGTTGGACGGTTAGCGGTTGGGCAATTTGACATCCACAGAAGTCAAGGCCAACTTCGTGGATTCCTTGAACGTCAAGGACCACAAACGTGTCGGCCTTCGCACGAGTAGGGTTTAGGCAGACCTTGCCCCAATCGTGTCCTAGCTGTATGCGTAGTCCCAGTGCCTTGAGAGTCTCTGGGACGAAGTGTAGCTCCTCCGTCCAGCGCTTGACGACATAGTATGAGGCGATAGGTAAAAATGGAGTTTTGAGACACACTTACCTCAATCCGGTGAAATGGCACCCGACCGTGGTTGCTCACGATGCATGCTTCACAGTATAGCGTCTCGTCAAAACAGTCTAAACATCTGAAAATTGCTTCGGCGGCGGTGGCTGAGCAGCCAGGGCAAGCAATGTCGTCAGGCGCCCGACCGCGACCGGCCTTCCTGAGGAGTTGAAGAAGGTATTGCTGTCGAAATGGGAGCCAGCTGGAGAGTGGTTCATCCTGGAGAATGTAGGTCAGTCACTGACACATTGGAATGCACATAGCAAAACTTACTGCAGCTGTCCGATTCCGCCTTTTGGCCAGATCCACGTCGAGCTCAGAAATCTCCTGGATATATGCTAAATCGAGGTCTCCAAAATTTCCGGGGTCGGGGAGGGGGCCCTGCGAGTCAGATGCACCCAGTGTTGGCTCGGCATCGGTGTAGTCGTCGTTCCAGATAATCTCGGCGGCAGGTTGACTTGAGGATGGGGGAAGGAAAATAGATTGTGTCGACCGATGAAGGGAAGTGCCGTGGCTCTCGTATGAGATGTGACGATAACCAACCGAATCTTCGGTGTCTTCAAAGAAGCTGAACGTAGAAGTGGCGCCGACACGTCGACGCTTGGCCCTGGTCATCACAGTGCTGGATGGATGTGGGCCTGGGAATCAACCTGCTAATCACGCGTTCAACTTGCTCTCACGTGCTTCAGTTACTTCTTAGTTTTGTGTGCGCTAAACAGCCGCCAAACCATAAGGAGGTCGCAACAAAATATAGAGGCACCTAGCAAAGTACAGCAAGTAGCTAAGCTGATTTGACCCTGCGAGCTTTGTGAAGGAGAATACGACGGAAAGCCTTTGGGGCAGAATAAATAGAGGCCCGAGCGTATTGATTGAGCTCGAACTCTTCAACCTTGTGTAAGAAACAGCCGCTCCCGAGCCCTATCCCTGATTTGTTCTCAAACAGAATCACCACCACACATGTCTGCTCATTGGGACGGGCGTTGAGAAGGGCGCGCGCACGAGCCTTGAAGCTGGGTTCAATTATATCAAGTTGTTGGATACGGAAGTGATAGCAGGATGCGAGACGATAGTCGTGGTATGGGTGGTGATGTGCGGTATGTGCGTGTTGGCGAAGGTGGAGCACAACGGCGAGAGCGTGGCTTCTTCTCTCCCAGATGGCCTGGCCTCGATGCCCTGCTGGTAGCTCCATATACGCAAGCGTATGGAGGGCGATCGCGTGGATATAACGGCCATATCGATAGTTGAACCTGGCGATTGCACGAGTATGCCGCCCACTAGCAATGGGCTGACAGACATTCTTGTGGAATGTCCAATCCGTTCGTTGGCACTCCCTGGTCTACTTCGTTTGTCAGGACTTGAGCCAAGGTCATGAAAAACGATTCACGTACACAATAAGTGACTTGGTAACATCCTCCACAGCGCTTCAAGGATTTGCGTGGGATGTCGCGGCGGCACTGCGCATTGGTACAGCGGCGGTTGTGCTATAAGTAAACTGTCAGCGCCTGCTAACACGATAAGATAATGGGTGATACTGACGTAGTAGTGAAGGCCGGGCGGATACTGGTCAGGCGCGAAAGGTTCGTCGTCCTCGACGTCTGATCCTTCGGTTTCTAACACTCGAACTGACCATTCAGACACCGACTCCTCAACATCTGTCTCCTCTTCAACGCCTGTCTCCTCCTCGACACCTGTCTCCTCGTCCGACTTTTCGATTTCAAGCTCGTCCTCAACGTCTGAGCCTTCAATCTCCACAACTACGAAAGGGCGAGCGCCTGGGGGAGGCAGGGAGGTGTCTTCAACACGTCCAGAAGGACTCGCATCACGCTTGCGTTTTCTGATTCGCGTGGACGCTAAGGAGCGGGGGCCTTGTTGGGGCATCGAGTTGGGCTGCTGGAGGCTGGATGGGTTTGATTGGCGTAGTTAATGAACAAAAATGCTCGAGGCCACACCAGGCTTCGTGAACTGATCCGCATGTTTTGTACGAACGTGCCCAGACGGAAGGAGACTGTCGCGCCGTGGTCAAAGTAACAAACTTCAATTGATTGCTTCTTTTTGGATGTGTGTCGGAGGCGAGGGACTCGAGGGGACTCATGCCCATTGGCAACTACAAAGGATTCTCGGTATAGTGCTAAGCTACCATTCCTCGTTAGAAATGTCAGACAACGGGCAACGGGGGAGATTCCTCTTTTTGAGCCATCTGGGAACCTCCATTTGCTCTGCGACACCAAATGTATTCGGGAGCATTGGCGTTGCCTTTGCAACGTGTCCACGGACTCCAAAGGTGGTTTGATCCGCGGCCTCGCTTTCACCTTCGCTCCCCGATGGATTCCCGTCGCCCAAGTACCCGCTATCGCTGACGTCGCTGTATTCGTTGTCGCTGACGCCTTCGTCGGCACTTTCATGGGCCTCAGCAACAGCAGCAACAGGGGGGAATGCGCTGATGAAGGCTGCAAGTATTTTTTTGCTACGTTGAAGTTAGTCTTACACAGTAATTGAATGGGGTAGTAGTACAGACCTCACGCGCCTGCGCACTGCTTTAGCACGAAGGATATCACGGTGGCTGGACATAAACTAGGTGAGGGAACAATCCTCGTTTAGTCAAAGTGGTCAAATACTCACCCTTCACGGTACTTGGCTTGAGACGCTCGTTTAGACGCTGCCGCCTTGTCTCTTGCCTCTTCGCTCTTTATGGCGTCGTTGGCCCGAAGCCTGCTCATCCGTTGGCGAGCTTTTTCACGTAGTTCATCTTGGTTCCTGTTATAAATCATGATGAGAGGTACGAACAGGTTGCATAGGGAGGCCAACCTGCGATAGTAGGCAGCAGCGGTTTTACGACGCTTGGATTGCTTAGCGTCGGTCATGGCAGTGGGGGATTTGGAGTTAAGAAAAGATGGGAGACCTTGTCGGAACTTTGTTGCATCTTCACACGGGTACAGTGGCGAGTTCATGACCATAGTGGCGAGTTCATGACCGTAGTGGCAAGTTCGTGATCATAAGTGGCGAGTTCGCAGCAATTATTAAGGCAGTCCTGTCACTGAGAGACGTCCCCTGGACAATTTTAGAGCGTGAATACCATCTGGAATGCATATAGAACAAATACTAACCACATCTGGGGCCGTGGTATGCAGACTCTCATAGTAGTCAACATGTGAACCATGAACGCACCTGTGTACCACACTCTTAACACTTGCACCAATGTGTGTACGTGACCTCCAACAATGACGCCAACGGGGGAGAACATGCGATGTGAGCACACTCCAAGATGAATGAATCTAAGGCGAAAATTAATTCACCATTGTAGCAACACTGTCGCTTCAAGTTAGCGGTATGATTGGAAGTTATGTTCGGAAATTGTGGGCGCCTACGTATTGACCGTGAGAATACCCTATCATGGACTCTTATACTGACCGTGAGAGCACAATCACATTGATGTGTAGAACATTTATTGATACTTATACCTGCTGCGCAGAGGCAAACGGGTGTTAGAATTCACTTTCGGGCATCGGGGTTTCAAATTTCAATTGAGGGCCTCCTGCGAGCCAATGGTACGAGGTGAACACAATATATTGGGGGACAGCAATGTTTGACCAGACCACACGGTAACGATAAACTACAGGAACCAAGGGAACGAGACGGCGGCCGGGAGCAACCTTCAGTCGACAAGGCGGACTTGGCCAAGGGAGGCTGCTACGTTGAAAGCCATGATGGCGGTCTCGCGGGTGGGCTCCCTATTGTAGATGGAGCCGGCAATGCCTAGGACGAGAGGAGCGGTGGTTGTCCTGTGCAATAATATCAGTGCCATCATGGTTCATCGATAACAGCGCTACGAACCACCCGCGGAAAACTCCAACCTGGAGGCCTGCGATAACGACATACCAGCATCGGTAAGCATCTGACACGGAAGGGGGTGAGCTGATGGTACATGGGGTTAAGAGAGATCGTACTGGACGAGGCACCCGCTTGGGGGTCGTACAAGGCACCCGCTTGGGGGTCGTCGGCGGCGCCTTGGAAGTTACAACTGAGTTAGGAAAATCCTTCACAACAAATGATGGGGGGTACTTACTAGGATCTTCACCGATGCCTGAGGGAGGGACGACAGGCGGCGACGCAGCAACAGGTGGCGCCGTAGCAACAGGCAAAGTAGGGGAGGCAGTGATGGCAGCAGGTGCTGGAGAGGGCACAGCTGCGCCGGTGTTGGCGTTGTGGGCCACTGGACGTGGACTACATGAGCACCAACGGTCAACGGGGGGAGATGGAAACCTACACGGCGACAAAGCGGCGACCTGGACTGCCAGGTTGGCGACCATCTCGGTCAGTCGAGCAACATTGGAGTCAGTAGTAGAGGTCATGAGTAGATGGTGGGTGCTTGGATAGCGGTTCGGGAGTTTTTACGGCCTTATAAATGAAGGCCGTGAGAGTGAAAGCCAAAGAAAGTGGAATTTCATTGGCTCGGGCGATTTAGCCATAGGATGTTGATTGGTTCGAGGAACCTAATCGTTTTCCACCCTGAAGGGCATAATCCCCAATCGACATACAACTAGGAAATGGGCCGACCGTGGACGACCAAGGAGCAAGCAGATTTCCTACAGGGACGGTCCGCCGAATACAAAGAAGCAAGTGAAAAAAAAAACTACCTGGTGTTTTGGGATGAACTCTTTCTGGCTTGGTTCTCCGCTTTTCCTGAACCCATCCCCCCCGAGCTACAGAACATTGCTCCCGAGCTGTGGAGCGACGAGGACAAGGGAAAGGCCAAAAAAAGAATCATACAACGTAAAGCAGTAAGTTAGGAAGCTCATTAACGAGGGAGAGGTTAAAGGTACTTACCACTTAATAGCAATTGAGAGACTGGTACCACAACCATTTCCGCGTCGATTGTCGGGTCGACTCGACCAATGCTGTGGATAAGCTATTGAAGCTAAGCGAGAAAGTGGCGACTGGCAAGCGTGCTCGAAAAGCGACGGAAGTGTTCTCTGGGTGTTTCTACCAGGGGTCGGCGACACAGGAGACTGTTCAGACACGTGTCAGAGACGAGGCCCCTTGTGACGAGGCTGGGGAGCTTATCAAGGAGGACCGGAGAGCCAAATCGGCGCGGCGTATGAAGATTTATGATGAGGAAATCGAGGCCGCATGGAAGCAGGCATCAGATGAGCAGAAGGCTGAAGTAGAAGCTGTTATAGAGGAGGCCAGAGCACGCAGAGAGACTGAAGAAGACGAGGAGCCCAAGACAATAGATCAGATAGAGTGAGTCTCATGGCGCCAGATGAGCATACATGTGTGCTCACCTTTCATTCTAGGGGTCTTCGTCGCCTTCCTGCCCTCATGGATGCCGTCGCAAAGGCAATGCAGGATACCTGCGGATGGTCCTTCACGATCCTAGCTGGTGGACGTGGCCCAGCTGGTAACGTTCAGACAGCAAGGTATGCTGCCATTTCACGTGTCCCCCGAGCTATGCTAAAGGCCTTTAGCTATCATTTGGGGAAGACAAAGAATGGGCATACGTTCAAAAACGCGTTCAAGGAATTCGACAGCTCCATTATGAGACCTTGGACGTCGTTTGTGAGAACCGTTTGCGGTGCGTGTTTCATGTTCCCAAGTCACCAAATTGAGCTTGACACATGACATTCCCAAAAGAGGAAAATGAGGTCCCATGTGGCCCGTTTCCTCCCACGGAATGGACCAGCCAAGGTGGAGAGGCGCCTATGCATGGCTACCACCCTCCATCGACATGGGACCCGGCCTTTGACATTACCAACAACTCTGGTAACGCTTCCGCAAGCCCCCCGCCTCAAATGAGAGCCCATAATGCTACATCGTCGAGCCCGGAATCTCCCAAGGATGCAAATCGCGAACCAGCAACCACTACCAACGTTGGTGGGCCACTAGCCTCAGGGACTCGTGAAGACTCCCCTTCGCTACAAAACCCAGACGGCAAACCAGCTCCGACCGCCCCTTTACATGCCCCAGCGACCACTACCAATGTTCCCAACCCAACAGACTTGCAAAATCAACCAAACGGCCTAGCACCCCAGAACGCTGGTGTCCGAGGAACTCGTGAAGACTCCCCTTTGCTACAAAACCCAGACGGCGGACCAGCTCCGACCGCCCCTCTACATGCCCCAGCGACCACTGCGACCACTACCAATGTTCCCAACCCAAGGGACTTGCAAAATCAACCAAACGGCCGAGCGCCCCAGAAACCAGTGTCCGCTAGAACGCCAAACGACGAAACATGTCGAGCTGCCCAAGGTTCTCAAGAATTGTGGCTTACGGGCGCACTCACACGTTTGCGACAGGGCGCAGGGGCTGACTGGCTGGAGGCAGTGGATCTGTGGGAGCAAATAGAGAGTGAGCCTACAAGTAGCAAGGTGCGCGATATCTTTCATATCTAGGACGGGACCTTACTCATACCCCGTTAGGCTAAACGCTTCCCAACAGATAATCGCCCCGCCCAGGTAGCACAATGGTTTGCCTACGGACGAAGCTATAAAGATGACCCCGACATTCCTGACGTCATAAAGTATGAGCAGGATTTGCTTGCCTGGTGGAACGGGCTACAACCAGAATGGCCTCGATCAGCGGGCCCTCTGCCACTCCCCTCCTACAGTGCCCCCGACGGGCATGATTGGAGCTCGCTCAAGATTACGGGTCGGAGCGGGCTGCTTGTCGTCATGGTGTCGTTTGCATGGTGGGGAAAGGCCGTAGGCATCTCACCTTCATGGCTGACGGCCTCTGCTGACTTAAAACATGCCTTGGATGCCATGCTGAGCGAAGGAAAAGAGGGGACTTCCCAAAGGTAAATTCCGCCCTTGCCACCTTGAAATTGATTCTTTGTTCTCAAACTGGGCAGCAGAGCCAACAGGAAGCGTTGCCGAGACATGCATGTCGACAGAGAAAATGCAACTTTCGCTAAGCAGCGCAAGCAGCTACGCCAACACGCCATACCTGTTCTTGCTCAGCGCAAGCAGCCACGCAAACACACCAGACCTGTTCCCGCTCGCGTAACTCGGAGCTCGGCCTCTGGTGCCCCTCGGAGTTGTAAATAATACTTGTCTTGTAATGTACTTGTTGAACACACTGTAAAGAAATTATCTTGATCAATTACTCATGAATAAGTCTTTGTCACTAAAAAGCGGCCTTAGTGGTTTAAAATGCACGAACTGACTTGTGGGTGACCATAAAGTCATAGATATTTTTAACAATGGGACTTAGCAAAAAAGACTTGCGTACGGCGTGATGGAGTTCACACTAAGGACTTAGCAGAAAAGGGCTTAGCAGAAAAGAGAACATATTTATGTAGAACATGGTGATTTTTCAATAGGGCCTGCCGACAAGGCGACTGAGACTTAGTAGGGAGCCACATCGCACCGTAATGTGGAACGATAGCACTCGTATCGGAACGGTAAGCAGAAAAACTCGTAATGCAAGTGTTTTTTGCTATCTCAGAAACCACTACTGACCGTGGAAAGCAAGTAATACCAATCTTTTCCAATGCTTTTTCGTGGCTGTTTCGTGAGACGCGGAGTGTGTAATAGGGCCCAAAATGGAAGGCAGCCGCGTTTTGACGCTCGGCAGAGTTCACAGCCACAGCCACTGAGTGGTGCACAACTCCAACGCTAGTGGCAGTTCAGCACAATGGTGTACAACGAGTCAGTGTACCACTGACACTGCATTGTATACTATAGTCACAGTACTGCCTGCTACTCTAGCTTCAGAAGTTCAGGCTTGTCATGTGTTGTCGTAATCTTACAGCAATAGACAGATGGGTAAGTGCATTGTGCATCATGTGTTATGACATACAAAGGATGTCTTGACTTTGTATGGTGCGCCACAGACCAACATAGGCCATTGGCTTTCACCATCCTATCACCGATTTGTGGGGAGGTGGGAGTGAGTAATGTAAGGGTTGTACCCTTCCGTTCCGTGCAGTCCGGCTTCCCCTATCCCCTATTGACCCCTCTCCAACTCTTCGGACGTGCTCGCACATGACTCGGACGTCACAGACCCGTACCGGACACACGTGATAACGGATCAGACATTCCGGATCATTATTCCGTATCTATTTTGTTTTTGGACTCTAATACTTGGACTACACTAGCACCATTATTCGTTCCTGGTGCCTTTTCGTTTCGGACTTTTCCTTCATCTGACATTTTTCTTAGCTACAAAAGCCTCCTGTACTTGTAGTTAGAAGAACTAGACTTGTTTCCCCCCCCACATCGAGTCAGAACCTAAGCCGTCCAAAGCTTGCTCCTCTTCCGCTGTCAGAGTCTGCCATTGTCCGAGTCTGAGTCCGAGTCCGATCCAAAGCTACTTTCTCCTGCCGTCCTTATCATTCTCCTGCCGTCCTCATTGTACTATCCGAAGCCGAGTTGTTTGTTCCGCGTCCGAGCGCATCTGAAGCCATCTGAAGCCGTCCGAAGCATCCGAAGTCTCTTATTCGTTCTTTCTCACTCTCGGACTCATCGTTTATCACACTTAATTCACTCAGGTGTCGCACGGACTTGTCCTGCCAGAGGCGGACCCTCGCATTTCATTTGACTATACTACTAGTCTACACGTACATTCACTACTACAGTAAGAAGCATGCATCATGGGTGTAAGCATCATAGAGTCAGCAGACCAACTCTAGCACTCACAAAGCAAGCTTGCCACAAGGATTTATTGACATCCATCGCAGTTTTGCTCCTCCTGCTCATTTTCACTGTCCAGACTTGACAATACTTCATCTCAAAGCCATCCTATCCTCTGTCTGGGTGTTCTCTGTGCAGAGTATTCTGTCCTACTCTTTCAACTGTGCCAACTCCAGTTGCATCTGAGCAGTGCCTAAGGGGACACCCATTGCCGGAAATTACACTGGGCATTTTCACCCTCAGGTTCATTTGTCACCCCCAGTGGGATTCATGAACGACCTGAACAGCCTCTTTCACAATGCTTCAGGGACCTAGCATCTGTATTACCAGTACAACCCAACAGGCATAGTCAGTGGAAACCAACACTGGGTCATGCTACATCTACTGATCTATACCACTGGACCAATCAACCCATCATGCTCTTCCCTCATCTCAATGTCACAGGTATCTTCACCAGATCCATCATCATTGACGTCAACAACACATCTGGATTATTCTTACCTTTTATATTGGAGACGGCAGCAACACTTAGCATGGCTGGTCTGAGCAATTTTTAGAGAATCCTGTTCTTGTAATTGGCTCAAGGGTGTTTTGCAATCCAAAAGTAATATGGCATAAGGAGACACAGACATGGCTAATGAGTGTCGCTTTTGCGAATGATTGCTGGATTGCTCACATACCGGAATCTGCGCAACTGGACACACATATCAAGCTTCACCTTCCACATCATAGGTGATGTATACAGTGTCCAAATATGCTGTTAAGGACCGTGTCAAGGGGCCTCCTGACTCATCCGTAAGGGGCGCGGGAACACGCAGGGAGCGGGAGTGCGAATGCGCGGACAAGTGGAGCACACGGGACTTGGCTTCAGCTTTGATGCTGCACCCTCCTAGCCCTGCGGTGTCCCAATTTCGGAGAGAGCAAGATGAGAGGCGGGCTCCGCGGAGGAGCCCGCAGCAAAGACTTAGAAGGCAAGATGACAAAGAAGGAACTAAGATCCAGAGTGAAGAATACATGTGTAGTAATGCTACTATAAATACTAGCTAACATGTGTAACAAGTGAGGCTAGTATGTAAGTGCATGTGCTACTGAAACATGTAACAACTAAATCATAGTGCTGTGCACCATGCACATACCTCAAGGATGGAGTCCTGAGGGTTCCGAGTATCCAAGAGGGGCGTAGGGGGGACCCCTAAGGGGTGTGAGGACTGGTCTATGACATATGCTCCCAGTGCCATTGCTCAAGAGATGGAAGGGTACACAAGAGCATGGATTTACTGTGGATCTCCATCAACCAGGCACACCGTTAGCCAATACTTCCCAGGCCATTTCAACAGGATGCATTTTATGGCTGTCAATGAAGAGATCAGGCTAGTGAATTTCAGGAAGACAACTACACCACACAATTCTGGTATGGTGTCAATGGTGATCCTCTTGAAGGTGGAGCACTGTCAATTTTGTGGAATAGCAATGCACAATATGTGAATGATGTCCCTACTAGGCCGAGCAAAGGATGGAGGAGTAACATGCAATGCCACGGAGGAATCTCATGAAGAACAATACCAAGATAGGTTGGACTTTGGTGTCAAATGTTGGAAGTTGAGGTTAGTGCTGGTGCAAACCATGCTACATCTGGAATGGTCCAGTATCGAGGCATTAGAGATTTAGGCTCATATGGTACATTCTCTCTTTCATTCTTGATGACCCGTAATGTGTACTTAATGTGTAGTTTATTACTGTATCACCTCAGTCCATTTACCATGAGACTGAGGTGAGTATCTAGTATTATCCTTACTATCCTGTGTACTGACATACTTGTACTGGTAACCACAAAAAGTAGTTGGACTTATGTAAGCAAATGCCTAATGTGGTCCATGACTGCGTTATTTGTCTGCCTCTCCTTGCAACAACAACACATCGTTTCCGTGTCTAATGTGCACCACTACATCCTCACATACTCTGCATGATACCCCTAAGAAAAACTGATTCATTGGTGCCGTTAAAAGCGGCCAATCCGTCAACAAAGCAGCCGCTCTGTTTGGCATCCCACGCAGCACAGAGTACTACAACCTGAAGAAATTCAATACCGTTGGTTCCGTATCTTGACAACCATGCTCCGGTCGTCCACGTAAACTGACTGATTGTGCCAAACGTCTCCTGGTGTGATTCACTAGAAAATCACATCGGGCACCATTCAGAGAGCTCGTGAACACACTGCAGCTCAATATCTCAGTCTCAACTGCTTGAAACGTTCTGGTGGAGCAGGGTTATCATCGGAGGGTGGCGAAAAAGATTCCATACCTTTTGAAAGATCAGAAGAAGAAGAGGGTTTATTGGGCTAGGCTTTACAGGCAGTGGAAAGAGCAGGAGTGGGGGCAGGTCATATTCTCAGATGAGTCGTACATCTACTTGGGCGACAACTGTGGCCGCATCTTTGTTACACACCGTCCTGGCAAGAAGCTGCATGAGGATTGTGTTGTTCCATCCTTCAGCCAGTCTTCTACGTGTGTTATGGTATGGGGGAGCATCATACGGGGACAGAAAGGGCCACTAGTTGTGCTCGAGTACCCTAGAGGCAAGGGGAACGGAATGAATTCCGCACAATATCAGGAGCAAGTCCTGGAAGGAGCTCTTCTTCATTTTTACAACAAGATGAAGGCCCTGAAGGAGACTGTATGTGTCCAACAGGACAACACACCAAGTCACACCAGCAAGACAACAAAGAAGTGGTTCACCACACATGGTATCCCACTTTTATACCATCCACCATCTTCACCAGATGTCAACCCAATCAAACGAGTCTGGCACGAGCTCAAACAGCGCTTGCGCTCCTTACCCCATCCTCCCAATACTGTTGCTGATTTAAAGGCTGCTGTACTTCGCGCATGGGACGAGCTACCGATTGAGGATGTGGACAAGCATATCCGTGGCATGCCTGAGAGAGTCAAGGCTGTATTGCATGCACGAGGTGGTCATACCAGGTTTTGATTTTATGAATAGTATCCTTAGGCTATATACATCCTATTACATATCTAAAGTTGGAGTCTCTTATTTCTGCTCAGTCATGAATTCACTGAATGTTGGGTAATTGGGCTAAGTGTGTGACTGTGTGTCCAATTACTTTATGTGGCTACAAGTAGTGTAAGGCTTTGCCTTGGTTTGAACGCGTACGCGCTCTAAATCAGGTGACTTACCCCGGGTTTGCACGATTCCGTTGAACGACCCGCTTCACCCTTGTCTCCACAACGAGCCCTTCATCGTACAACATGCCCTTATTCCCCTTTATATCCATGTATCTTCATCACTCCCTTTCACCCCTCGGACCATACCATACTCACCGGTCAACTATTTAACCCTGTCATACGCACTCTCAATAGTCAGTCAGTTTCCCACCGAAGATTCACCTCAAGCCT